TACATTACTACTTTTATTCCAATGAGTATGTACAACACTACGAGAAGGTGTGCATGATTTATTACACTGCACTCTGAGCAATACCATTTGAAAATGTAAATGCACTGGCAATTAAACTTTTTTTACAATTTGCACCCAAATATTTGTCTTCGAAAGAGCCATTGAACGGAAGGATAAGTATCATGTGATTTCTAATTTTTGACGTTACATAATTCCTAATTTATACCCAAAAATCAGGTTGCCTGTAAATATGTAGATGTAGTCGGGTGAATAATTTTAAAGGCCCCATGAATTTCTTAACGCGACCCGTCAGATCCTTCCAATTTCTGAACCTGACTTGGCCGACCCGGTCAATTTTTGAAAGTAATTGACCAGGACCCTATTCACCTTTATCTGTAAAGATGTACAATGTCGCATTGAACATGTACATATCATTGCAGTAAATCAAATATATTTTACTCTGTGGAAAATGTGAAATGAGACAAGTATTTTTGTCAGTAATTAGATCATTCGTCTGTTGCCCTGAATATAAATTTGGTCCAGAGTCATGTAAATATTTCATGGGTTAATCTTTTAACTATTTATTGCAACACTGTACCTACATATTTATGCACCACCTTTTACATGCTTCAACCATATATCCGTTAGCCCAGAGCTGCAACGGGAGGTAATTAAGTACGTGTAGCTTTTTGCACGACTTAATTTACCCTGTATGTTAGCCCAGAAAGTTTTAGCAGCATACATATTTATGGTTTTATCATACAACTTGTATGATTTTATTACGTTGAATGATATTTGCTGCATCATTCCATTATTTTTCCCCAAACGTAGAGCAACACCAGAGTATAACTCCAACGCTAATGTATGTATGTGCAAACTGGTAAAATAACGGGTTTGGTTCTGTTTTATGGAGTATTTTAAACGGCATTAAACGGCATTAAACGACATTAAACATTAAACGGCGTAATTGGCATGTAATTAACGACCCCCCTAATGTTTAGGTTTTTGCCCCCTAAATTGCGGAAGTGAACCCCCATTGATTTTTGCCCCCACGTAATTCTTTTTTTACCCCCTAAATAGCAAAATAATCCCCCGAATCAAATGACCGGAAAAAATACTGAAAATCAAGTGCAATTACATATATTTTGATCGGACTTGTCAAGAATACTCCAAATAATTTAAATATTAGTCAATGAAAAAGCTTTGTAGCACCTTGGTGCCCCCCGCTTCCCTTCTTTCTCTGAGTATGTACCTATTTCCTGAATTTCGACATGGCACTGTTCATCAGTTATCATCCACAATGACTGAGGTGTTATTCAATAATATCATATACCTTATGAGTCGAATGTTGAATATATTGCTAAAAACCCAATAAAACCTTTGGGTTGTTATTTTTATTTAAAACCCTAGATCACACCTGTGAAGATTGCAATGGACACAAAAGGTATCGTGATGGTTAAATTACATAGAGGTGAATCAATCGGGACCTTTATTTTAACCTCAAAAGTCACGCAAAGAAACCAAATGTAACATAAAGGTTGAAGTCAATTCAACGGGAAATTTAACCCAGTAACCCCGAATTCAACGGTCACCACCATTTTGACCTCAAAGGTCCTTGAAGATCCTTGATAAGTCCGATTTAAATATATGTAATTATACTTGATTTTCAGTATTTATCCTATCATTTTATTAGGGGGATTCGTTTGATATTTAGGGGGTAAAAAAAAGAATTACGTGGGGGCAAAAATCAATAGGGGTTAATTTGCACAATTTAGGGGGCAAAATTCATAATGTTAGGGGGGTCGTTAATTTAATCCCATTTTAAACCCGGAATTTTTCCTAACCTGGGAGAGTATTCGCGAAAGTATGTATGTACATATGTATGTATGTATGAATATGTATTTACATAGTTTAGATTTTCGTACAAAATTTATCTACTCTTTTCCTACAGAAGCATATTAAAAATCTATAAAACTCACGTGTGAATATGTCACACATTCTTTCTGGACCGAATATAAACTCAATTTTTCACTCTTAAAATAATGTTACCCATTTGAACATAAATGCACAATGAACGGTGTATGCACTAGCGGAACTATAAATTTGGGGCCGGTAGGCACAGGTTCGCTGGGGGCCCCTGTCCCTGACAGATTTGACGAGACTTATGAAAATCGGAAAATTTTGTAGTTTTTTGGCAACCATAAATTTGATTCAATGCAAGGTAACTGTGTGCTGTCTGGTTAAACGACAAGGGCTTAATTAAAATATCGTTTCAACAATATCACGATTTTAACAATTGATTATAGAACTGGCAGATTACACCCACAATGAGAAGATTTAAGCGGTCTCGCTCCAATTTTGACGAAACCTTGCTAGTTAGGGAACCCTGGGTAAATAATTAAACACGTGTTTCAGGATTTTTCATAATGCTCAATTTACGGAATCCATGAGCGAGAATTTCCCTTTTTATCCCGATTTTTTTCTCGCGAGGGACAAAAATACAGATTCTCGCTTACAGAGTCCATCATAATTAAGTGGATATGAATCGTTTGTTACGGTTTTAAATTTTCTCGCACACTGAAACTAGCGTTCTTTTCATCAAGGCGCGCGTTTTATGAATTTTTAATACATTTTCAATCAAAATTAGGATTTCTCATAACGTTATAAATTTTGCTGTTTTGTTGCTATTTTAAACGCGAAAGAATATAAAAATGATTCCATAAAACTTCCACGATGCTTCCAAGAACTCAAAATAAAAGTGTAGATGTAGTGTACATAGATGAATAAAAGTGTAATACTTTTCTAAAAACTTTTAACGTAACAAACAATCAATTTTGAAAAATTTGTGGTAAGTACAGATTTAACATAAATTAATTTAATTCTGTGCAAAAGCGTTCTTCCATTTTTGAAATCGGACAAAAATTGGGAAATTTACAACATTTTGAAAATTCAATATTTTTGATGAAAATTTTTTCAAAAATTCCGCCACGGGAAAACATGGTAAAAATGCGTGCCTACGAAAATGGAAAAATACGGCGTATTTCCTTTCGTCAACAATTTGAAATTTGTCTGGTCAAAATCGAAAAAAACACTTCATGTTAGGTTACATGAAAAAAATCATGCATTTTAAGTTTAAGCGAAATTATGTATGATGGATTACATAAGCGAGAATCTGTATTTTTCTCGCGAGAGAGAAAAATATCACGGCAAACATGGAAATTTGACGCATAAATTCTGTCATAATTTCGTTTAAACTGAGCACTATGAAAAATCCTTAAGCACGTTTTTAATTATTTGTCTAAGGTTATCTAATTATAATTGTTTCTTCAAAATCGGAGCGAGGCCCCTGGCGTCATTGGATTGAGTTTCAGGTTGTGCAATTGCTTTACGACTAATTGAGTTCAATGACCAAAGTAAATTTATCATTTTTAAACCAGCTATAATCAACGCCAGGATCATCTTGATAAGTATGTGTCATTTCCTCGTCGTATCGGGTTCAATTTGCTACACTTAAAATATTTAAAATTATTGATAAAGTTCGGAGATGCGCGCAAAGCCTGTAGGAAAATAATTAGCTAATTTCATAGTGGTGACTCTTATGTCAGCATTTTTAAACTGAAAATTATAAAATAAAATTTAGCAGAAATTTTTAACATACTTTGAACTAGTTAAGATTTGTTTTATGATCTTCTGCAACGCTTGCCCCTAGCTTCGTTACTGCTCGACACGTAAAAATTTTTAAAAAACTCGGGGCAGCTGCGGGGCCCCCACTCTGTGGGGGCCCCTAGGCAATACCTACCCTGCCTACCCCTAGTTTCGCTAGTGGGTGTATGGACTTAACTGTTCTAAATCCAGAGTACACTTTGGGAGCGTCCATAAATCACGTGATCGATTTTTGGACAATTTTGACCCCCTCCCCCCCCTTGGTGATCGGTGGTGATAATTTCGCTACCCCTCCCCCCCCACCGGTCACGTGACAGGAGATGATGCTCAAATTAAATCATGTTGTCCGGAATAACAATATTTTTTAAATCATTAATTAAATTAAGTAGATGCTACATTACACACATGTGTAAATAACTATTTACTACGCCAGTCAGACATAAGAATTTAAATCGACGCAAGTTTCTCAATGTGCAAAATGAAAATCAAATTTATATAACGTGCGTGTGGTATTCCAAGAAAGTTTATATATAACTCTCATGACATTTATTGGCATATACAAAAGTTTAAAAAAAACTTTACTCATGTCACGTGACATCTGACCATCTACCCCCCCCCCCGTGATAATTGGTGACAAATTTCAGACCCCCTCCCCCCCTCTAATCGATCACGTGATTTATGGACGCTCCCTTTACTCTTTATTATGTTAATGTTACTCCGGAATTAATATATTGTTCGTAATATACATACGTACATAAATTTAAAATGTATTTTCTACCTCCCAAAAGTGGAACATTATTTTTAAGAGTTCACTGAAGAATGAGTAATATACCCGGTCCCGATTAGAAACTTGCGTGTTGATGATGTCACGAAAATGTTTATTTTTTCGTGGAATCCTTAAATAACACGTTGCCAATTTCTCAAACCAGAACGCAATTTCCGGAGATTCGAGCGATTTTGAAAGGTACACATACAATAGCTTTTCTTGCGTGTTAAATTGCATGTTATAATTGGACTTGAATATCTGTTTGCGAAATAAATTGGCGAAATAAAATCGCATTGTTTTTCACACAAACATTTTACGAAATCTGGACAAATGTTGTTAACCTTACATCATTCGCAAGATATTGCCAAAGTTGCCGTGAGTATGCCCAGTATAATTTCAAAAATATGTAGCACGATGAACTTTAATTTTGTTTCACAATAAAAGTAAACCAAAAATTTAAAATTTACTTTCTATCATTGTTAGAAATTCAAACCTTCTTTGAGCAGTAATGACAAAAGTTTTGCGTTTTAAATTCTAAATATATTTTAAAATAGGTAAGTACACAAAATCGTTAAATTCATGCAATTATTGAGCATTTATTTCAAAAGGATGAGTATACACTGAGCAAACTGTAAAACTTGATGGACGGTTGTACAAAAAGTGACAACAATTAACCGTCCATTATTACAGCGTGATTTTTAAGTCTTAATTAACAAACAATTAAGTCTTTAATTTTTTATCATCATCTAGTAACAAAAAAGAAAATGAGGGGTTTCTGCTATCACTTTTTTGATTTCTACTTTTTTTATATTTTTGTATCTGTATTTAACAATGCGAAATATTTGCACGTGGAAAAGGGCGGTGATTCTTAAATGATGTAGTGGAACGGAAAATGTAAGAAATGAAGGAAAATTTTGGATTTATAAATTTGTGGATTTTTAAATTTTTCTCGGGTGACATCATTTATGAATCAACCTACATAATCGTCATGTGGTATTTTTTGTAGAAATTTTTGTATCTGGGTTTTTTTCTAATTTTGTTCCAAAAAGACGAGATCGTCTTCCACTACGTCTGAAATGTGGAGATAGATTATCCAGTACATTAAATTGAAACAGATGAAACACACGGGGAACACGACTCGCGAATATCTGAAAAGGAAAATGCAAAAAATTTGCGAATTAGTGATTGAATATATCCTAATCCTGAATGTTTTTGGCAATCTCAAGCTTATTTTTTGCAAGGTATTAGTCGAGGTCAGTACATGGTTTTTAGATAGGACATTAAGTCAATTAAATATTTGCATTCAAAAATTTAACGAACAAGAAATGGTTCGTTGATTTGAAATATTTAAATTTCCAAAAATAAATCGCTACGCTTGCAAAATTTAAATAATAATATTTTGTGCAAAAATTAATACATATTATTACTTCGCAAGTATATGCAATTAATACAGCAAAATTGAAGTGCAATGAAGGTATTCAGGAAGAATTAGCAACGTTAGCAAACCAAACAAAAGTTTGCGAAAAATTGTTCGCAAAAATAATTACGAACATCTCACCTGTCGATATCTGAAGGTGCGATTCCATACAAATTTTCAATCTTTTTCGCCAACTTGTCCAATTCGGGGTTTCCACTTTCGACGTCTTTCGGACATCCGAACGGCTTTTTCTCTGGAACCATTATCCCCGCCGCTTTCGCCCGCTCCTCCGCCATTTTCCGCAACGCGTCGAATTTGTTTTTCCTCATTTGTATTCTTTTCGCCATATAACCCACGGTGGCGTACTCTGTAAGGGAATTTGCAAAATGTCAAAACTTGCAAAATTATTTTTTGCACAACAAATTTCAAATTTGCTCACCCAACAAAGCTGCGAACACCATTAAGAAACAAGTTCCCAGGAAAACGTCTAAACTCTTAACGTACGAAATCTTTGGCAGCGCTGCGTTCACGGAAGACATCAACGTTGTCATGGTCAAGACCTGAGTTTATGCAAAAAAATTGCAAAAAATTAAAGTGTGTTTTTCAACATTTGAATTCGCAAATTGAGTACCGTTGTTACTCCCAACGCGACGCGGGCCGGTGTGGCGTTGCGATTCAGCCAAAAAGAAATCCATGAAATTACAACGATAAGAGATGACGGGATATAAATTTGGATAAGGTAGTAGCCCATGGATCGCTCAAACTGAATTTCGCACGCTAATCTCGAGTAATTTCCTGTAAATGGTAAATAGAAATTTTGATAATTTTTGATACTGTATTAAATAAATTTTGTATCGTTCAACATGTCTAATTAACGCCAAGGTTTGTACTTTTCCAAAGTTTGAGCATAAATTTTGCAATTTGAACGAGTCCATCATGCATATTTTTTATTTGATAAATTATAGAGTAACTTTACGAACATTGATAAAGCTTGACGTGAATTTATGCATGCACAAATTTCTGAATACAAATTTCAGAATTTACATAAAAATTTGTATCAAAAGAAATTAGTATCTTTTTGTATCTCGCGGATCAATTTCGAATCCCGTAATTATGTAATTTACCTGAACTGAGCGAAATTTCGACGGCCTGTTGTCGATGACCTGTGACCTTGAACTGTGGGAGCGACACGTCTGACGAAATCCCGACAGATTGCAACCCCTTGGCCCACCGGTAACGAAGATCGGACATCGTGTAGCCGACTGTGGTTTGTAAAACGTAATAATTTTAATAGAAATTCATTTCACATTAGGGGTATTCACCACGAGTTCGAAATATAATAAAATTCGCAAGTTTCGCAAAAAAAACGATGTGCATAGGTTGAAGACTCGTTTGCAAATATCAAAGAGCAATATTTTTCCCGAATTTTTTTTTCTAAATGAATACCCCCATTTTTTTGACAAGGAAACCACAGTGATAACTTACAACTTTCAATCTCAACCGTGCAAAGCTGTCGGTCCATGGGGAAATATTGTAAATTCATTGGACACGTGGCAGTCACAGTTAATCTGAAAAGTTGACAGATTGAGGAATATTTAAGTTTTGTAAAAATTTCGACAATGTTGCGAATTTTGAAGAAATAAATACTGCCGCAATTTTGAGATGGGAGTGAAGTTCGAACCTAAGCGATCTGAGGACATCGCCTTCTTCGGATATTCGTAAAAATTCGTTGGAAGTGGTCGCCGTGTGAAAGTAGGATTTCTTCTCGTTCACAAAAAATGTGTCGGGAACCCAAATCGTTTTCAAAAATTCGGTTCCCACCTGGACACAAATTAATTACGCATTTTTATTCGTATATTTTTTAGCATTAATAGAATACTAAATTAGTTTATAGTTTTAATTTGCGAATTTTAAAACAATTGGCAATGGGATTTTACACATTTATATACACTCTAAAAAATTATGATACCCGTTTTGAAAAGTAAATTCTCTCGAATTTCTAAATTAAGTAAACTATATTATTTAAATCCAGAGAAAGCTTTACTCTGGATCAAGTTACCATTACTCTTATTACTCTTATTATAATTTAGTGTAACTTATTTAGAATTCAGAGTTCATTTACTTTTCAAACTGGTAACATCATTTTTAAGAGTGCGGGGTTTACTTATTATTACCGAAAGTGTTTTAACACCGGGAGGCCCTTGAAATCTGAGTCGTGGATCGACCCACGTTTGTCGGAAGTAAAAGTCTACAGTGAAGTCCTGTCATAAGATTTGCATATTTAGAAAACTAATTATTATGCAAATAGTAAGAAAGAAAATTGGCATGTTTAATTAATTAATTAGTTACCATTTCAACTTCTGAAAGGGAAGATATGCTGAGTATGTACATCGTTACGCCTACCACGACAGGCTCACCTGGTAAAATAATGTAGGTTTAATTTAACACTATTAAATTTGGTAAATACACTTAGTTTTTATGATGTGATAAAATGTGATAAGATTTTACTATATTTTTGATAAGTCGTATGATAAGAAAACTTTATAATTATATTGATTAATGATATTTTATGAATTATGAAATTGTCCAAAATAACCAAAATTGTAACATTTTAAGAGGCAAGAAGATACGAGAGACAAGCACTGGCTTAGTTCCTACCCATGACGGCCAATTTTGCAAAGCCTTGTCGAGAAGACGTCGCCTCAATATTTTTACAATAAATGATATGTAATTGATGATTTAACTTAATTAATTGGAATAAATTCGTGCGTTATGTTAAAATTTAAAAAAATTTGGTAAATCATAATTTGTATGCAAATATTAAACAACAAAATATCATAAATAGAGCGTAGTCACGTCAACCTTCGCATATCTCGCAAATTCATAGCATAGTTAGATGCCCGACTTTCCAAGTTTTTCGAAATTTCGAAAAATTTTCGCTGGAAAATCACAGGGTATTTTTTTCGCAAATTTACCCAGCAACTGAGCATTACAGAAATTAACGAAAAAAACATCAATTTTCATAAGTATCTATCATTGCGAAATTAGTGAAATCATATTCTGTAAATTTCTCCACACGACCTAAATTTTCAGGACCTTTCCAAGTTTCCTATTAGAAAATTTCGCAACTCATTTAACGCAATTGGTGACGTGAAAAAAACTTTGTGGGGAGTACGCCCATAATAAATTGGACAAACTCGACTGGAGTAGGGATAAATTTAAAGTGCAAATTTTATGACCTTTTGAACTTAAATCGCGAGAAATTTCTCGTGAGAGCTAATCTAAGCACGTGACGTTCGAATTTTGTATCATTTCAACGGCGAAGGTTGGTTAACAATTTTATCATGTAAATAACAATGCTTTTATCCGCGAATTGTTGGCTAAATAACTTCCCATGCGAAATAATGGATTGACGTGAGTAAGCCCAACACCAAATTTGTTCAATAAATGTGCATATTTACATCCATCAAAAGCATGTAGACGAAACATGTGATCGATATTTACAAAATGTGTAATTTCAACAACGTTTTCACCATGTTATAACTAAATATTTGATAATTAATTTTGGCAGGATTTAGTGCTCTTCTCACCCATGTCTCTTCCCTAATCGAGTAAACTCTTAATTCAATATCCTTAAATAAATAGTAAAAAAAGAATAACCGACTCACTCCCATAATTTGGTCGGACCCTTTTGTCATATCCTTTTCTTATGGAGTTAAGAATGTCAGAAATTTTCTCTCCCAGTGGCACCGCTTTCTCCTCAGTAGAGCTAAAATTTGAAAATTTGAAAATCATGCATAATTAATTAACAAAAATAAATTGATTATTTATTGATTAAATCTCACATTCCCCCAATTTATATTTTTATTCGAAGATTTTTTAAATAATTAATCAAGCCACCAAGATCACCCACATTAAAAACGTTTCATACTCTGACAAAATTTTTCAGAAATATTTTTTTCTAAAATTCTTTCCACAATCCAAATTTTAACCAAAATTATTAAAATCTTTCCTTCAACGTGTACTTACTTGTGCTTATTTCCATCGCAATTGAGCAGGTGGGGAAGGAGGCAGAATGTCACTCCGAATAAGAGCAACATTAAAGTGTGAGAAGTAAATGTCAAGGCCTTATGCACATAAATTTTAAATTTCCTGAAAACAAAAATCAACATTTCAAATTATCCCTCAATACATAATTTTAAAAAAACATTTACAAAATTCCCAATCTGTATGAAGATATATATACTCACCTAAAAAATCGTTACGAAAATGTCAGTCCAACCCATAATTTCAATTAATTAATTTCATCACTCTTTAAATCCTTAATCATCAATATGAATACACTTAATCACAATTAAATAAATATGTTACACTATGAATTTATATATTTATTTACTTATTGCTTAAATAAATAACTCTGACAGAGAGAAAGATGAAGAGAGAAAGAGTAAATAAGTGCGAGAAGGAGGGAAGAAGAAGAGAAAGCATGTACACGGAGTGAAAGGAGGCCAACCTCTTCCACCACTGAGCAAAAGAAAGAGGAAGAGAAAGTGGCAGAGTGAAAGCAGTAGGAGTAGGACAAAGCCATACCGCACAATATATCCAGTTGCCGTTACGAAATATGGGGGCCGTTCATAAATTATGTATCGAAAAAATCGCAATTTTCGCAAAAATCGAGGCATGTGTAACATAGACAAGATATTATCTAAACCTTAGACCCCCAGCCCCCCTTTTGCGTCACATAATTTAAGAACGGCCCCCAAGCGAGTCATTAGTGTGTGGGTGCCACTGCTGCTCCTTTCTTTCTATTTTGCAAGGATATGTAACAGAACAGAGTGAGAGTGAGTAAGAGAGTTGGGAGGAGAAAGTAGTCCCGACCGACCGAGCTCGGACTTTCTCTTTGGAGAAAATCAATACTAGAGATCTTTCTTTCTCTGTCACACTTTCTCCATGGGTTTAATATACGTAGATAAATATTATCGCTGCTTTCTCTTTGATGTTTCCTTTCATGGATGAAATACATGCATGCCTGCATGCATACATAAAGGAGGAGGAGAGGGAAGTGTGGGGTTACGTAGGATAGGATCATGCACCCTAAAAAGTAGGGTGTTAAAAGTATATAAATGCGTTCTGAATTCTATATTAAGTAAACTGTACTAAATCTGGAGTAACGTTGACTCGGTGAAGGGTAAATTTTAGGCTGGATTTAGTATAGTTGAGGTAGTTTAAAATTGAGAGTGGATTTACGATTTAAAAATGTAACATTATTTTTAAGAGTGTGAATTCGTAATATACTTGCAGAAATTTTGCACAGCCAGTGATTTTTGCATTTTTTAGGATACGCCAATTTATAAAGGTCTGTTCTACGGAACGGATATTTGATACGTCATTTTTGTATGTTTTAAATTTCTGTGTCTGTAAATTTTTATGCATTTTTCTTACGGATGTTTGGTCCTATGTATCTTAGTAATTAATTATTTGTTAGAAATTGACTTTACTTCATCTTGTGTACTCGTGAAAATACGAATAAATATTTTCTACCGAATTTTACAAGTAATTTTTATCTTGCTAAGATAAACGTGTAATTAATTTTAGCAAACAAATTGGAAAATTTGGTGTTGAATATATTTCCGTGGAAAAGTTTACTTCAGAAATATTTAAATAATTTTGCAAAATTATTTGGAGGGTATAGGTCACCACGGAACCCTGTACTTGGTGAGATATTGATCGCTGAAATTACATCCACTGCCATGTTCACCTTTCCCCTTTCTTTCACTTTGTTACCTTGCCTTTCTCTCTTTTTTCCCTGTTGAGCGTGACTAGAGCAAATGAGCGATCTTAATCTACATGGCACCAATCTCGCAAATTATTACTAATTCATGCGGTGAACTACATATGTACATGAAAAATGTGGAGTCGTTATTTTCTCCACAGAGACGAATTACAAAGTTTCAGGTTGGCATGCGAAGGCCAAAGTTGCTCAAAGACGTGGTTTCTAAAAGGAGTTTAATTTGACACCGAAATTTTTGCCTCTCTTAAGGCTTTTCTTGGTTGCAAACATTTTAAGACAATGTTTCCCCTAAATTTGATTGACTGTTTAATTTTGAGAGCAAATTTTTCTTATTTATGTATATTTGAAATGTTTGAGATATGATGTTATGTATGTATGTAGCTTAGTCACATATGTACCTATGTATATATGTATATATATGTAGATACCCCTCTACAAATGTGATGAAGTCACATATTTACATATATACATACACACTCCATAATGGTATCGATTTGGTGATAACTCCTCTCCGAGTTGGTGATAGCTTGATTCTGAGTTTTTATCAAAACAACGGTGGCAATTTTTCACTACACGGTAATTCCCGTTACCGCCGCACCGGTTAAGTCATAAACTGGATCAAGTGTGAGCATTTGTACGGAATTTGTATGCCTTTATTTTATTACGATTTTACGAGGTACTAAATCACTAAATACTTCCCCTGAACCTTGTACTGAATTAAATACTGAGGGTTAGGCGAGATTACAGAACGTGTCGAAAATTATTAATTTTTGGCCGAAATATCCATCGCTGGATATTTTGAATGATTTCATCGTATTCCTCATCCTTTTCTCATGAGGAATGAAGTTATCATTTCCAAAAAGCCGGGTTTTTAAAGCCGGCAGCAGAATTTCTTTGAACCACTGTTCATCTAAAAGTTTGCAAAATGCATACAAATTTTTTTATGTCCATTTGAAAAAAGTGTCGATCTGAAGTTTCAAATCAGAATTAAAGCACTGGAGGCGCATAACCGGACGTAACTAGTTTATCTTTATGCAGAATAATTTAAATTCCGAATATTAAAAAAAGAATGGCTGCGAACTGGGCGGTAATCCGAGCGCTGTCAGAAAAAAAGTTTTGTGTACACCTCATATCTTCTGATCCTCGCTGAAGTTGTGCATATCTTGGTGAATAATTCAGTTCAGCGTACGCCCAGGGACCTGACACTTCGTGGCCAGTTGATTTTGTATTGATAAAAAAATTCTTGCCTCGTCCACATCAATTTTTCTCACGTGCGTCGGGTTTCTTACAGCCCGGGGAGCATGCGTTCGACGGATGTGGCATCATCAAATTTCTTGCCTGGTTCCTTTTTTCAACTGAATCCTTCATATTAGGCATTGGGCCATTAGAAATGACAGTTTTTTCATCATGGAGTTTGTTTAGTATTTTTTTGTACGTCATTATTGCTTGGCAAACTGTTTTATCAGCAGGGAGCTCTGTGGGGTCAATTTCTGGACCCGTTTTCAAACTTTCGAAATTGAGCTTTTGGGTCACGGCACAGCTTGAACCAAACTTCGAGAAAAGTTTCGAATATTTGAAATTAGCGCAATTGTTTAATTTACATGGGCAAATTGCTAAACGTTCTGTAATCTCGCCTAACCCTCTGTACTTCATCACTTAATGAAATTAATGATGGGTCAATTTGTAAAATCGGTTTCGTTAATGTGCCAGAATACAAATTTTGCATAGAAACAGCTATGCTCTGTGTCGCCTGGATGAATTTAGCGTTTTACAAAGTATGCAAGATAAGGGGACGTTAAAAATGTATGTTCACATTTTCTAGACCCCGTTCCCCCTTTAACATAGTCACGATATCATTGGAGCCTTAGACCCCCCCCCCGCCACCCCTTTGGTATTTATGGACTGCCCCTAAGCAACTCGTAGTGAAAGATTTTACAAAGATTTTATAAAATAGGTACATACTTTTATAAAAATTTGGAGTTATTGTTCAATTAGAAATGCCAAATTTTCCATATACATTATAAAGCCTCGAATTAAATATAACGGAAACAAAATTTAGCCTCGTCCGTGCTAACTTGTATCCCGGGATATAATTAGAATATTTACATTCCGTACATGTAAATAAAGGACAGTGATGAAATCCAGGAAATGGAAGAGTCCTAAATTAATCTGCAATTTTCCATTGCAGATTCACTACTCACCCAACAAAAGTATCGCTACTGGTTTAGTTTATTAGGCTATTAATCATTTTGCTTGGATTTGGAAAGATCATTGAAACAAAGGTATGTAAATCGGAACAAATTTGAGACACCTTTGGGATGACATAAAATTTATGCGAGCAAAGTACATAAATCTGCATCTGGTCATCTCCTGGAAAATTGTATGGTATGCAAATCCTGTCCAGTACACTTCACGCTCTACTTTCACTCACAAGTTGTTCACCCAGATCTTAATTTTGTCCTTAGTTTCACTCTAAGCGGGTGCATCATCATCTCAATATATGTACATAATTGCGGTGTTACTAAATAAGATCCCTGTCATTTATGTAAGTAAATTATCTGCAAATCACAACCGATTTAATGTATAACTTGAGAAAAAAAATATAAATAAAATAAAAACAATAATGGGTCAATCTCAGCCTGTCACACTCGTCCCTCACATCTCAAATTATATACAACTGATTGGGGACGGTTTACTAATACCAATCCTTTGTTTAGTTGCCATTATTCTGAATGTTACAGTGGTTATAGTTTTGTGCTCGGGAAAGATGAAAACCATTGCAAAATATAACCTTCTTTCTATTATGTTAATGCTGGTTGACACGTTGGTATGTTTGTTTGAACTATTGGAAAAATTGATGTACTCGAGAACCTATCAAGGATGGTTTAATTACGGACAAACTTACACTTTCATAGCATTTCGGATTGCGAATTTGTACTGCGTGAAAGCAGGTAAGTACATAAGTAAATCCATAAATTAATGCAGACGGTTTCCATCAGCTATCGCCGGTAAAAAACATCTAATTTTATTTCCCGGTGTTTTATCTCAAAAACATGGTCAGCGGGTCTGAGCTATTGGATTTAGTCGGTTTTTTAAATTTTCATGACCCCCTCCACGTAATGGCATAGGCGAAAGCAGTACTTTTTTTGACAATATTTGTCAACTTTCTCCCTTCATTGTGAAGCAACCACTAGGCCCACAGCGGTCAAACTTCGCATGGACAATCCCCCGGCCATGCTTTAGGGTCAAACGGAAGCGCTAAGCCCTATCCATACTCGATGACCTGAAACTGACATGAGGTCAAGTTACAAATTTGACTTCTCCATTAACATTCTTTAAATAGCTAGCATTTCAACAATCCTGGATAGATTTTTCTCATATTTGGTGAAAACTGATCCGAATAACGATATCTGATCTGGATGCACTCAGAAGCATGCTGCTAATTAAGCCGGTAATTCAATTTAAATTACTTGTGAGTTTATCAACAATTCTCTTCTTCACAAATTTATTTCCTTGGTTTTACAGAAAAACACCAATATTGCTGAGGTGCTGAAGGACAACAATTACAGCGCCCCCTTCATTTTGGCATTGGGATCAGTCTCAGATTTGGAGTTTTTCGATTTCTTCATAATAATTAAAAAAAATTGCAGTTCCATGTGGAAACAAATTTTTGAAGGCTTTGGATGCAACATTCAAATGTTTTACTGTACTATCGCTACCAGTCGAGTCGTTTGATCATTGGCTTTTCATCCAACACGGCGTTTGTGGTAAGCCTTCGCCACATCAATTACCAGCGGTAGTTCAGGCTTTAATTGGTCAAGTGATGCGAAATTTTCCTTGAATTATTTTTCTACTGTGGTCTTTATTATTCATCATATGACACTTAATTAATATGTAACTCATTAAACAATTTAAAAATCTCGTTTTTGAATAAATTTTTAAGTCAAATAAAATATTTGTAATTAAAATTATTTGCCTTGTTTGGGGTATAAGAATGGGTCATATTAAGTATATACAATACCATCCAGGGTTTCATGAAATGGGTTGCATGGGGTAATGCGCGCAATGTCTACCCTGCACAGCGGAGAGTAGTCTGGCAGGCTTGTTACCCTTTGCTTCGTAGCACAGGGTAAACTGCCTTACCCTTTGCCCAGATTCGAGTTGGTTACCCTATTCAGGGCCAATGCACTTTGCACCCTGCACTTGGTAATATTTTACCCTGTACGGTGGTTTCATTTTTAAGCGTGTATATTTAAGTTTTCGAATTTTCGCCTGGGTGGCAATTTTAGACCTTCAACATGTTTTTGGCGAAAAATTCCTGTAAAAAATCGTACACGGTCAAACCAAAGCTCAATATTCCTCAAAACGCATGCCGCATCCAGTAAAAAATATTGAAAATTTCAAAAAAATGCTTTTTTTACACCAAAAATTTTTTCAGAAGAATAATCCTGACCTTAAACCTATCTGCAACATTAAAAATCGGCGACGAGGAAATTGTCGGCAGATAGTTTTAACATTTTTCTACGGAGTTTCAAAGTTGAAACAGTACGGCATCATGTGGAAATACAAATTTTGGCATCGTAGCTAGACTTTTGTTACACACTGTATGTACAATGCTGTTATGTCATAAATTGTTAGGTTCAAATTTGTTGTGGATACAATGTAACTTGCTAAATCATGCTGAGAATTAACATGTAATTACATATATGGGCAATGAGCTTTGTAAGAATTATTCATTGAATAAATTAGTATATTTATATTATATGTATTTCGAAGTTTAAATTATCGTCCAAGTTTAGACCAAGCTTAAGGGTTTTATTCCTGCTTAACTGACAATCTTGAATAAAATTATGTGCCAATGCAGAAAGTATGTATACACGGGAATTTTGTTCTTTGTTCAGGTACTCAGCCATTGTGGACAGAACGAGAGTACGACATACAAAGAGGCACTCCGTGGCGGCAATGGCTATTATGACTGTCTCGTCATTAGTCTATGTGCCAGTATTACTTGTCTACTCGTCATCAAATGGGAATGATGGAAATTTCTTTTTAAAAAGAAACACCAGCTATGGTGTCGTCCAAAGTTTATATTTCAATTTCCTATTGCCCGTGATTTCGTACTGGATCCCGTTTGTGGGTGTGGCCCAACATTCCCACAAGACGTTGTCAATTCCCGTGCTTATCTGGGAATCAATGACTTCCTCCATTAAAATGAGGAGTTGGCTCTAAGGTAAAACTAATTTAATAAGACGGGACAGATTAACTTCGTATACATAACTAGCATGCTCCTGATGTGGAATGATTCATTTGAAGCGAAACGTACGTGTGCACTGAAATCGCAGATAATAGGTCCTCTCAAGGCTCAAAAAATGAGCGAAATGAGCAATGAGCAGAAAAATAAAAAATCAGATTTTTCTGCTCAAACCTTGAACGTACCACTTTTTTTATCGATCATAATTCTTGAGAATCGTGATCTTTATTTGTGGGAAGTTCAATTATTTGTTTATCATTTTAATGGTTCTAAATTCAGTTTCATAATTAGGGGTTCCAGTCCCGGGATTTTTCGGGATTTAATTCCCGGGAATTCCCGGGAAACGGGATCCCGAAATCCCGGGATTTGAATGACTGAAATCCCGGAATTTCGGGATTTTTCAATTTGTCATTCAGAAGTGAAATTACTTGTAATTTACTATTTTAATAGCAGTTTTATATAATTTTCGGTTATATGATTGGTAAGAAAAAGCTTTGAAGAGCATAACCAGTCAAAATTGATCCTAAAGTCGAAAATTTACATTCTAAACAATATTGGTAGCCGTATTTTTCGAATATTCATCCAAATTTTGTATTTAATTCACAAATAAAATTTTTAATACAACATGGAACTTAAAATTTTCTAATTTAGATGTCAGATATTAAATTGAAGCAAAAAGAACGCCGTATTTTCGGCATAATTATGGAATCCGAAATCACGTATGCCCAAAAATACTAAAACGTTACAAGTGATTCCAAATTTTAGTCGATGAATTTAAGGCTGAATGAAAAGCTTTTTGACTGAACGAGGTAGTTCGTATATTTGAGCTTGAAGTTTTTGAATTGCCAAATTCCATGTCCAATTGTAGTTTTTGAATAATTGTTCGCGATTTAGGCCAAATAATACTGCTAAACTTAAGTTTGTGCATTTCTGGTTAGGGTCTCATTTAATGGGCCAGACTTTTAATTGAAATCACATAACTAAATATATTGAAATTCCATAACTTGAATTTCCAGTACTTTATATGCCTTAAAACAACCTCTATAACTGAATCCATCAGACACGGAATTTCATAACTTATGAATTCATTTATATGTAAAAATCCATCAAAATAGTTACTGTTCAGGTATCCCTTGCTCTAATCAATGGTAAACCATACAATCATAATCTAGAAGTGCACAGTAGTAGAAATCGGAGACACCAAGGAATTTTGCAACCACTTCACTGTCAGAAATCTGGTATACTCGGGCTGGTATTGATTTCTCGGTATTATAAAGTTGCTACCGCTTGGTATTAAAATCATACCGGTCTGTGATAATTTCCTACCGACATTGTAAAACTTTAATAACGAACTGTTATGTGTTACACCGTATTACTTATCAACACCACTTTGGTAGAATCATACATTTATGATAGCCTGGTAATGAATATTTGATTTTATTTGGATATTGGATTTCTAAGAGTGTTCGAAACAAAATTTGTTAACCAAAAGTATGGGGCCTAAGCTCCAGGATTCCCAAGCACAAATAATGTGCATAGTTAAATCAATCAATGAGAAATGAAAACACTTTTAGAAAACGAGTCCACTGGTGAGCTACATAATGGTAAGCCTCAAGCATATGAGCATTGTTGGACAGGGACTTCGTCTCGTTAGATTCCAAAATAATGCTCTACACCGACATAGAGAGAGGAAGCCGTGACCGTTCCTGTTGGGATATTGAGCCTTCAGGGTCTGCCCTGCTAAGGCCGGTAGGCCGCCTACTTGTTGATAATTTTTTTATACAAAAATTCAAAGAAATAGCTCGTGTTTTCCTAAAATTTCTAAAGGCAAATCTTCGAAATTGAATAAAATGTATGATTCAGAAAAGTCTGGCAGATTTCAATTTTACAGTTTTTAAATTGAATTAAAGCACTGGAAATTCAAGTTATGCGATTTCAATATATTTAGTTATGTGATTTCAATTAGAAGTCTGGTGGATTAAAAATAGCCTTTCTGGTTAACATGGTGGCGAACCCTTGATTAATTATTTATGTTTTCTGGAATGAAATTATCAAACTTTTTCTCATCACCTCTCCAAGATAGATGACGAAAATTGAGCTACCACAATACATCGAAATTTTGCATTTATCATAGCAGGCAAAACAATATGCTCGCTAATTTGTGTTACTATCATGTGTATGCCAGAAAATAGCATACTTTATAATAATACTTATGAATGCACATATTTGGAAAACACACATCAGTAGATATGTAAATATTATGTAATATGTAATGTAAGTATTATAAATATGCTCAGGCTCGGTACTTTTAGAGCCATGTGCACCATAATTTGACTAAGTTATACGGTAATATTTGAATTTCGGGAAAAAATCCCGGGATTTGTCACGGCGAAAACCGGGATTCCCGATTCCCGGGATTTAAAAAATCGTCCGGGATTGGAATCCCTATTCATAATTCATACAATTCCGAAAATAACTGAACGTCAAGAGATATGAGAAATTTTATCATTGTGCATGGCTTTAACATGGCTTTTAATGGGTTTCAACAACAGGCATTGTGAAAATATTGCAGGAGAATTAACGAACAGCATTATCTCAAATAATTCATTTTATGTAGCAGCAATAAACAATTTTATGTATAAATCAAATGCTTAAAATTTAGATGTAATAGTTTCCAATTTAATTTTGAGTTCCAGTATTTTTATTTCGGCTTCGCTGAATCGTAATTTTATCGCATTGAAAATCATTAGATTTGATGTAATTGAAAGAAATGACCGCACTTTTGTCCAGAGTTTCGTCTTTCTCAGGGTCAATCCCAAAACCCGACTGGTTTAACTTCTCTTTAGTCTCTGTGTACGTTTTAAGAAATCTGTCAAATCCATTTTTTATTTGACTTTCTTCGCAATTAAGGGCAAAGCATATTGGAGACGACGAAGGAATTTAGTGCGGTTGGTCACCTGCTAAAATATTTTTTTGCGATTAAGGATTTGGTTATTCAAAATTACATGTGGATAACAAATTATCATTTACCTTACCTTAAATGAGGTGTTATTGTTGACGACATAATATGCCATGTCAATTTTTACTTGTGCTGTCCAGCGAAATATTTTTCGGCCACCTACCTCCACGACGCTACTTTTGTTACAACAAATTACGGGATTTGCAACTTTTTCGACAGTGGTACACTTAACCTGGGTCTTGGGACCCATAATGATAAAGAATATGTTTTAGAGAACTTTACTTAATTTTTAAACGAAAAATTGAAGTAAACAAACAACTGATGTGCTGATGTGGAGCAGAATGAGCAGGATTATGAGAGAAAAAATCAACCCAAAACTCGATTTTTTTGTTGAGCAAGAAAATCTGATTTTGAGCGAAATCGCATGCGCACAGCCGAGCAGAAATGATCAGAATGAGCGATGAGCAGAAAAATCAGATCTTTTTTAGAGCTTTGAGAGGACCTAATATCGAGCAAATTTATCAATCAGTGGGAATTCGTTTGAAGTTTGTAAATATGTGGTTGTGAAAATATCTGTTTGATTGATTATATATGTTCGTAATTATTTGGGACACGGATAATCCAGTTTTATCTGATTGCGCATTAACCAAAGTTCAGTGATAAAGTAATGAAGGCATATTTAGTTTGTTCGGAATTATGTTAAGGAATGTTAATTAATTACCAGAATTTAAAGGACGATTTAAATTGAATTTGATCCAGTTTTTGTAAACTGATTTCTATTAACACTTGAGTAAAGGTTTAAATCAAATCAAAGTCTCACTTGTCCTTTGAAAGTGTAGTGTAGCAATTAATAGGTTTTCCACTTTTCGTTCATTGACCTTCTCCCGGGTTAAATTTATTTTCAAGTGAGTCCAACATGTTCCTGCTTGTATTGTTTATCAGGAACCAAGGACTTCCTCCGTTGTGACTGGTTAGTTTTATAAAATTAAAATTTTATAAAATACTGGAAATTTATAAGATTGGTATATACGTACATAAATATAGAGCAGGACAGAATAAACATATACATATTATTACTGACAAGGTTCCGCTTTGGAATAACTCTTCTGGATATAAGCTTATCGGTAAAATTTGAATGGCACAATTTGCAATGATATCAGAGATGATATCTTACATATTTATCAGAGAGTAGAGAATCGTTTGTAATTGTGAGTAAAGCGTTGCATGATTGATTACTTGGGATTAGTTTCAGCTAATTGTTTCGGTTGTTGGAACGTTGTGCCTTATATAACGACGGACTGATCAAGCTTCAATATTTAGCGAGGCATGTAAAAGTTGACATCATCTTTCACTCCCTTCCCCAATGCGAATTGTACATACATACAGTGGCTGTGTTCACGAACGTCGTTAATTCATGACTCTTATCACCAAAATTATTTAGGACACATATCAGAGGTCAACGCCGCCGATTATACGCCGCCGCGCCGCCAGAAGCCGTACCGTTTTGCCGCGCCGCCGCCGCGGCGAAAATCTGGTCGGCGCGCCGGCGCCAATATTCGGCCGCCGATTTATATTTAAATCTGATGAATTTTTTTAATTTAGTGTATTTTTAATATTTTTTAAAAATTTTCTAAAACTTTAACAGTTTTTAAATATAATTTTTATTTAATTTTGAAAATTGATATTTTGAAAATTTTCGTATTGAAATTTACCAGATCACATTTACGATACCATCAAATTCACTACTTGACGTTCCAGGCAAGAAATAGTGACAAAGACTTATGTATTACCTAGTTTAAAAACCTAAAATAGGGTTGCATGATAAAATTATGTAAGAAATGTTACAACCAACTACGTGAAATGAAAAAGCCGTGATATTTGACATAGTTTTAACGAGCACCTCAAATGGTCAAAATTTTGCCGTCAAATATAACATGTTCACAGAGCTGGGACAATCCAGATTAGGGATTGGTGGATTGGTAATCCGGATTAGGGATTAGTCAATCCCTAATCCCTAATCCAAGCTTTGAAAATATTGAAAATAGTCCACCAATCCCCAATCCCGAAAAAAAAATCATTAAAATCAATCCCCAATCCAACAAAAATTTCCAAGCTAATCCCCAATCTGGATTGGTCATAGATCTTGGTTTAGTTTTGAATTGTTTTTCACCTGCACGTTTCAAATTTCCCTTAAAATTACCCAGTGCATTTGACTTTTTAAAATTTTTTACACAAACAGAACCGGTTAACTACTTAATGTGTTGTTATTACAGCTCTAAAATGATTTAAACTGGTTTAAAATAGTTTTCTTTTACTTCATTTCTTGACGTGAAATGATAAAAACATTGTTAAAAAAATGAATTAGAAAACAAAACATTTACACAAAATACTTAAACTTAATTGGTTAATCCAGACTGCTATATTTTTGCACAAAAATTAACCTCTTTGTCTGATGAACTGGTTAATGTGCTGTTGTAATAATATGATAATTTAACATTAATGTGTTGAACAAATTTTCTTTCAATTTTTCATTCCCTTTACTTTTTTTGTAGGGTGAAATCATAAAAAAAATGTTAAACACATTTATTAAGCAAAATAGCAGTGAAAAATAATCCCCAATCCTGAAACTAATCCAGATTGGCCAATCCCTAATCCCCAATCCAAATAAATTTTGTAAAGTAATCTAATCCGAAACCAATCCAATCCCCTAATCCATGCTTAATTCTAATCCCCAATCTAATCCAAAAATTTTGGTGACCAAACCCCAATCCGTAATCCGAAAAAAATCAACTAATCTCCCAGCTCTGCATGTTCAATTTTTCTCTAAAACTTGTCTAAAGTGCATGAAGAAACAATTAATGAAAAGATACATTCTCCTAGAAATATTGCAAATTTTAGATTATTAGCAATGCTAATTTAGCGTGTTTCCTATTTAGCGTATATACGTTTAGTAATTTATGTAGGCGCCGCCGAAGATATTTGATCAACGCGCCGCGGCCGCCGACCAATATGCATTTTCACGCCGCCGCCGCCGCGTAAACCCTCGGTGTTGACCTCTGACACATATGCATATACATCTTGTACAATTGCTCTGTTTATCTTCTAAATGTGCGCATTGTTATTACGTAAAATTAAAATCAATTATGGTCTGCGAATTTGTTTCAATATTTACAATCATTACAACATTATTATGTAGGATTTAGTACAATTTTTTAATACGCTTTGTTTAGCAGTCTTTTCAATAAGTCACATATATTCGCAAAGTGGTATTGTTAATATGTAAATTATGTTTTACGCAAATTTTGTCATGTTAAAGATTGATACACGATATAAATATTTTGAATAATTAATAGTGAGATGCGTAAATATGTATTATGAATTTCTAAAAAAAATCTAAAAATTCATTTCCGCCAACGGTTTTTTTATCAAGTTGTGTCATCGCTTGCAACAACATCCCCAAATATGCGACGATACTGGCCCAATTTCTCACCTGGAACTGATGCCCTTCATCCTCTTGTTTTCTTTTCTTAGCAGAATCGTACATCTCCTTTCGAACGTTGACCACTTTTACGGCTAAAGTTAGCAACTTTGCGACTGCTGCAAAGGGGACACTCTGTCGTCCATCATCGGTCAAAACTGTGGCCTTAGTCAGCAACCCCATCGCAAATTGTGTAACCTTCGTATATTTTCCAATTCCTGCAAAGCATTGGGCTAGCTCGTGTTGAGAAAATATACCAGTTTCATGAGTTTTTGCCAAATGTTTAAATTTTTGAAAAGCCTGGGCAAAGACGGCATTGAATTCCTTGGTTCTGGAAAGGTAGAGAAACCAGGCTTCGAAGAACTTGTACTCCGCCGTGGCCCCACTGATTCGAGGATTTGGTAATCTTTGAAGTTTTGGATTGTCTCGGTGCATCATTGCTTGGGCGTGGGCCTACAAAATTTGTTAAAGTTTTTGGTGTTTAAAAATGAATGAGGTAAATGCATTCTTGAAAATACTGTCAACCTTTTAAAAAGTAAATGAACACCAAAATTTATACTGTAACGCTTCCTATTCTACATATTGTGGGTGGGGTTGCGTGTCCCGATCACACCCACTTTCGCGGATGCCCCTTTATTTTGTGACGTCGTGCAATAAATTTGTAGTAGAAACTCACTTTTTTATAAGAATTATGAATATATTTATTTACATCAATACCGACTGAAAAATAATGACTCTACAAAAATACTCGTATTATAAATACGAGGGAGAGCTACATAGTTTATGTAATTCAGAATGCATTTATTGTTCAAAAGCGTAACATTAATTTAAAGAATATCGATCACTTACGTAAGATTTTAGATGTCCTTTGAAACTACTATCGTAATTAATTGTCCTTCCAGATTTTGTCCATGTAGCTTCAGCCTGGGTTAGCTCACGCCCGTTTGCATAATGTTCATATAAAACGTTGTCGATCCCATAATTTATCACGTATGCAAGGACTTCCTCCATTATGCGTGGTTAGCTTTTAAAGAAAATTAACGAATTTTCTAATCGTAATTAGGTGCAAGTTTGATTTGTAAGGGAACAAAAGACGGAGCAGATATACTACATAAATTGGTATGTACATATATATGCATGCATGACTGACAAACTCTTGCAATCATGGATGAGCTATGGGTGCCACTATCTGCCACGGTATCACGTTTATCAGAGATAAGTGATTCGTCATTGTCATTAGAATTGTGAAAACGTTGCTTGATTTATTACAAACAGCGCAGGGGCGGGAAAACGATACATATCGTCGTACTAATTCATAAAAGACCTAAGTGCAGGCAATGCTAAATTCAGAAAAGACCTAAGTGCAGTCGGTGTTTAAATCAGAAACGACCGAAGTGCAGTCGATTCTCAATTCAGAAAAGACCTAAGTGCACAGAAAAAAAGTAAAAAAAGACCTATGTGCAAGTATGTATTTACATATGGCTAAATCTTGCCAAAATGATTTTTCATATATATCGCGCGATTTAGCCATAAGTAAATACATACTTGCACATAGGTCTTTTTTTACTTTTTTTCTGTGCACTTAGGTCTTTTCTGAATTTAGCATCGCCTGCACTTAGGTCTTTTATGAATTAGTACGACGATATGCAACCCAGATTATTTTTGGAACACCTCAGTTTGAACGGCAAACTCTTCAACAACACCTTTTAGTGCAAAATTTCTATAGATGCGTAAAATTCATAACGTCAGAAGTTCGTCGACGCATAGGTAAAGGTAGTCGGTCAGTTTAGCGAAAACACTTTTGGCGAAAAACTTTCGCCAAAAAATAATCCCATTTGGCGAAAAACAAATTCCATGCATTTCACCGTACGTCAGTTTTATTTTACTTAAAGTACCTTCTGGCGAAAATAATGTCGCATTTGGCGAAAATGAGGATTTTGTGAAAATCGTAACTCATGAAGAGCGTTCAACCCTCTGGGGATCATCGAATAAATGGATTTGTGACGGGACGTTTAAATCATGTCCAAAAATATTCAAAAGGAGTGGTCAACTTTACGCAATGCATTGCATTTAAGAAGCAATTGACAACATAAGCCGAACACGCCGACAATGCGTTCCAATGGTTTATGCCCTTCTCGCTAAAAAAACAAAGAGTGGTACAAAATATTGTTTGAGTTTATAAAAGCTAACGTCAGAAACTATAATCCTTCAAATCGAGCCTTCGAGGCTGCGGCAATTGATACTATAAAATTCGTGTTCACAGAGACATTAATTGAGTTGGTTCCACCTTTGTCAAATATTTTTAGGAAAGCTCAAGAATTAGGCCTACAATCAAGCGATTTGACATAAATAAATGCGAAATTTAAATTTCGCCAAATGTACTTTTGCGAATTTTCCACTTTCGCCAAATGTGACAATAATTTCGCCATTTAGTACTTTCATGACAATTTTTTACCACATTGGCGAAAATATTTTTTCGGCAAACTGGCTTTCGCCAAACTGACCGTCAATCAGTTTCGCACTAAACGCTTGTACAGAGTTGAGTACAAAGTCTTACAAACTGATGTGGAAAAAAATAGTTGAACATGGTTTGTGTCCCGATTGTTCGCTCGTTATAATTGTTTAGGACGGGGTGTTGCTTTATCTTATCAGAATCCAATATTTACTCACGTCGCGACTAATTTGTTGGGACATGTAGTAAACATACATATTTAGTGCAGAGAAGAGAAGTTCGATGGGCGGAAATTGCACAAATACATACATACAACTAATCCATGGTTGATTTATATGGATAAGCATGCATGTAATGTATTAATAGGCAACTCAACTCAGGCGTATTAAGGATATTATATTATTTTAGACAGAAAATAATATGTCAAAACACTGGATCAGGGAGTCTTTCACATTAGTGTTGTTGAATTTCGCCATTTTATAGCCCATGCACTTTTGTTTAAAATAATAAAACCAACAACAGCCGTCTCCACTAGCCTCGCAGTACCATTTGAAATCGTACAATCACACTACTTACATTGTTGGAGGAAATGCCATCAATGAAAAACCTTACATAAAGTCCTGTTATTCATGTTTCATGATGGGACTTAATAAATAATTTCTGAACTCAAGAAATGGTGAAATATTTATTGAAACAACAATTATATACAATCACCTAACTCGATTTTTTTACCCTCGCGTTTCGACTTCGGTGTGTCGTTGCTTTTGTTTTTTTCTTTTGGGGTGTCTTTTTGTTTCCATACTTACAATGCAAGTCTTTTACGTGTACAACTCAGATCTTGTTGGGACCAATTTTATTTTGTTAACCACAAAAAATAAGCGTACCCGTATTTTTTCATTTTTCCTAATGCGCTAATTTGAGCGCGGGGCGCGGATTTTAAAACATTTTTCAGCCAAACCTCGCTTTTTAAAAATTCTGTAAATTTTCGAATTTTGGCACGAATCTAAAAATTCGAAAACATGTCTCTTCAGAATGACTTACTTGACTTGTGAAAAATCCAATTGTCTCGAAATTTGAATTTCAAAATTTTTTGCCAGTTTTTGAAATTCATTAAAATTATCAACTCCTTCAAATTTTAAATTTTTCAAAAAATAATGCATGTGAATTTTTCACAAGTCAAGTAAGTCATTCTGAAGAGACATGTTTTCGAATTTTTGGATTCGCGCTAAAATTCGAAAATTTACAGAATTTTTAAAAAGCGAGGTTTTGGCTGAAAAATGTTTTAAAATTCGCGCCCCGCACTCAAATTAGCGCATTAGGAAAAATGAAAAAATACGGGTACGCTTATTTTTTGTGGTGAACAAAATAAAATTGATCCCAACAAGATCTTAATACTCATAATCACTATTTATAATAATACACGAGCTAATACGGCGTGAAGATTTATTTACATACTTAGTTTAAATATTTAATAAAATAGTTTAATAAATATAATCTTTTTAGTAGTTTTTTTGTTAGTCATATATACATAAATATGTACATGTACATATATTCGGTCACAGGTTTTGTTCATAAATTATGTTAAGAAATGTTAAGGAACTACAATAGTAACGCATCCTCAATACATTGTTTACTGATATCCCAAAAAGCCTGGATTTCCTCAATATTTCCATAAATGGTTATTTTATCCATGCGTGTCATCGCTTGCAATAAAATCCCCAAATATGCGACAATACTGGCCCAATTTCTCACTTGAACGTGGTGCCTTTCATCCCCTTTGTTAGTCTTATTAGCAGAATCATATCTCCCCTTTCTGACATTGACCACTTCAGCGGCTAAAGTTAGCAAATCTGCGACCGACTCGAAAGGAACACGTTGTCGTCCAGGATCCGTTAAAAGGACAGCCTTGGTCAGCAAACCCATCGTAAATTGTGTTACCTTCGTATAATCTTAAATTCCGGCGAAACATTGGGCTAGCTCGTTGGACGAAAATATTCCAGACTTGTGAGTTTTAGCTAAATCTTGAAATTTTTGGAAAGCCTGGGCAAAATTAGCGTTGAATTCCCCAGTCATTGAAAGGCATGTAAACCAGGCTTCGAAGAAACGGTACTCTGCAGTGGCTTGGTTTACGCCAACATCTGATAATCCTTTAAGTTTTGGATTGTCACGGTGCCTCATCGATAAGGTGCGATCCTAAAATATTGGGAACTTAGAGATTTGAGGTAAATTGAAGTACTTGCACCGTCCAAAAATATTTCCTCATTCAAAACTGTTTCAAGGCAACATCCATGCATTACGTCATCAAACAAACGCCAGTTTCGAGACCACTCATCCAACCCTTCTCCATCCTGCTCATGTTACGCTTAAAACGAATAAGACACATAACCCAAAACCACCCACCCACCTTTTCGATGGTGCAATGTATGGACGCTTCCTTCGTGAATTAATTAAGTCGCTTACTCTACGTCTGAGATGCCCTTCGAAACTGGGGTCGTAATTAATAAGCTTTCCAGTTTTTGTCCAGGAAGCTTCAGCCCGGGTAAATTCCCCGCTATTCGCCTTATGCAGGATATTATCGATCCCATCGCTTATCACGGCACCAAGGATTTCCTCCATTATGGATTGTCTCAAGACAAATCTATTAAGGGGTGAAGCCAAGCGAAACGCATTTGTGGATATATGTACGTATGTCCCTCGTTCGTCCGTCAGTCCGCCTACATATATGTCTGTATCCGTCATATCTGTAGAAAGGATCAGCATTTCGACATGTTTCGGCAACGTGTTTCTAATATTTGAAGCATGTACGAGTTCGAAGTTGGGCGTTGTAAGTCTCAACGTTACCACTCCACGAGATGGGACCAACACTTTACATACGTCTAAAGTTCTTATTGTTAGTTCGACCGTTTATGTAAGACGTAGTTTGGGGAGAGAATTTCATTTCTGAAATGGTTTTGACATACATATGTACAGATTATGATCGTGTGACCGTAAAGACGTCGTCAAAGTCTGTTAAAGTGAGTTCTGTCATATGGATTGTCAGTGGGGTTGCACCGGGTAGTGGTAAATACTACCCGGTTCTCGGCCTATAAAATGTTTGCCGGGTGATATTCATATATTAAAAATAACGGGATTGTTTCTACTTTTTCAAAAATTTGTCAAGAATTGTCACACCACGATGTCTTATCTATAATCGCAAAATCATTTGGTAAATTTGTGAGGCGGCTAAAAAATTTGTTTCTTGAAGGGATTCGAATCCCGTTGCGAAACAAATGTTGGGAGACTTTCGAAGTGATATCTTTAGAATCGATAAAAACGTCTATTTTAATCTTGTTTTCATCGATTTTCGCAATTTCTCTCCTGATGATCACTAAGACGAGTTTGCGAAAAAATAATCTTGCGAAAAACCTATGGCTTTCTAGCAAAAGCTTTTAAGAAATCTTGCTAATTTCTCAAAACTTCGAGACATTCAATTGACTGATTGCAAATTGGTTGACGTGAGTGCTCAAAGTAATTCTAAAATTTGTGTATAATTTCCACATATGTAAGTGTCCAACGGTCTACTCATTCTTTACAAATATGTACATTATTTTATACCCCGTACAAAAATTCATAATTTTTTGTATGGTTTTGCATTTCAGGTGATAAAATTGAATATATAAATTACCCGGCGGGTTAGACCGGGTACTCAAGTATACCCGGCCGGGTACCGGGTATCCAAAAACAGGCCGGGTATTCCGGTACCGGGTAACTACCGGGTACCAGGGGCAACTCTAGTTGTCAGTAACGAAGTAAAGTCAGGTAAAAAGTAAAGTCGGGTAAGTTCAAACTACACGGGTCAAGTGCCAAATAGGGTCGAAAGGACACCTGGGTGGGGTGACGTAATACAATGATGGAAAGTGTGGAAGTCCACGTGGGTGTGCCATAAAGACAGTTATGCGTGGCTTCACCCCTTTGCTACATTTCGTTCTCAACTCTTTATTACGTTTCGTGATATATGTACGAGACCGGCAGTTTTTATTTGAATTATGACCAGCAGGTTCTCTTGATGTGGAATGATTCTTCGAAAGGGCATCGTATGCATGGGTAAACTGTGGAGGGCATAATCTGCTACATATAAATCAAATACTACATGATATCGTACATATTTATCAGGGATTAGGACATATGTATGTACATAATTACAGCACAATTGTTGAATTATTATATGATTACCTAGGAATAGTTGAAGATAATTGTTTGGTAAGACGTATGTATGTAGTGTTTTGTATGATGACGCATTGATCAACGTTGAATGTCTAATCAGTCACGTAGAGGTTAATGTGGCATCACATTTTATGACCTTCTCTCTTATGCATGACAGTAATGTTTTTTTTTGCTTAGAAACACTCAAAATTCCTGATCCTAATCACTAACACAATTTAGTATGAACATGCACAGCACAACTCGTACAAATGGCTTCTTTAATTTCGTATTACATAAATGTATAATTATCTACAACATAAAGTTGAAATCAACAATGACACGCAAATTTATTCAATTATTTACAGTAAATACAAAATATTTAGCACTTGTTACAATTTTTTAATCATACATATTTTAGCAGTACAGGATTTTTAAGAAAGCACACACACATGTTCGTGCATATTCGAAGATTCATGTATAAGTTTAAAAGGTTACCTACTCGAAATTGATGGATCTCGCCGAACGTTTTTCCATGAATAATTAATGAAATGTTTTTTTATAATTGGTTTATAAATGCTGCTTAAGTAATTGCCTGAAGCCACTCCCGTATGTGCGTTTAGTGCAGTTTATTTCGTTGCATGCATCCTTAGTTAGTATCGTTAAAGAGTTTACAAACGAAAAACAGGGGGCAAGCTTCGTCAAAATCGTAACCTTCGTAACGTGAATTGCGGTGACAAAATCGTACCCCGCTTACAAAATCTCATACATAACCGTCGTAACGTATTAAACGACAAAATATACTAAGTTCACAATAAATGATGAATGCCTCATTATTTTTAAGAGAGTGAGTGACTTACGTCAAATTCCTGATGTCCGTCGAACTTGGAGTCATAATTAATAAGGCATCCACTTTTTGTCCATTTAGCCTCAGCCCGAGTACCTACACTCAAAATAATCTGGTGTCAATCCAGTGCGGTGTTGTCACATATAGACACCACGCGGTGTTGATGCGGGCAATTAACACCGCGCGGTGTCTATATGTGACTTCACCGCGCTGGATTGACACCAGATTATTTTGAGTGTATGTTCGTTTCCGTTTGCCCAATATTCGTATTGCGGATTCCTGTGCTAATAACGTTGCCAAGAAATTCCTCCATTAAATAATACCCAGTAGCTGGATCAGAAGGAACAATTATAGCATTGATTCCAGGAGACAGATTATGTAAGACTGACCACTTCCTGATGTGGGATGATTTTTGTGTAGGGAATCGTATGTACATATGTATGTATGCATGGATAATATGGATGAATAACCTACCTACTCTCCATTCGCACACAATTGAACTTTGACAGAAATTGAGAATTCTGAGAAACTACGGCACTGCCAATCTCAAACGTCCTCAAAGCGTGCTGACGGGGAACTTTGAGACTGAAAGTGCCGTAGTTTCTCAGAATTCTCAATTTCTGTCAAAGTTCAATTGTGTGCGAATGGAGAGTATGTATGTATAAAACAAAGAAATATAGGCTGGACACTTTTGTAGTTAACGCCCATCAAACAGCGATATGTATATTTACTACTGTGCTAATTAAATAATTAGCTTTTTAGGATTAAAAATGCTGCCTTTTAATGATGACAATATTACTTTTGAATCATGTCCAAAATTTTTTAAATCGAAGAATTTCAGTTTTTCATCCTCATTAAGGTGGGTGCAGTTTTAGAGTATTTATGGTAGCAAAATCTTATTTGAATACTTATTTACATATGTGTTTTTATTTTGTGGGCGTTGCAGGAAGAATTATTCTGGGGGATTTGTTTCGTCCGCTTGTTATGATATCGCAGATATTATATTTACATATTTACATATCAGTTATGAGTAATTAATTCGTCGGTCATAGTGAAAATGTTGCATGATTGACTATATACTGATTTGCGTTATATATTTCCTGATGATTGTTTGAGGCGATGTCCTGTTTCATCTGGTGTAAATTTTTAATGAGTCAAGTTAATTAATTTTTGCGGACACATACTTTGTAAATTTATTTACCTTTGCAATACTTTGAAGATTTATAAGTAAACATGATTTTAAAATGTAATCAAATATTTATGTCAAGATTTACCAAATTAAATATGTAGGTATTAAACATTTACTACGTATTTAACACAATTTTTGTCATACACATATATATCGACTTATGTATAAATTAATAGGCAGTGTCCACGATTTATGTTTTACGCATATTCTGTCACGTCAAAGAATTCCTGGCAGAACTCATTACCAAATGTAGCCATCTGCCCATAAGATTGGATTCCCATGCAGAATTTTTTTATCAAGTCGTGTCATCGCTTGCAACAAAATACCCAAATATGCGACGATACTGGCCCAATTTCTCACCTGAAAGTGGTGCCCTTCATCCTCTTTTTTTCTTTTCTTAGCAGAATCATACATTTCTTTTCGCACATTGACCACTTTTACGGCTAAATTTAGCAAATTTGCAACCGACGAAAAGGGAACACTTTGTCGTCCAGGATCCGTTAAAACAACTGCCTTAGTTAGCAAGCCCATCGCAAATTGCGTAACCCTGGTATAATTTCCAATTCCTGCGAAGCATTGGGCCAGCTCGTCGTGCGAAAATATGCCAGTTTTATGAGTTTTCGCCAAATCTGTAAATTTTTTCGAAGCTTGGCTAAAGACTGCGTTGAATTCCCCAGTTCTAGAAAGATAGAGAAACCAGGCTTCGAAGAAACGGTACTCTGCCGTTGCGTCGTTGAGGTGAGTATTTGAAAATTCTTGAAGTGTCGAATTGTCTGGGTGCTTCATTCCGTTGTAGCGGATCTAAAAATGTAATTAACTTGAGGACATTAATTAATGGATAATGTACATATCCACATAAATGCACTGCTTACGGAAGAGGACAGATGTCCTTTGAAACTGTAATCGTAATTAATACGCTTTCCACTTTTTGTCCATTTACCTTCAGCCAGGGCAAGTTCCCTCGTGTTACTCCAACTTTCGTGTAAAACATTGTTGATTCCATCACTTATAACGGAACCAAGGGCTTCTTCCATTAAATAGGAGTTGTTAGCTCTGAAGGAAAAAAATAGTTATTGGATTACTCGGAGTTTCAATGGGAAAACGTATATAGAAAAAGTTTGCTTTATTTGGTAATATTTCTAAAAATTAATTACTTAAAAGAAAGGACAAATTACGTATGACTGGCAAGTTCCTGCTGGGATGATTATCACTGGGCATGGATAAAATATCTGTGGATGTATGGTAAATATTTGTCAATTTTTAATACATACATAATTAGTCTGTACTAATCATTGGGAAAATGTTAGATAAGTCACTGATTATAAAAGAATACGTTTAAAATAATTGTTTGGGACGAGGAATATACGTTCACACATATTGTTTTAAACAAATGATCACGCACTGACCAAAGTTCAATGTTTAATCAGTCAAGTCACGATTAATTTGTGCGGACGCATGCACGTATAATGAACATATTTACATAAGGTCAATTGGCAGAAATTGCATACATACGTATGTAAATATGCATACATCAAATCAGGCACAAACCTTGATTACTTATGATCCATCAGTTAAAATCAGCATGCTCTCAGACTCGAACAAAAAATTGGATTCGTTTCCAGTCGTAGTGGAATCATACATAAGTGGTATAAAAGGCGAGCATACATATGGATGTAGATGTTCAATTTGCATACATTATAATACAAAAAACTGTCACATTTATGATACGTATGCATATATTTCTGTTGAGTTGTACAATGTCCAAGACATGGAAATATGCAAATTCGCGGCATTATTATAAATATATTTCATAGATACATATGTAGGTATCTATTTTTGAAACGTTACATTCATTGATAAGACTCATGAGGAATTAATCTAAATCAAGGGGGCATACATAAATACATTGCACGTGTTCTGCAAACGGGGATAAGTACAGTGAAAAATCATGTAGTTACATACATGCAAAACTCTACTAGACTGGTATTAAATAGTTTGCTTCAGACCGGTACATTTTTAATTACTGGAACATTACTAAATAAAATTTGACAAAATATTGATGATTAAAATTGAAAAAAATTGGCCATTCTTACCAAGCGGAGGAAACGAACCCGACTCCCATTCCCTTCAAAGGGAAAAATCTCTCATTTTTCAAGTTTGACCTCAAAAATTTTGGCAAATTCCAACCATCACACAAACTGTCTCAAGAAACGTTGGTTGTATTGACTTGGACCACATACATAATTTTAAAATTTTAACCGAATTGAAGGGTTACACTCCACACCATCGCATTGTTAGAGTGTATACAAATCTAACTATAAATATGTAAATATGTTATTACCGTATATTTGTGAAGTTCCACCACATTCTGTTTGTTCAGCCCCTCATGAAATAACGACCTTGATACGTAATGTTGTATATATTTAGCCGCTCTACAGACTGATGTATACATTTAATTATTAAAACTCCGTCAGTCGTGTTGTTGCTGAAATTGGGAGGAAGAAATCACTGCATATTACGTTTTGCAAATTTCGTTTTAAATTTAGTGAGAAAGATGTCGAATTCGAAACCAATTTTTGCATATTACGACATGCGTGGGGTAAGCATAAATAATATCAGAGTTAATGATTTAATTACACATAGTTGAACGATAGCATTGTTATAAAGGTGTCAAATTTTTATATGACTGCGAGTAGTAACTACTTTTTACATCAAAGTTCACAGGATTGCAAAAAAGTGCAAATTTAATTAAGTCTTTCAGCTAGGGTATCCTATCAAGTTGGAACTTGCTTATCTTGGGATTGACTACGTCGATAAGCGATACCCCATAACACAAGCTGGGCTGGATCAGTATCGCAGTGACAAGGCAAATTTGGGTCTGGATTTTCCAAATGTGAGAAATAAAATTGTTTTTTATGACTAAATAATTTGAGATTTTAAATTATTCACGCAGTCATTGGTAACTCGTAAAATGGGTGCGTTTCATAAAACAATTTTACAAATTATTAAAATGAAAAAAACGCCCTTGATTTGACCAAAAAATTGTAAGTTACTTTTCTCCTTCTAAATTTTGGCAAACCTTTGTAAAGGTTTGAAAATTTGCAGAATTTACGGAATTTGTAATGTTACCAAACACTGTGTGAATTGCGTCATTGAGTGATTCGTAAATATATTTAAGTGATGATAGAAATTAAAAAAAAAAATTAATTGACAATTTTTAGAATGCCATAAATTTTCAGAAATTAAAATACCAGAAATTGATAAAACAGTTCTTTAATATGGAAATAGGTGCCGTATTGGAAACACGGCGACATAAATCTAACCGAGACTCGTGCAATTTTGAAATACATAGCGCGCGAAGAGGGTGGCGGGAAATTAATGCCGACGGACCGTGTGGGCCTGGCGAACGCGGAAATGTTGGAGGGTGTTCTGTGGGACGTTTGGTGGTTCCTAATCAATCGATGTTACCGTGACACGGTAACAAAAAAGCTATATTTCGGCTCGAAAATTATTATGTAAATACATAATTATTCAAATTTGAGTAGGATGACGTAATCGAAGAGTTGGGCGAATCGCCGGCAAAATTTGAAATGCTGGATAAGTTCCTCAGAAATAAGGAGTGGCTTCTGGGTGACAAGGTTGAGTTTTTTAACACTATTAGATTATGTGATTTTTTATTATGTAGTTATACGTGTGTAGTTACATATGCAAATTAGTACTGAGGATGAATGTGGAATATTATACCCAAATTTTCAAAAATTGTATGCCCATACATACACATGTTAGACAAATTTTAGCAAGAATAATTAATCAATAAGATTAATACTCAAATTTGTCATATTTTATAATAATTGTGGATGAGTGGATGTAAATAGACGGATTACCCATATATGTACATAAGTTAAATAAACCTCATTTAAATTCTGCAGATTATGCAAATTGTACCTTCTACACTGTGGTAATTTAATAATATTCGTATGCGTTACTCTAGATTTCGTACGTGGACTTCATGCTGTACGAGATTCTCTACCAGTACAACGTCTACGATTCCGAATATCTCGGCCCCTACGGCGCCCTGCTCAAACTGAAGGCCAACTTTGAAGGGCTCCCTGCAATTAAGAAATTCATGGCGTCGCCGGAGTACATGGCAGCCCCGTGTTATCACCCCTTGTACATGAGGTACAAAGCGGTTGGACTCACTTGCTAGATAAGCCGGGTTGACAAAGGCTCAATGAAAATAAAAATATTTGTACATTAAATAATGGTGGTACTGCTGCAAAATATATAAAATTTCCTGTATGCATATAATCGTTATTTAGCGTTAATCCTAAGTACTTGATCAAGCCAACCACAAAACTTTCATTTATGCCCGGTAATCAAAACAATATAGTTAGATATGGACAAAAAATGGTATTCATTTGCTTTCAGTAGTCGCAAGTCAACGGTACGATTGGTATAACAGAAGCGAACGAATTTGTACATGTTTGTGAAATTTGAAGCTAATAAAATTGGCAAGCCTGTATGAGTTGTGCAATGTACAAGATATGGATATGTATGGAACATAATTGTAAATTAATCATCTCTTTAGGCAACATGACTTCATAAAACTGCACGCTAATTACATACATACTGCATCACTATTAATTAATTACTTAATAAATCACTTGGTCAAATATGTACATTGTATGTACGACTGAACAACAAACGTATTGTAAATAGATACATACAAGTAGTATTATATGGTTATAAACACTCCTCAATAAAAAAATCACCTTAGGTGAGTTCTAAAATCACTCCTCATGAGGAAGATGAGTTCTAAAAATAGATCACCAAAGATGGCTTCCAAAAGGGGTAGTGCAGAGACCACGTGACATATGAGCATATGTGTTTTCATGAGCAGATGTGTTTTCATGACCAGATGTGTTTTCATGTGCAATTACTATATTAAACGTAATTTTTTATGCGGCGGGACATGTTGTATCACCCCAAAAGTCTCACTATACCCCAAAAGTCTCAAATCACCCCAAAAGTCTCACTATACCCCAAAAGTCTCAAATCACCCCAAAAGTCTCACTATACCCCAAAAGTCTCAAATCACCCCAAAAGTCTCAATGTACCCCAAAAATCTCAAATCAACTCAAATAAGGACAACGTACAATGAATTATTGATATAAACCTTTATTCACAAAAACAAAAAAACATACAAATTATTTCGAACCTAGAGAACTAAGAGTAGTAGATGAGCTAGCAATTGATGGTGGCAGTGATTCAGTAACGATAGCTCCTTGTTTGATAAGTCCTGGTATTGATGTAATAGGCGGTGTGTCGTAGATAATTGCTCCTGTTCGATATCCAACAAGCACATCATGCATTGGCTGTGACGCAAGTTCGACGGCATCATCCAAGGTATAAGGCTGATCGTTTGCTAGGGCATCTACGATTTTAGCTCCATGTTTAACATAGCCATGCAGTTCACCATCATCACCGTGAATTAAAACTTCACTTCCAGAAATAAGTAAATCCATTGCGGCACCACCGGCAGCTCCACCCACTGCAGCACCTGCTGGACCAGCAGTAACAAGACCAACAACACCGCCAGCGATAACACCAACAGTTCTTGAAGCAGATTTCATGGATTCATCTCCTTTTTCATTTTCTCCCATTGCGTAATGAATTCCCCCCTTGATGTGTCCCACTCCTGGCACTTGATCAGCAAAGTCCTGTACAGCGTCCAAAAATTGTTCCTGATGTTCTCTAGCTTTGTCCAGGTCCCCACCGATCGCATAGCCTGCAGAAACCAGCTGAGATACAACTGGAATCCCGCTAGTTTTGTCGAGAAATTGTTCTTGAAGTTCACGAGCTTTATCCAGATCATTTTGGAATATAAAGTCTTCTTGTGTCTTTCTAGCACCTTCTAAATCACCAGTTATTGCGAGGACAGCAGATTTAGCTTGAGATATAATTGGTATACTATTAATACTTCCCATGTTTACATGTCAACGTCGAAAGTAATACTGACGTATTTATAGTGTAGGGCTTGATTTATAGTGTGGTTGATGTATTGTATGCCAAGCGCACACGTTATTTGCTCCTTAAGTACTTTTTCAAGAATGTTCCCAATGGCGATAATAAGGGCAGTATTGTTATTAACTTTGCATTGGCTATTTGAATGTTGATTTTCAATTACAGCGTAAAAACACATTACAACAAAAAAAATCAAATTCGTTACTAATATTATGAAACTTAGCCAAAATAGGTCTTTTGGCGCCCAAAACAACGCCATCTTTACTCGTTGAAAGTCAGATTAAGACTGATGATTTAAATAAAGAATTAGATCAATTTAAAGGCATTCGTTGGCTAGTTTTACAAGTGACAACATGTCATCGTTTTACATTCACCTGGAAAGCAATTCTTCGTATAATCATTTCCAGGACAATACAGTAACAACGTTTAGGAATTGGATGAGTACTCCTATAATATTAGAGCCAAATCAATTCGAAATAGCTCTGGTGGAATGTTCCTATCCATCTACACCAATTCAATTTACTAAAGGAACACGATTATTCAGATTTCAGAAAGAAAGCAATTCACTTTACATGGATAATTCTGACAATTGGTTCAATATATCTGCTTCCATAGACATTAAAACAATTGATGAGCTAATTGAGTGTCTCAAATGTGAAATCGAATTCAAATTGAAGGACGGATTTGTTTTCTTAGAGCCTGTTAGTGAAATATTATACAAACTTGAATTCGCGCCAGAAGTTGCTTCCGTTCTTGGATTAACTGAATCAATTACTTTGGATGAGCAACCAGTTAAATCCAAGCATCAAATTAGTCTAAGTGCAAATAACACACGTTATTTCGTTTATTGTGACGTGATAGAAAATCAGTATATTGGCGATACAACTGCACCAATGCTGCGTTCATTCGTACATGTACCCACTCAACAAGATGTAATAGTTTCTAAGAGTTTCAACAATTTACAATATGTTTCGTTAGCCAGGAACGAATTTGACTCTATACAAATGTATATAAGAAACGAATTTGCTAAACCTCCGCCATTTAATTTCAGTAGTTTCAGTGCTACACTTCATTTTAGAAGAAAACGCTTGTAGTAAAAATGTATTCCTGTCTGGACAACGTGGACGACGACTTTTATGAGGTCTATTTACATCAAGTTGGTGGTTCCCTTGCTTATAAAGCTAGTTATTACCGGCAAAAGGGAGCAGGTCTTGGTGGTATATTTGGAGCCATAGGGAGAAGATTATTACCATATGTCAAAGCAATCTTACCACATGTAATACCATCGCTTAAAACTGCGGTGAAAAACATTGCTTCAGACGTAATTAACGACAAACAGTCGTTTCGCAGTTCTTTAAAATCAAACGCCATGGAAGCTTTAAAAGGGGTTGGAAACAGTTTAGTGTCTCAGTCTGGTAGTGGAGTTAAACGACGTAGGACAGTAAAACGGAGCCCTAAAAAGCGAAACGTTGTTCGCAAACGTAAACTAGTGAAACGTAAGCCTTTAAAACGGCTCACACGAAAAAGAGCAAAAGGAGTTACACGAAAACGGAAAGCAAAGTCAAAACGAAAATTAATCTCAAAAAACAGTTTATTTGACTAAAAAATGGCGAAGGCAAAGCAAGTGGTCAACTTTGTCCGGTCCGAGACCGACCTCTTGTCGGAACCAGGATGCGATTTAACTCTTTCAAGTTCTAACCGTGTTGATTATCATCCAATTACAAACATACAAGACAGATCAACACCGCTAACATTCATTATTCAAGGAAATGATTTGCAGTACATTGATTTCTCAGAAACTCAATTATACGTACGCTGCAAGATTGTTGACAGTAAAGGAGCCGCTCAAACTTCGTCAAATATTGCTCCAGTTAATAATTTTTTACATTCAATGATACATCAAGTGACCATTCTTTTAAATGATGTGCAAATTACTCCACCATCAACCTTATACCCGTACAAAGCGTTCATGGAAACTTTCCTTTCTTTCGGGAAAGAATATACAAAAACCCAGGCTCAAGCAGCACTCTACAGCAAAGAAATTGAACCCACTACAGACGATGCAGGATGGATTAGTCGTGAATCTTTGAGCCATAACAGCAAAGTGTTTGAAATGCGTGGAAAATTGAGATGTGACATTTTCAATCAAAATAGGTATTTAATTCCTGGTGTTGATGTGAAAATAGTTTTAAACCGATCGCCAGATAACTTTTGTCTGTTGGGAAAAACACCAACCGCTGGTTCTACGCTTGATCAAGCACAAGTTCATATCGTTGAAGCCAAATTGGTTGTTCAGAAACATACACTCTTCCCATCGATTACGCTAACTCATTTAAAACTCTTGGATAAGGGCCAACCAGCTTGTTATCCTATGCGAAGGGGGGATATCAAATCATTCTCTCTTTCAGCTTAAACGTTACAATATACAAACGAGAGCTTAATCACCGGTCTGCTACCCGATCGATTAGCAATTGGAATAGTTTCAAGCAAAGCTGTTCATGGAAATTATCTGGAGAACCCGTTCAATTTCATCCAAGCTGATATTTCAAGCATTTCGGTGACTGTAAATTCAGAACAAGTTACTTCTCAAACATTTGAGCTTGATTTTAACAACAAGAAGAGTATTGAAGCCTACTTCAGTGTGTTTTCTGGACTTGGTCTCTCAAATATTGACGCAGGACTCGACTTGACGTTTGAAGTTTTTAAGAATGGAAAAACTATATATATTTTTGATCTACGACATCAACATGATTGGTTCGCTATTCCACGACATGGAAGTGTGAAAATTGAAATTAAACTAAGACAAGCAATACCATCAGCTCTAACTGTAATTTGCCACTGTGACTATCAATCAGTGCTCTATATTGACAAGAATCGACACGCATATTTCAAGGACTTTACAACATGGATACTGTACAAATCTACAAGATTTTATCTGGACTTTTTTGCTCAACCAATGTTACATACAATGTCTTGGCTTGTGATGAATTGGATTCGTTTAAAACAAAAAAATATCCCATTGCACTAGTTGTAAATAGTAAGCCTTCTTCTCATCCTGGAGAACACTGGCTTAGCTTATTTAGTGCAAGTTCCACTTCACCAATTAACCTGTTTTGCAGCTACGGACTAGGGATTGAAGCTTACTCGCAACATTTTCAAGATTTTGTGGACCGACACGGGAGAGGTGTAATTCAGAATAATGTGCAGTTACAATCGCCAAATAGTGCAGTGTGTGGTCAATATGCAATATATTTTTTATGGAAACGTGTTAGTGGTTACTCGTTGGCGAGCGTTTATTGTAATTTTTCATATGATTATGGTAGAAATGATAGATTAGTTAAGCAATTTCTAAAGAACAAGTTGTATTTATTGAATCGAAAGTGTAAACATTGTAACATTAATCAGAATTCAATAAAATATTTATTAAATTAAAATTTTGTCCATCGTACAATTCTTGGCATCCTTTTGGCTCTTTTTTTGGCTCGTTTTATGCTAGTCATCCTTCCGCCTCCAACCTGTTTCCTGTTAAGAATGGCATTAACGCTTGCTGGGAATAGATCGATGGGTGGCTTTTTGCTCTTGATGAACTTTAAAAGTTGCATGACTGTGGGATCAGTCAAAGCAGTTGATTTTGCACTTAATCCATTGCATACAGTAATTAAGCATGTATTCATTTTCTCGAGGAAATAGCTCACACCACCAACATCAACTTTATCGCTGCTAATAACGGCTCCATGCTCCTTCAGGAAATCCAGGATTCTTGATCCGCGTGCAGTTGTCTTGTTTAATAGTTTGTTTATTGTAGTTGTAGGTAGAGATTTTTTAATGTCAGCTGAAAGTGTAGGTTTCTCCTCTACGTTCTTAACAAGCAGTGGTTTCTTGTCTTGCTCATTTTTTGTCAATAATCTGTCGATTTAAGTTCTGCAGCAAAAGTAGCTTGATGTCGTCAGTCAAATTGGAATCTTTAAAAAGTTTATTTTTCTGATCTTTTAGTTTATCTTCTAGATCAAGTTCTGAATCCTTTTGCGAGTTGAGTGCCAAAATCTTTTTGTACCAGGATTCTGGCACAATTTTCATTTTCTGGGCCATAATGCCGGTCCAAGAATAGCAAGAGTTTTGACAATTGTTTCAAGGAGCGGTAGAAATCCACCAGATTGGTTGAGGAATTTCTTTCTAGCCCTAATACTTTTTCGCAGTCAATTTAAGAATGCTGGATTTGAAAGGCAATAGCTTGTTCTTTTTACAAGGAGTGACTGGAATGTTTTTGTTGCACAAATTGACGCACAGTTCACAAATTGAACGTATTTCTTCTCCACTAGCTTTATTTATTAGTTTCTTTCGACGCTGCGGTTTGAGTTTGGCGCTACAGACACTTTTGAGGAATGCGGCGTTAGCAACTATGCGATTCTTGGCCATTTTGTTCAACTGAATCCACTGAGTATAATACTGCTCTATTTATACGTTCGCGTTAGTTTACCATGGAATTCCAGTCAACATGGAGTCAAAAATTAAACGTGCTTATCTTAACCCAAGAATCCCAGGAAGCTTTAGCGGACTAACAGGATTTAAAAAGTCGGGGAATCGTAAAGAATCGGTTAAGCAAATTGAAAACGTTTTGAAAACAATTCCAGCTTATACTTTGCATCGAGCAAGACGAATTCATTTCCCTCGACGAGTTGTTTATGTGCCTCATATCAATGCTCAATGGGGGATGGATTTAATGGATATTTCTAAATTCAGCAAATGGCTATACGTGGCTATATTCAGCCACTGAAGAATAAAAGCGGTATTGTTGTGAAACAAGGAATTGAAAAGATATTTCGACGAAGTTATGGGATCCCTCAACGAATCCAAATAGACATGGGTTTAGAATTTGTCAATTCTAATTGTAAAGAACTAATGGACAAATATAAAATTAAGCTATTTTCTGTGCAATCAGAATTAAAATCGTGTGTTGTGGAACGTTTCAACAGAACTATTTTGGAGAAGATTTATCGTTTTATGACTCATAACAACACTCAAAAGTTTGTGAATAGAATTAGAGAGATTGAAAATTTGTACAATAGGTCATATCACAGAAGTATAAAGTGTCGACCGATTGACGTTGTGCCAGCAAAACAAACTGAGGTGTATAAGAATTTGTATGGTCATTTGACGGATATGAGAGATCTGAGAGCAGAGATATTTAAAGTGGGTGATACAGTTTTAATTTCACAAGTGAAGAAGATATTCGAGAAAGGAGCAGCAACAAATTTCCAAGCGGAAAAGTTTATCATTCACATGATCAGACAAATCGTTCCCCGCACTTATATTCTTCGCGACCAGTCCGGTCAGATCTTGGAAGGCGGTTTTTACAGAGAGGAACTGCAAAGAATCTGCCATTAGAACCATGGCGACGTTAAGAAACTATCTCGGTATCATTTGGGATTCCATTAAGCAATTCAAATCAAATTGTTGTATTTATATTAGATCTACCTGTTGTTCGTCTAAATCTTGCTAAAATCGGATAAAAAATTGAATGTAGCAGAAATAGAGTTTGCTATTAATCCCGTTAGAAAGCTGAAATGTGATTTTTGTTACAAATCTTGTAAATTTTACGTTAGTGATGAAGAAGAACCCAGATGGATTCTCATGTGCTTCAAGTGTCGTTTACATGGAAAAGTATCCAGAGTTAAAAATAACTTGAGCAAAAAACGTTTTAGTTAGTAGTATAAAAAGCTGACGTGCAGCTCTAAATCTATCAGTCACAATGGCGAACCCACGCAGCGATTTTGGAAGGTGCCCTTCATCAAAGGAAGAAACTCTTAAAAACCCATTTGATCCGGCTGGAATTGTGCTTGTTGTAAGTGAAGGACTTCGTGATGGGAGACCAACGTTTCCTCTAGAAAGAAAGGGGAGACTTGTGGAGCTCAATCTTTCGGATTGTTTCAATTTGATTGAAAAAATACTACTTGGAAGACTACGTTCAATTGAAGGACTTGATCAGCTGTTTAAGCTGATGAACGACAAATTTCCAACAAAAGTTTCGAAATTGTTGTTTGAAGAAGCTGAGGCGAACAAATTTGAAGAAAAGAAAGCAAGTAACACAGAATACGTCGTGTGGCTCAGTCGTTTTGACCACATGGACTATGTGTACGTGAAGTGTGCAAATTCCGTTGTGAACTTTAACAGTTTACTGTGTATTGAAACTCTAAAGAAGATTGTGGAAATTTGTTTCACAACGTTGGAGAAGGACGTCGGGTGTTACATTGACTTCTTTTCGAAATTTGCAAGATTCCTATCAAACGTTGCTACCTATTTTCCTTTGATTGAACAACTGGCATCATACAAGGAACTGGAGATAAAGATCTACCACAGCTTGGGACAAAACGAATATCGTGACAAGGCTCCCCCAATATTTTACATGGTCAACGATTGGATCATGTCGCTTTCCCTAACTCCACGAGTTAAAAAGAAGAAGGAAACGGAAGGACTCGCTTATCCATGGGGGCAAACAATTCTACGCGCTACAGATCAACAAGGACAAGAATGGATAAAGTACCTTGTGAAAGAGCCATGTTCACTTTACGGCGTCGCATTTGATGAAATGTTGTAATTGTTTCATTTATTTTCTGTTTTTGAATAAAAAAAATTTGAATTGTATTTTGCATTTCGTTTTAACAAATTATTTTACGTGGCGGTCATTACTACATCTCTCATCATTACTTCATACATCTCTCATCATTGCTCATTCTTCATTTGACTCTCATGATGGATAGTGCTGCAAAATCATTATTTTGTCATCCATTAGTTTTCATTTTTGGTGTCATAACATATATCTGGTTGACGATACACACGTGCGCGTTTGTCTTATATACACATTTGTTCATACAGTGCTTACAACAGCACAGGAATATTTCATTGTGCAACGCGACGTTTTTATACAACGAAACGTTTTTAAAAAGTTAGTTGACATTTAGTCAACTAACAAACCCAACAACAGTCAGTTTAGGCAACAAAAGTCAGTCAGTAAACATCTCAAAATGGATTCACTCGCCCCATCCCAACATAAAAAGGATTCACGTAAAACTGTTGGAAACCCGATAAAAAAACGAAAACCTAAAAAAGTGGTAACGAAAAAACCGAAATTAGTGCAACAAGCTATTGAGGATTGTTTGGGGAAACTGAAATTCGCTGAAAAACCTCAGATTGAAATTGCTACTGGAGGAGTGTTGCAGTTATACCTGAAAAACGGACGTTACGTTTTGGATATAAACGAACAGCCAACGTTCATGCCAAAAATAAGTTTTGTGCTTATGAACGATACTGGCCGCATTGAATTTGATAAAAGTCAGTTATTGCATTTGTCAATCAATGTACTAAAAGCTGCCATGTTGGACCCAGAACTGGATATAACAGAATACAAGGTAGCTGTAGAAAAGATTTTGAGGGGAGGAAAGTATCAGCTAATGAGTCATGAAACAATGGTGCAACGTTTTGATTCCAATCGTACAGCACCATTAGACGGAGCTGAAAGCGTGCTAAAAAATATGTACAAGATGTACATTCGACGTTTCCAGAAACCGCCCACTGTGATGATGGCCAAATATAAGAAAGGGCAGAAAGAAGAGGAGGCTTAGTCTTGCTTCGTTGGTCAAACTGACAACATGGAGCCTGCTCCGAAAAAGATAAAAACTGGAAGAATTTTTGACAGAGACATGATCAAACTTGACGCTAGAATAAAGTCCTACGAAAAAGTGCCTCGTCTAACACACACAGCAAAAGAATTTGCTGAAGCTGGTTTTTATTACGATTCGAATTCGAGTGTCTGTTTTCATTGTGGACTTCAAGTTAGTGAGTGGAAGCCTGAAGACAATCCTTGGTTTGAACACGCTTTACGTCAAAAAGAAATTTGTGAATTTTAGGAGCAAAGGAAAAGTGAAATGAAAATTCAAATCAGTGAACCTCGTATAACTCTTTCGACTAACCGCACGGATTCCCTGTGTACAGTTTGTAAAATCAACGAAGCAAATTACGTGAACTTACCGTGTAGTCATTTGACTACTTGTCAACAGTGTTTAAGGAAACAGGGGCAATTTAAATGTTGTCATATTTGTGACGAGTATATTGGTTGTTATCTTCATGTGTTTGTATAAAGACATCATGGAATCTGAAGACGAAGCCCTCAACAAGGCGACTATTAAAAAAACTTATTGGATTTATAATGACGACATGGTCCTTCTAGACTCTAGAATAAAATCGTTTGAAGGTTCGAATTTAAAAATCAAGCAAACGCCCCAACAACTAGCAGAAGCAGGTTTTTATTATATGGGATTAGAAGATCAATGTGTGTTTTCATTCCGGACTTGGTGTTGAAGAATAGGAGCCAGAAGACGATCCATGGTTCGAACACGCTTTTCATACTCCTCATTGTGCATTTTTAAACTTGAAGAAAAGTGAATTGAAATTTCAAATCGGAGAAAAAGAACAAGTGTTGCCTCTTGAAGCCATGAATCAAACAGAACCATTGGACATTTATCTATGTAAAATTTGTCAAGTTAACGTAGCAAATCACGTGAACATGCCGTGTGAACATTTGGTTAGCTGTTTAGAATGCACAACTACACAAGATGAATGTGTAATTTGTCGTTCGGATATAGATGGATTTGTAAACATTATAGTATAAGAAACGTTTTTATATGTGAAACGTTCTGTCTATTTATAAAAGTGAAATCGTTTTGTCCGAGTATAAAAAGCAGCAGCAGTGCTCCTCATTTTTCAGTCTTTTACCAGCATGGGCATGGAGAACATCAACGGACAAATATTACCTTGCAATACAGGTGTGCTCGAGTCTTTTGTGAAGAGTGACGCTTTCAAAGATTCGCCCTTTGGCCCTGTTCACTTCCTCGTTGATCGTGTTGTTATAAGAAACAGTCTTGGAAAAGTTGAAATTGAAAAGGAGAAAGTTTTACACTTGGCTCTAAATTTACTGGCAATTGCTCGTGATACGCCAACGCTTCAAGACCATCTTGGTTATTTTGTGAGTAAGTGTCAAAGTTTAGTGGAAGACCGCAACAATTTCAAAATCAAGAAAGGTGTCTACGCCAACAAACCAGACTTGCCGCAACAATATTGCCCAAAATCGTTTTTGTTTACCAAGTGGGCTGACGTTTCAAAATATCAGCAAAACGTTTCTCCGCCAGTTTCAAGGGAGGAGCGAGTAATCAAACACAAGTTTATTGCTGCCAGACTGCTCGTGATTGGTGACATTGTGGGTTACCGAGAACACAGGGGTTGCCCATCTACCCCCTGTACGGGTGACGTTGCCGGAAGGGTGTGTGACGTTTGCTACCATACGCCAGAAGCTCACTTGGAGTGGGAGGAGCCACGTATGCCAGAGGCATAACCTATCTCTGATATATATGCCGGAGGCATAACATATGCCGAAGGCATAACATATGCGAAGCATAGCCTATCTACGATATATATGCCAGAGGCATAGGTGTGTGTCCCCCCTCCCCTCTACGTGGATCACGATGGCGACCTCATCCGAGTTTGACTGCGACGAAGCACTAAATCTGTTTAACGACCTACTTCAACAACCTAGTGACGAACCAAGTCACAAAAAACGAAAATATTCTGCCCGAAAAGGATCCTACTCCATGAAAACTGAAGTTATTCAAGGAAGTACGTTCATCACAATCAGCCAGGTTTTTGGCGATGCCGAAAACAAAATTCATATTCAACCGTCAACCGTCCCTCTTCTGCTGAAGAATTTGATTGATTTTTCAGTCATTGCCTACCGCAAGTCCCTATTGGACCAAGTAGGGCATGATGGACCCGCCCCCAATGAAAAAAGTGCGAATCGGTCCCGTAATCCTGTTCTACATTGAAGATGAGTATGAAATTGAGCGACAACGCAAACAATTTAAAAAAATTTGGAGAAATAATTTTGCAAGATTTTGTTCTTGGTGTAGACGCATAATAAGACGTTAAAATTACAAATTTACAATTTTTATTCGAATTTTTGTATACAATTTTTTTGTATAAACTATAATTACACAATTTATTTGAATAGACTATATTTATTTGTATAAACTATAATTACATATTTTACTTGTTTGTATAAACTATACAATTTTCTGGAAATAAACTAGATCTTATCCTAAACTTATCATCTTGTGTCTGGCTCAAGTCTATTACTATATATCCATACGGTATTTTCATAACATCAGTTAGAGTATATTGCATAATTGGATGATTTCGTCCTCCATTAATTTGTCGACCTAATTTGCTAACAAAAGTTGTATCTCTAGGGTTTTTCATCGCTACAATATATTTTAAATTCAGAGTAACACTCCTAGTTTTTCCCTTTTCAAAAAAATTTTGAGTTAAAAAAATTATTGACACATTATTGTGATGGGAATAAATACTAAAGGCTTTCACCATTTCATCTGAACGAGAAATTTCAGTCATTAAATCATCTAAAACTAAAATAAGAGGCTCTCCATCATCATTAATTACACTGGGCAGTCCTTTTTCAAATTCAATATGCGGTATACCCTCTTGAATCTGCTCAAATAACTTCGGCTGATATTCTTGATAACAATATTTCACATTATTTACTGGCGGATCCAATAGCTCCATGCGACGAGAGAGTAGTTTTGCAGTCAAAGTACTTTTTCCTTTTTCCCCCCGCAATCGCCATAGTGAATGGCGTTTTTAGCGTAATGTCAATGTCCCCCTCCATTATATGTACAAGGGAATATCTTTGTGACCGTGAGCTAGCGTAGTCAAATGATCAACGACGCAACGCTTTGTGTCAAAGCCATTAAGACTTTGTGGCTGAGCTCGTTCGTAGCACATGTTTGCGGCTTAGAATCGATTTAATCACCACACTAGTTGGAATATTTCCATCCAAAACTTTCCAATATTGGTCAAATGTTATTTGATTGGTGATTGCAGCTTTCTTGATCCCCTTGGCCACTTTTTTTGTATTTATTGTCATCTTTCCATTTTCAATTGAAAGTGCTTGAGCTCCATACATTTTCGGTTTGGACGCAGCAAAGCGAAAGATTACACTTTTTGGCATTTCATCCTTCATCTTGCCGAGTCGCTTCTCGTTTTCTTGATTATTTAAATGAGAATGCATCCCTGCATAGTCACTCAGATCAAACCGCTCCTTATTCTCCACCATGTCTTGATAAAAATCACGAGTTTCCACGTGATAGACCAGTGAATCCGTATCACCGTAAAGAACTCTAGCTTTGTCACCGTACTTTTCCTTCATATAATCGTAGTGGAACTCGTACATGAAGCACTTCGAAATTTCTAGAATGGATATTCCAAAAGCGACTGGTTTATCCAAAAGCACTTGAGTCACTTTCTTGACAGCCAGGTGCACTTTATCGTTAATGGTAATAATCCGCTCATAAGTCGGTTTGTTAACAATCTTCTTGAGCTGCTTTTCTGTGGTAACGACTGAAATTGACATCCTTTTCCTCTTTTGTTCTATTGTTTTCCCAAAAGATGCGTTATTAAGCTGAAAGGACAATATGTATAAGCATTTTTGAAATAATAATAAAAATAATTTATGTTTGAATTACTTACCAACTTAAAAAAGTCCTTCTCAAAGTCTGTTGTCGCCTGTTTCCTCATTTCTGTGTTAAACAGAATAAAGGCTTTCATCCAATCCCGTTGTGAAAACTTGACAGCTCGATGAACTTTAGTAACTACAAGTCCAAGCTTGATATACATCTTCAAGTTGCGATAATGTGTCACATAGTGCTGTTTTGGGAGCAGGTCAGCTACAAGTTTGGAGTTCTTGAATGTAGACTCGGGAATATGTAGATCCTGCATCTGTTTAAGCTGATGTGGAGTCAATTCGTCCTTACTGACACATCTCTTCGTCGGAGCTGGCGGGTAGTCGTTTAGCTTATTATGTATGGTTGGCGGTATCTCAAGGTCCACTTCGAAGAAGTAACCAGTCTCAGCGTCGTCTTTGAGGGAATTTACAAAAGCACTTGGATTTGCACGTACTCTGTCAAGCTCATATTCAGTTAACCACTTGTAGTCTTTTTCGGGTAGAGCTGAGCACATTGCAGAACCGTAAAGATTGTTAATATCCAGGAACGAAATGTAACTGCTGGTCTTTGTCTCATCATACTTCTCTCCCATATACTTGTTATTCGCTTGGGCTGCTCGAATTCCACCAACTCCACACACACCACCACGAAGTGCTGTTTCGAACCAGCAATGCATTGTAACGTCAACATAGTCCAGTTTCGCTTTGCCCATCTTGCAACAAGCGTCGTACGCGATCATTGGCAAACTAAAATAGTGAGCCAAATCCAAGTTGTAAGAGTCCCATAAGATTTCTCTGCTCCTTTCCATACAATCAGCTAGCAATGTCACATCCAGAAGTACGTACAAATTATGCCAATCACCAAGATTTTGCACGTTGAAACTCTCCCAGACTTGTTTAGCATGATCATATACTTTCTGATCAAGTGGCTGGTCATTAAGATCGTTGTAAAACTCCTTGATTGGCGGCAGATGCGTCTCTTCAAAATTCGCAGGCGACTGCATATGCGTATATGGATAGGCACCTTTCTGTAGCAGCAAGTCTACATTGATTTGCTGCGCCAACTCTTCAATTTCTTGATCAGTTCCATCTCTATTGTACAGTTTAAATATATTTTCTGCTTTGCCAGAAATCTCCTTAGTAAGTTTAAAATCGTCGGTGTTGTTTTTCTTTAAAGTGTTTGTAAGATTTTCTAACGAAGAACTCAGGAATGAAAACAAATCACAAAATCTAATTTGATTTCTCACTGTAAACGACATAAACTTTTCTGAAGAACATGGTATTATTGTTGCGTTCATCGACTCGTCAAATGCTTGCACAAGGAAGTGGGAATCATAAGACTTGAGATTGTGAATAAAACATGGAGATATCTTGCCGATTGAAGCTTCTAAGTTGCAACGGTTATGAGCAAGACCGAGGAACTTACCGGAACAGTGATCATGAAGAAAAACAGCCATGTTGGGTCTGTCTTTAAATAGTTTAGACATTTCTTGTTGGCTTAGTCTCCTAAACTTTTCTCCACAAAAGTAACATGGGTCAAGTTGAGTTGGATCCTCGCGGATTTGCTTCTTAAGCATATCTCTCAGTTGAGGGTTAATAATCATAGATTTTGAGCTTTGTTGCTGGAGTAATTCAATGACGTTTTGTCGAAGCTTCTGGTCTTGTAGTATATCATCAAAAAATATCTTTGCAACATTTTCTTCTTCATCATCAGTTCGATAAACACTCCAATTAACTGCTTTACCTTGCCAGTCGACACAAACCCACGCATAGCCGCATGGAATATGGTCAGACTCTTCCAATTCAATTCCGTTCACGTTCCGTTTTCTACTTTTACGTTTGACGAAAGCCTCGAAGTCTGCGTAATAACGATAAGGGGTACGTACCATTCGATGATACTGGTTGAAAAAGTAGAAGGGTTCTTCTGGTACATCAGTTTTTTGCAATTTCATTTGGTAGCAAAATTCGCGATGGTCCATGGCTGATTCTGCCGTAGTGAAGCTGTTGAGGCAGTTACGACAAGGATGTTTGTAATATGTATCAGTCCGTAGCAGAGATGATAATTTCCTTATGAGATTAAAATGGGAATTATTTCCATCATCTGTTTCTTCAATAACAAGAAGTAAATCAATCTCTATCAAGTTCGATTGACGCACAGGTTCACTGGATTTGTTTAGCCTTTCTTTAAGTTCAAACTGGGCTAAATTCTGTGACATGTACAGTGGGAATAAAGAGTTTCTTATGGCACGATGAACTGACTTTCTCTGGAGGTTAGTCAAGTCGGAAAACACCTTATCACGATATTTGTCATATTCGGCTTTTCCTGCATCTTCTTCCTCATAGCCTAATACACTAATCGGAAAACCAGGATTCTGTTTTTCAAACTTTGGTAGCTGACCAAGCGTCATTGGAAAGATAATGCCGTCAAAGTTCAGTTTCTTGTTTTGTATCGCTTTTTTGCACATTACCATCGTATCTACTACTGTTTTTCCCCCATTTCTTCTTGAATCCACACACTTCCTCATGGGCCAAACACGAATACAAGAAACATTTGAAGTCATCAACGCCATTTACTCGGTTGTCGATATTAAGAAGGACACCTTTATCTTTGAATTTTAACAGATTGTTGTTGGGTATATAGGCCCCTGCTCTGAATGGGGCAAATGGAGAAATGCTGAATTGAAGTTTTGAAATGAAATCCAAAACCCACCCGCTTCCCTTGTGAATAAAGTCGTTACAACTTTCTATTAACTTGAACGCAATACTGTTAATTATTTCGGGAATAAAATGGCTTTGAAGAATGGTATGTGGATAAGCCTTAAAAACTGGATCTGGTTTCGTATGTTTCATTAAATCATTACGGTCTCCTTCAATGTCATCAAAATGAACAACGTCTGCAGCTAAATACGGCCGGTAAAAATGCGCCTCCATTTCAGTAGCAATTTTTACACATTTATGCCGATCTAGCTCCGTCTGCACAATTTGTTAGCCACGTCAGTATACTTATGGTTGCTAGTGTCTAACTTATACACTTGAACAGTATTTAACACAGTGTGGGAAAGCTGGAGTCGGTTATCAAATTCTTGCCCTTCTTGAGTGAAGAATATCGGATCAACCGTCATTGATCCATGTTGTTGCTGGAAATGTAAATCGACTGATCCCTTATGGGAGAAAACTTGACCACAAATATTGCACGTGCCCGATTTATAATCCAGACGAGGGTGCTTCCTAACGGGAGCAGGTGTGCGAACGACAGGTGGTGAATCTTGAAAGTCGGCTAAAATAATTGAACAATTGCTGGGGCAATGTGATGCAGAACAAAACGTACACTTTTCACTAAGATGATGATTACAAACAGTGCAGAATTTAATGCTTTGTGGATATAGTTTACATACATTTGCACAATGAAGTTCAGCACAATTTTCACAGTGGACAATGTGAAAACCACCGAAAGAGTCGAAGAAACTTTCCCAAGGGGAGGTATCCATGTCCATCATAGTCTACGAGTGAGGCTACTTTTCAAAGTTTATCAAAGTTTTATTCGAATTTTCAACTTTTTGTGAAGTTTTTTTATATTTTGACTTTTATTAGAATTTTTATTATTAGGAATTTATAAGTTTAAAGGTATGTTTAATAATTTTTACCAATTTTCAATACGACTTTTTTTAGGAATTTTGAAGTTTTGGGGCCTTTTAAAAATTTTTAGCAATTTTAAACACGAATTTTTTAGGAATTTTTAAGAATGTTTAACGATTTTTTAGCACGACTTTTTGTAGAAATTTTTAACGGTTTTTAAAAAGTATAAATTGTATTAAAATATGAGACATTTTCAACATGACTTTTTAACGAATTTTTAAGTTGTAAGGCTTATTGGTATTTTTAAGTGACGTTTATTGGGATTTAAAAGAATTTTTTAAGTGACGTATATTGGGATTATGTTAAGTGGAATGTTAAACAACGTTTATATTGGTGTTAAACTCACTGAGAAAAAAGCTGCAGGTCAACTGAATGTACCTTTATGCAGGTGCACTTGCCCGTCCAAGTGACCCAAAAGTGACCCTTTTTTCAAGCGGACTAAAAATAACTTGTACCTTCCTAGAAGCGAAACAAAGGCTTTCCTACACTAAGTTAGGATAGGGAGCATGCATATTCATCATTGTTACTCATGTACTACCATTTTGAAATTTGGTCCCAGCGACCGTGTGTTTTCTCATTAAATTCAAGTGCTTCAATAGAAACAAGATAAAAGAAAAAATTGTACCAGTGAATCTTGTCAAGAAACAGCCTGGGAATGCTATTTTCCACATGTACTCCCTCTCTAAGCAAATTGGGCGACTTAGGGATATTTTCGTAAGTGAATTTTTATGAATTTATGTTTGACAATTTTAACATTCACTGAGTTCAAATTTCTTGTTCGTAAAATTTTGTGTTCATATTTCTGTATTTTCAAATATTTTTACAGCTTTTTGAAGCTATATCCGTTGCCGTCATCCGTCGTGGGTGGGGTCTCGTCTTCTTCCCGAGTTAGACTTGGACTGGGATGACTATAAACTATGGAAAGGCCTAATATGGAACTCTGAGTATGACCACACCATCGTCACCACAAAGGCTCGGACAGCTCTTCGCACTTACGACGTAAGTTCGGACTCGCCTGATGATTCTTATGGGTCCTTCGATTCTACTACCAATGGGTATCTAGCTTCTATCCAAACACCACCAAACGTAGCAATTCTCTGTACGGTAGTTTTTAAATTCTTTTGTATTGATAGAAGAACCGTCAACACTATTACAAGTAGCAATCACTATTTTTTTACCAATTATGACTTTCTTATCGACGCCAAAGACAGAGGAAAGGACTTTATTTTTATTCCTCTCACCTTTTTGACTTCTTTCTTTCGCGACTATTTGAATGATCCAACTTCTGATTGCGGTCATTCCGCTTTTCTTTTCGTTGATACAATTAAAAATTTCGTAGCATTCTTTGACCCTAACTACAATGACAAAAATCGCCATATTTATCGCGACGCTATTGCTTACGCTGCTGCTGAGATTGGGAACGTTTGGGGTCGTGAATTCACAATTCGTGACACCACCAAACTCAATTATTTTGTACCTATAATGCAAAATGGGTTTCAGCTCTTTAATATTGCTGGCAAGCCGGAAGAAAGAGAATTTCATAACTATATGTATGATTTATTCCCTTACATGCATAAGGAAAGAGGGGATTGTTCTTATGCCGTTTGTGCCAGTGCTTCCCTCTTAAAATCTGATCAGTCTATTGAGGTCAACGACATTGTTGCTTTGATACACAAAAACCGGGATAATTTGTTGTGGGGAAAACGCTTGGTCGCACGTCATATAGAAGAAGATGAGCATGGCTATTTTTTTTATACAATAAATTTCCTGCATATAATGCGTCAGGTTATTTCGACTACTTGTATTATGTTCGAGAATAAGCGCTTCTGGCACACACTTCGGCTTTTTGGCTGCGACATTGATGGTATCGAGCGCAAGCGTTTCATCATCCAAACTTGCTCCTCTTACTTTACAGATATTGATCAATAAACAAAATTGCTGGCGAGGAACAGCGTATCATTTTCAACAGCAAAAAACAATGCTTAGAACGCTTAAACAACAAGGCCTTTAACCGTGCTCGAAATGGTATCAAACCGAAGCCGATTTCTTCTCCTTTAAAACGCGATCCAAACGAAAAGTTTCACCTGAAGCATGAACGTAATAAGCTTGATGCTGACTTTCTTGACTCCTACACAAAACGTATAAAACTTGAGTTTGACTCTTTGACCTTGAAATAAACTAGCATTTTTTTTTCACGACCGCTGCTTTTTATTGTCGTATTTTATCGCGATTATTTTTTTCTCCGTCATAATTTTACATTTTATATTGTTCACGATTTTTCGCGATTATTTTATTCTCCGTCATAATTTTTACATTTTATATTGTTCACGATTTTACACATTTTTTGAAATAAATGTAAGGTTTCCAGTTTTGTCTCATGTAAAATGTTGTACCATATGGATTTACATGAGAATTTTTAATATTATTATTTTGCGCCTCACCTAAGGTTACTATTTTTTTAGTATTATATGTATACGTGTATAATATTATGCTATATGTATATGTGTTTAATATTATGCTATATGATTGTGTTAACTAAAAATTAAATAATGTTAAAAAAAAATAATAAAATAAAATTGTAAATTTGTATATATGTCACGTGGTCTCTGCATGGTCTTTGTACTTTGGCAGCCATCTTTGGTGATCTATTTTTAGAACTCATCTTCCTCATGAGGAGTGATTTTAGAACTCACCTAAGGTGATTTTTTTATTGAGGAGTGTTTATAACTGTTCAGTTCACAAAGAAAGTTAGCAGCAACTTAGTCCATTTACCTATAAAAGTGACAATTTATTATTTATCCATTTTAAAATTTGCTATTTGCCATTTGCCAGCTACTGGCGTTTATAGCGAGCGTGTTTATTCTGAGGTCACAGAAGCCTACGTCAGCCTCAAATGCTTATAACATCCCGAAAATGCAGAGAAATTATTGTTTCTCAAGCATAATTAGCCTAAAATATCAATACTAATTTGTCCTGTATTAGTGTCTATTTACGTTATACTGAAGAGATTTTAATTTGTGCTTTGAAGGTGAAAACCTCAATCCGACTGAAAGCAAAAATTTTATTCGTAGACAATTTTTTATTGAGAACTTTATTGAAATCAAAGTTTAAAAAATCAAACTAAAAATTTAACCTTTTTTCAAGCTACACGAAGATTGTCTAGCGAGAATATCAAAAAGTAAAGCCAAAAGTTTGGAATCGCGTGATACTTTCCGTTGAATGTCCACTTTAAAGAAAAACATTGGAGCCAAAGTTCAATTTTTAAGTAAATGATCTGCATCTTTTGCCTCCGCTGGACGAAGACCATGGTTGATGGTGGACTTTGAACTCTCCCCTCCCATAGTTTTCTTTAAAGGGAATGTAGCGGAAAGATCAGTGATAATTCATAAGTTTTGGCTTAATTTTTTTTATATAATTCGCTAAGAAATCCTGGTATAGCTTGAAAAAGGTTCCATTGTAAGCCAAAAAGTCTGGTTTGAGAATCATCAGATGATATCTAGCGAATTATGGCATTCGTAACATGCACAGCATTATCTCAAACTATTGAACATCCCAAATTAGCAAATAATTCATTAAATTTAATTAATTCTGAAGGTTGGTTAGTGTTTAAATTAATTCTCATAACGGGTAGCGGGTAACGGGTACCCGCACGGGTACCCGTGCGGGTACGGGTAGTTGTGCTGCGGGTAGCGGGTCGGGTAACGGGTAGTGTTTTCGCTACCCGCGGCAACCCTATTTATAACCATATAATACTACTATACATATATTTACATATTTGGTACTGGAGTTCTCGTAACATGTATCGCATCTACATATGTACATATGTAAGTATTTATGTGCATATCAACTTATATTCTAAACATAACGTTTGTGTATCATGCCACCATTTTTTATGGAGAGGGCGTTTTCCTTAATCATGTAAATATGCATATGTTTAAATGTACATATCACATATGTACATACATACGTACATACATAAATATATCGTGTCCTAATAAATATATTTCCATCGAAATTTTTTGGAACTTTCCAGTTCCTATAATGCAACATATTTTTGTCGCATGTGGGACGAGTTATCGATCCATATTTGTTTTCGAGAACTGAACCAGAAAACACTGCTTTCACCAACTTTCTCCTCTGTTTGGCGACCTACAGCAGACTATATTACTTGCAACCATTCGTGCTTCCATCCTTGTAAAGAAGCGCATAATAATTGCGAATTTACTACATAAGTAAATACATATTTTCATGTTCACATGGCCGATACAAGTCCCACATCAATTACGAGGTGGAAGTTGCCCGACGACAAACTAAGATCACGTGGTTATTACGGGAAACACGTATTGTTCACTTTATCCAAATCTACATCTCAAAACGTGCTGTTTGGAACTTTCAGATATTTTAAAAAGGAAACTTTCCCCCGTGGTAAGTAATACAATTTATTTGTCGCAATTCATGCATAACGGCTTTTTGGCAAGATTTTAAAGTAACTCTTGCAATAAACTGTGTACAAAAATAAAATCATTTCGTATTCATTTTTCATCGTAAATTACAATCTGACAGATGATTCAACATAATTTATCAATTTTGCCAAAACGCATTCATATGTAAATACATATTACGTAAAATTTTGCTAAAAATCCTGGTCTGCGAATTATTAAGGCAATTCACGCATTCATGGGTAACTTCCTGCGTTTTGTAAAATAATTTTACAAACTTTTGCAAAATAAAGAGACGCCATTAATCTGAGTAAGCTAACTAAAATTTGAAAACAAATATTTCTAAATTTTGGGGAAAGTTTAGTTTACAAGTTTACCGAATTTGCAATGTTACCAAGACCTGCGTGATGCGTGAATGACCGTAATCATTACTTATATCAATCTTAATTTTCAGGTTTGATAGTCAGCATTACCCGCGAATTTAAGACATTTACCAAACCTTCGTACTACGGCTCGACGCCAATTTTTTGTCCTATTCGAAACTTTCAGAGTGGCGAGATTATCACGACCTTTTCCGCAACGGAGTATCCATTCCAATTAAAAATCCCGCCCGACTTCCCGCCAACCTTGAAAAACAAACTGTTCCAAATTCGATACACGCTGTCGGTCGCGCAGCGCGGGGAGCTGTACCCAATAACGTATTTAGGACTGGATGACTCATCGCCAAAATTGATAAGCTCATTTTTCATTATTTATTGCCTCTCGGGAACTTATTTTAAAATTCTGGGCAACAACTTTGTAGTCAGTGAATGGGGGTGAGCTGTTTAAGTCAATTTCGGTGAGTTTAGGTTTTCCAAAGGGTTTTTAAACTTGAGATCTCTATTTTCAAAAAAGCTCAAGATTTGAAGTCGATATTTTCAAAATATTGGCAACGACCTGCTCTACGAATTTGTCGTCCAGAATTTAAGATAAATTTCCAGAGCGAAAAAATGATTAAGAACGTGGTAATAATTTTGGCTATGAGTCATCAAGGCTTGAATTTGCTAATCCTAAGTCAGCAGGACATTCAATACATTGGATGCTGCAAAATAAATCGGTCTCAGTTTGGCTACGGGAGAAAAATTGTGCCGTTTTTATTGGACGGGGTCCCTTTTAAGGTGCATTTTCCAACTACGGAATTCCTTCTGGGAGAAAGGATCCACTTCTCGGTTACTTACTCCCGAGGCACCAATCGCGTTAAAAGACGTGCAACTAACGTTTCTCAGAACGACTAAATACTGCCAGAGTGAACATGCAGAGTTGGAATTGGAAATCGTTCGGGTTAAGAGTTACAAAAACTTCGATAGAAAGAAATCATTCTTGAATGACACTTTCTCGTTGGAGGGGATTGATGCCACATCCAGCGTGGGGATGATGGCGCCATTTTTGAAAACATGTTACTCACTTAATGTAAGTTAGTGGAATTTCATCGGAAATTAAATGCAAACACTCTTAAAAATAATGTTACCATTTCGGAAAGTAAATGCACCCTGATTTCTAAATTGTATAAAATGTACGAAATCCAGAGTAAACTTTCCTGTTTATAAAGTTTACTTTGTTCTGGATTTAGCAGTTTATTTAATATAGAACTTAGAGTGCACTTCCTTCTCAAAAGGGCAAGATCATTTTTATAAGGTCACATATGATAAAATTTCAAATTTCAATATTTGCACGTATCAAGGTTGCTGTCACAGCGATGTCTGGAAAATTGGCATCCGTCGAGGTGGACATCGTGCTCGGGACGGACACCGATGTAAAGGAATATCTCCAGCTGTACAACACGTGTCCTAAACAAGGACAGGTGACCAGCAGGGAAATGCAGACACCTTCTGCACCACACCCACCACATTCTCCATCCACACGACGGCTGCACGCGCCATCCTCCCCACCATTGATGACCATGTCTTTGTCCCACTCAATGTCCTCACTGCCGCAGTATGGACAATTGAGTGGGAGAAAATCGACATCTACTTCTACCCTGGACACGTGTAAGAGAATTATTTGTTGGAATACCTTAATGTGAAAAATTTGTCGAGTTTTGAATTTACATGATAAATTAACATAATTGGTTTACATATTTTAGTGCCCCCGCACTACGATGATGCCGTGGCTGGAGGGAGCATCATCTAAAAATTGGAATATCGCATTCACATTATACAAATATTTTTACCTTAGTGATGCCAATTTTACCTTGTTGAGAATTTTAGATTTGAAGTTTATGAAAAATCTTTACCTATGACTTTTGCTCAGCAGTGTATGTTTCTAGTGTATACATGTTATAACGAGGTAAATTGATAAATACGACGTGATACATATATACAATTAAGAATTGTAAGTTTGTATTTCCAATTAATTAAGTTCTAATTAATTTTGAAGTAATTTCGTTACAACTACGACCATTCTTGCATATATAGGACGGATTTAGATATAAAAATAGATATACATACATATGCATGTACAATGTACATACATATGTATGTATGTATGTGCATCAGGGTTGCAGAAATCTCATCTCACCTTCATAAATCTCATCTCACTGAGATATAATGAGAAATACTGAGACATGAGAAATATGAGAAATAGTGAGATTTCTGAGTCATGCACTAGCGCCACCTAGCGGACGGGGTCATGAACTCCAAGTTTATCTCATTATTTCTCATATTTCTCACTCAGCCCCAAGTGAGATGATTGGTATATATCGTTAAATCTCACTAAATCTCGCTCAGTGATATACGTAGGTGTTTTATTATTAATTTTCAAAAGGTATGTTCCGCACTGTTTCTGACCAAAATTTTGATGAAATAACAAACTTCAAATACATTTAGGAGGCTGTGACTTTTTTCAGCTCTGTGGGTTAACATAAACACTAGCAATAAATCGGCAAACTTTACCTCGACGGAAAAAATGCTAGATTTGCAAATTAAATATCGTAGTGTGATTTAATTTTTAATGCTGGATCGGCAATACGTGTCGCAGATTTATGGTTGAATCCTTAAAATTTACGATGAAGACTGCCCAACACAAAACACAAATTCAATTGGGTCAATAATTTTAAATGATGGCGAAACGAGGTCTCGGGCAAAAAGTCGCCAGGACGCTCAAAATCCGTTTCTTCCACAGAAAGGCTCCGGAAACTAGAAGAACCAATAATGAGAGATCCGCGATCGAAATTTTCCTATTTAGCAGATGAGATGGGTGTTCCAAAACCAGCAATTTGTTCCATGTTAACTGAAGACTTAGGTATGAAAATGGATTCCGTCCGTTGGGTACGAAAATTGCTTTCGGCATCTCAAAAACATGATCGAGTCGACTTTTGCAATGCCAATTTTAACCTATTAAATGAAGACTTGAACCTGCTCAATATTTTATTAGCTAAATATGGTACCTGAGTTTACTATTATGACCCGGTGACCAAATAATAATTCCCTCAATGGAAGCACGAGGGGTTGCCACCGCCCGTAAATTGAAAAGTGCAAAAATCTGACAAAAAAATGATGATGACCACTTTCAAGGATACCAAAGGTCCCCTCCTTATAAAATTTATTGCTGTAAATACTACAATAAATGGGGCCGTGTATGCAGGAACCCCGAAAGAGCTGCGTCCTCCGGTTGAAAAGAAACGTGGGGTCAAAATAAAGAGTTTGCCTTTTTTTTAGACGACAACGCGTCACCTCATACCTGGCTTTTTGCGAGGGTTAGTGCAGACGAAAATCGCTTTACCTGCACAAACCACACCCCGTGCAGTCCGGACTTGACCCTTAGTGATTATTATTCGTTTCGAAACTTAAAGAAAAACATCAGGGGAAAACGGTTTTCGGATGATAATGAAATCAAGTCGTAAATTTTGGCATATTTTCGAGGTAAATTTTAATGGGTTATTGCTAGTGTTAATGTTAACCTACAGAACTGAAAAAAATCACAGCCTCCTAAATGTATTTGAAGTTTGTTCTTTCATCAAAATTTTGGCGAGAAACAGTGCGGAACATACCTTTTGAAAATTAATAATAAAACACCCACGTATATCACTTGTAACCCTGATGTGCATATTTCTACCAATGAATATTAAATGGAATAGCTGCTTTAATGATGCTTCCCTGGCAAATTAATTGAAGAAGGTGGAACCATAAATAAAAAAATGCTATTCTATTCAAAATGTACATTACTAATTATGCATGTTCCTTACTTTAACGACCAGTTGATTTTTTTCGTTTTGTTTGAACATTTATCTAAACTTTTTTGTCGACCGAATTATTATTAGGATCGTAAATCTGACCATGCACGACTAAACGCATTTATGTAACTCTCGAACAAATAATGAAGCCATGCTAATTACTTCTACAAACTTAGGTAGGTACGAAAAATTATGTAACATGCTTCTTTACCGCTTTGTATATAAATGCAGATTCGATTCACCTTATTCATATTATTAATACATTCTACCTTTGCAATACGTTGTACCAAAATTAACAAACCACAAAATAAAATTTAGTGAAGGGAACAATTTTCATTGTAGGTGGATACATATTTTTAACCAAGGTAATTTCATATTTTGTTAAATTTTTATTACTTGTTGCAACCACTTCATCACGACTTAGAAACTTAGATTGGCAACAAAATAAAGTTTGAAAATTTTGAAGTTATCTATTTACGAACCAATAAGGTCCGTTGATTACGAAATATGTCGAAGTTTTTATTTTCCTTCTTAATTTTTTTAAAATTTACTTTTAATTATCAAAATGTTAAAAATTGGATTTTTTCGTGTTTCTCGTCAAAAATTACAAAAATTGGAAACTGATTGAAATATCTAAATATCCTGTTTTTAACATGTATCAAATCATAAAAATTTTATATAGTTGACCAACGAGGTTTACCATTTTTTATACTCTTTAAAATACGTATGTTACAAACAATTTTTTGCAACTCGTAATAAATAAATGCGGTCCTTCTGTTTTACAGAATAAGTCGAAATGTTGCAACCCTTCTTATTAGCTACGTGTGCATTTCTCCTTTTGGTGAATGTTTCCGAGAACGAGGCTGCCGTCAATATTCCGGGCGCTGAAGAAGTTACGAAATTCCAACTGAACTTTCATGAGAAGCAATTTTCTTGCGCCAAGTATGACGGAGTTGCTGCGTGCTACCACAATAATTGGCATAAGCGGGATCTGCAGTGTTCTGGAAGCGGGTGCAAGGCGAAGAATAGATTTTCTTACACACCTAACAAACTCATGGGAGGGAAATGCTATTGCTGCAAATGTTAGGGACCGTTCATGAATTATGTTACGCATAAATGCCAATTTTTCAGACCCCTCTTGTCACGTGTTACATCTAATTTTCATGTTGGGCCCTGTCACTGTCACGCAAAACTTATGTATGCCGTCTCACCCATCTTATACCGTGACATAATTTAGGAGCATCCCCCTTCATGTTGAAGTATACTTTTAAAAATAATGTTATTCTTTTGAAAAGTAAATACAATTTGTGTTCCAAATCCTGAATAAACTTAACTCTTTTTCAGGTAATGTGAAAATTGTGGTGAGTATGCCCATTGTGAGGGCGAGTTTATTTGGCAGATGTGAAACTTGTCTACGTTAACATAAGCATGCATACTAACTCAATTTATGTGTACATAAGCACAGACGTATTCTGCTCATGGCACACGGATTGACAACAAGGTAACTGGGCAGAAAGCAGCAGAAAAAACAATATTAAGTCATGCAATCAATAATTAACAAAAAATAAGTTAGGGACCGCGCAGTAAAAATGTGATCTATTTGATTATTGCTTCTTCCACTTTTTGCTTACTTAATTAGACAAAAGTAAAATTAGTACAACGGAAGTAAGAATACTCACAAAGTGGACTACACCTTATGAACGTCCCCCCAAAAAGAGATTCATTGAAGGACAAATGAATCATAGGATTCATCCATGATTCATCGCCTCTACCAGCCTGCAAGGTACTTTTGTACGATATACATATGTATGTAGATATGTAAAGATTACTAATTGTACACATTTGAGTTCAATTTGGACCCAAAATCGACCACGCTACTCATGTACGTCCCGACTCAATGAAGGACAAACAATTTATGATTCATCTCTTTTTCAGCAATTCGGCTTGTCTGCATACATATGTACATACATACGTGTTGTTCAACCGTTTAAGCAGAATTAATTATACACACTCCTAAAAGTCTGGTTGTGTCGCACTTCCTGTTGGTATTTATTTTGTAAATAATAACTTAACCTACCGGATATATTGTATTTATTTTGTTTCTCACTGGTAAAATTTTCATTATTAATCGGTAATGGCCGTTAATACCAGATCCGGCAATGCCCATGAGTCAGTAATGATTTAATCCCAGTTTTCTAAGAGTGTAGGTGCTCAAGTTGGACACAATATACATATGTACAAAGGATGCACGCAATTAAGGGGGACGTGCATGAAGGATTTTCTCAATTTTGGCGTCTCTCCACTTTCATGATTAATCTTCCCCTTAATAAACTGCGTATCACGAAAATTCCTTGACCCCGTAAAGTAAATCGTACCCACACTTCTTACTGCACGGTACCAAAACCGGCATGGAAAAATCTGCATGACTGACGTGGCGATAATGAAACGTTCACATATTCCGACCTTGACAATGATGTCCAATTTCAATATAAATACGCCGTCTCTGCTACCACAATTTGCTCACACTTCATCGTGTTAAAGAGTGAAAAGGCAAATTTGGATTCAAAGTTTTGGCGGGAAACATGTCGAATTCGAAACCAGTCTTTGGATATCACGGGCTTCGTGGGGTATGTTTATTCAAATTGATCGCTAAATATTTAAAAGTAGCTGAAGGTGTAAATTTTTATTAATGAATTGAGGACTTTGCAAATTTTTATGTCTATTTAAATCCAATTCAAACAATGATATTTTATAATTTCTGAAATTTTGTAAAATTGTTTTATGAAAGTTGTAGAAAATGTGTGTAATAATAACGCATTTAAGCTTTGCACACATAAGTGTAATCGCAGTAAGGATTGTATGTCAGATTTTGTTAGTGTCAGATTTTGATTTGTAGTTGAAAAGCAACCGGAAAAAACAGGTTGGCAAATTTGCAGGAGTTTGCAAATTTTGGTTGGACTGCTGAAAAGTAAAAGAGAGTCACGAAAGTTTTCTACGCTTTTTGGAAAAATATAATTTGTTTATTACATACTGTACCGATCTTGAGGTGTAGATTTCAAAATCATGTTTTCAAAATTTTTTTTTATTCCAGAAATTTTGGCTTGAAAATTCATTTCACACCTCCAAGGAAAGAATATCGCTTATGATTTTATCAAAAATTACTTCATATTGACAATTTTTCGTTGAACATACGAACTTGTGATGAGTCCTCCCTCTAAATTTTGTTATAGAATACAGATTACATCTTATCTAATAATGCGAACTTTAACTACATACTCTGTTCTTCAGATTGCACAGCCCATAAGGTTTCAGCTTGCTTATCTCGGCGTGGACTATGTCGATAAGCAATACCCGCTAACACAAGAAGGTGCGGAGGAGTGGGCGCAGGAAAAGGAACATCACGGTCTGGATTTTCCTAATGTGAGAAACCAGCAGTTTTAAACCTCAATTTAAAAGTAATTACTTAAATAAAGTACAAATTTGGTTTATACCTAAAACAATGCTGAAGTACTGGGAAGATAAATTCATTGTCCGGCGGAGGGATTAAAAATATTTCCAAATTTAGAAACAATTTTCAGTTACCAGAGATGGAATTCTCCACAATCTAAGACTAAAATAGATTACACCCTTAAAAAGTATGTTACCGATTTGAAAAGTAAGCGCAATCAGAATTCAATGTTAAATGGTTCAATTTCCAATGCTAAATCCAGGGTAACGTTAACTTGATACAGAGTAAAATTTATTCTGGATTTCGCACAGTATACTTAATCATAATTAATAATAACAGTTTCATAATTTGGAGTTCAGAGGGCATTTTTTTCAGAGGGTAACAACATTTTTAAGGGTGTTGGAGTTTAGATTTCATTGTGCTGAGAAAATCTCAAAATTTTTGTCAATCGTATTTGTACTAATTCTGAACAAACCAGTTCATAAATTACGTAACGCAAAAAAAATTGCGCATTTCTAAACCCCCTTTCATATGCACGATCTCATTAGAGTCTTAGACTCCCCCCTCTTCTTGCGTTACGTAATTTATGGACGACCCCTATGTATTATTTGGCACTTAATTTTGGGGGAGTTTCGAATAAATACTTATTTTCATATCGCTTTCTACATAGCTGCCATACTGGAAAGACGGGGAGGTTAATATGACAGAGTCCCGCGCAATTTTAAAGTTCTTAGCGCGGACGGAAGGTGGCGGGAAGCTCATTCCTACGGACGCTAGGAGCCTAGTGAACGCTGAAATGGTGGAAGGTCTCCTTTGGGATGTTTGGTACGGCTTGATCTGGAGGTGTTATTTGGACTCGGTACGGGAAATTTTGAAAAAATATGAACATCATTTTTTATGAAATCTGGGATGAGCACATTTTTTAAATAATTTAAACAGGAGGACATGATCAACGCTTTGGCAAGATGTCCACCAAAGCTGGAAGTGCTGAATAAGTTTCTGGGCAACAAGAAATGGGTTTTGGGTGACCAGGTAATTAATTTTTAATTTTCATGTACATGAAAATTGAAAATTGCTGGAAATTTTAGTAGAAATTAAGGGCCGTGTACATGTATTTGTCCATTTTGAGTGACTAAAGTATTCTAAATATCTCAATTGAGTCAAGCAGATCCTTTTATGTAAAAACTGAATTTGCAAAAATGCAATTTTTTGCAAAAATGCAATTTTGCAAAAATTTTTGCAAAATTGTTTGAACAAATTTTTGCAAAATTGTTTCAACAAATTTTTGCCCAATGAATCAATTAGATTTTCCTAGTAAAATAATTCTTCCAAAACTATTAAGCAATCGTCTCATTAAATTGCAAATTAATTGCACAGATTTCCTACGTGGACTTCATGCTGTACGAGATACTGCACCAGTATTCACTCTACGATCCGAAGTACCTCTCCCCTTGCGGAGCCCTGCTCAAGCTGAAGGCCAACTTCGAGGAGCTCCCCGCCATCAAAAAGTACATGGCGTCGCCGGAGTACATCGCAGCCCCGTGTTTCCACCCCATGTACGCGAAGCACAAGGTGGTCGGCCTCACCTGCTAATTAGCCTATCCCGCACGTGGAACGAAGAACACGTGACAAATGTTCTGAGTTGAATTAATGCTCAGGCAACCTTCGCTGTATTAATTCTTTTAAATTTTATCAATAAAGTGACATTTGGCTCTAAAATTGAGATTCTTTCACTGTAAATAAAGTTGAGTAAAATTGCCACCACCAAAACTGTTGAGCAAAATTTACCCTGACAAAGGTAAAATTTACTCAAGGTTGAGCAAAAACCCTTCAACCTTGAGTAAATTTTACCTTTGTCGTAGTAAATTTTACTCAATAGTTGCTTTGGTGGCAATTTTACTCAAAATTGAGTAAATTTTAGGAAGTAATTTAATGCCTCTCCAAAACAATGGGAATCACCCTCCAAATATTTAAGAAGTTACCTAAGTGGAAAGCAACCTCTCAATGCTCAAAATTTTCCCTCCTGTTAAATGGAAGGAGCCTCTCATTTTGCATATCGTAATTCTATGTAAATTTCTTAACTGTGATGGGTCTTATTATATTTTTGACTCAATAATTTTGATAACGATTCATACTCTGGGTCTGATGACGACTTAGGCCCAGTAACACAAAATAGAAAACCTGCAGACAGACTTCATTTAGCCTGTACAGAGTCCGCGTCTAAATTGTTGTCCGAATTGACCGGCGGATTGTTACCAATCTCCGTTGTGGGGATTAAATGTTTGTTAGATATTTTCTATTATTTGGCAACATATATTTGAAGTATTAAGAAGTCCTTCCCCTTGACAAGTGGGAGTTCTTTAAAATCTTAAACTTCCAAGGCTGTATGTGCTACGCATAAGTAGTGTTTACCCACCATACTCAATTTTTTAAGATGAAAATAGCAACTTATATAAAGGGTGTAGGGGCTAGGGTACCCAAAGTGCAACCATGGTTACACTTTGCTCACTTTTTACTTCATACTCATTCCTCAGAAGCGATGAAGAATTTAAGATTAAAAATTCGGCATTACCATGTGCCGAATTTCATGTTTTGAAGACAATTTCTGAAAATTGTAACCCCTTAGTTCTACTTTGCTGCACTGATTGGAATGGTCGACATGAACGTGCCAGTTTTTTAAGACTGGTACTGTATATTTGTAAAGATGTACTTCGGAAAATTAAAAACAATCGATAGGAAGCTTGATTGGAGGACCTTTTAAGTCCACAAAAGCCTTGATTGCCATGTAGTTTTTAAAAATGTATGTTTTTATGGCAGCGTTAACTCTAATTGTAAATAAATGATACGCTTTTTACATAAAATTCCAAAATTATATGTTGCAGATACGTATATTATTTTAAGAGGTATTTTGCCACCAAAATCCTAATTCAAAAATAACATTAGGAGGTAGGGTTCAATGGAGGGTACTTCTGAAATATTGGGAGGGTACTTCCCATTTTTTTGGAGAGGCATTAAATGCATGCCTAAATTTTAATCAAATTTAATTAGAGTTTATGTAGAGGAATTAGTTTACGCTCGATTGTATTTAATTAATACTTCTCGTAATGTATCATTTCATTGTCCTACAAACAAATGCTCCTGGACATTTTGTACATTTCATGTCATTTTCATGGCTCCATGGAAATCAGAGCATTTTACTTTGTTCGTACATTGAGACCAGTCTCAATATTCCCGGGTTAACATGACACCTGGCACGAATCCAAACCTGCTGATGGCTCCGCTTTTTTAAGAATAATTTGCACTTTTAATTTAACTACATTAGTTAAAATCTCTCCCTTCAAGTTAATTTCTTGCTAACTTATTCCAATGTCGGCATCCACCTCGTCGTCTGGCGTCATTCCAGAAAACAAGTTGAAACTTTGGGATATATTTCGAAACGTGGGGGCGGATGGGGAGGAAATTTTGAAGACGGCCAAATTGGCTCATGTCGCCAACAACAAAGAAGGATTCGTCGTCACCATGGCGGACGATACTTATTCCTCCATTCGTGAAAATCCTAGAGCCCCCGGAGTCTGCAAGGTTTCCAAAATTCGGGAACTTTCCGGTATCCGGGTTAATGGTATGTATACATTTCCGCCACCAATGTTGAATTTAATTTTACTACGCCACATTTTTTCAAAATTACCGTAATAAATTTTGATCCTTTTTAATTTCCAGATTTTTTTACGGCAGAAATCAACTTTGCAATAACGGAGGATGGACGCCTCTATTCCTGGGCGAGTGAGATCAGCCGAGATGACGACTACGGTGAGGACTACGTCGGCCACGAACAAGACATCGTCAATCAATTGGGCCGTTACGTTTCTTCTGATGCGGCGGATAAAATTGCCCTGTGTTGTCGCCCAGCTCCGGTTGAGGAGGGTAGTTTGATGAGGGTCAAAGTGCGACAAGTCGCGTTTTCCGGAGGTATCACGACGTACACCGTGGCGCTCAGTGTGGGTGGGGACGTCCATCAATGGGGTTCCAAGCGAAACTTGTATCGGCCCATCTGCGACTGCTGGACACCAACTTTGATCCCAAGGGAACGCTTTGACTACCAGGAGGTCATCTCAGTCACGTGCATCGAGCACATGGGGGTCGCTTTAACTGCAAAGGGACAGGTGGGAAGGAGCGCTTTACTAGAGTTTTTTTGTGTGAAAAATGTTTTCACCTTGTTAATTGTCTGGTTATTAATTAATTAATTAATATGAATTGTTTGCTCGTAGTTATATCAATGGAAATTGCGCGACATGATGTCACAAAAAGTCCTGATTGATGGGTCGGGACCATTGAAGAAGGTAAAATTTAAAATACCTAGGAACATTAGACTCCGTTTCACGCTGAGTGAAACTCGTGCATCTTATGTAACTCTTGCAGATAACTGGAAGCTACGACCTTATCTTTGCCCTCACCGATAAAGGAGACATGCACTATTTGGAGGTTAACGTCATGCCTGGAATTTCTTACGATAATTTCCAAGTGTTCTCCCAGCAAATTTTTGAAGTGTTCTCTGAAAACATAAAAACCCTATTTTTTACAGATTTTCGGTACGCCACGTTGTTATGACGAAAAAACGAACAATTTCATCTTTATTATTATCGCATTTAGAAAAATGTGGTTGTAATTTGTAGTAATGTATTATTTCATGCATTAATCTACATCAGTATTCTTTTTGTTGTCGAAAGCTATGAAAATGAACTCCAGTTTATACCCTGCATGCAGTATCCTTCTATAAATTTCAAGCAGTATGTACAACATATCGGGATATCACGATAAGAATACATATGCAGATCTTGCTTTATAGATATAAAATGGGCATGTTTTTACTTTCAATTACTTTCATTTACTTTCATTTACTTTCAATTATGAATAATAGCTATCCATACACTTAGGTATATGTCTGAATTTGCTCCCTGTTCAAAAAATACCCGTTCTGAAATTCCATAAGTTTTTGCATTCCATTTGAATCTTGCCTCGCCAATTTAATATTTCTTTGTTTGAAATTTTTAATCCGTACACATTTCTATCTTGAAGCCTAGTAGTACAGCAATTAGAAATGAGGGTGGGGCGCCCGAAGATAAGAATGAGTGAGATGACATGGTTGATAATAGTTATAAAATTCAGAACGAGGCTAAAGTTCCGCTGGCACTTTGTATTGTCAGAAAATAAATTCACATAACAAAAATTTAGTAGAAATTAGGACTGTGGAAAATTTATTTTCTTGAATTTCTTACAAAATACATCAAAATTGCTGGACATTTAAAGTGCGTAATATTTCTAAGCGTATGTGTGTGCGTCCCTATGTATATACAGTCACATAGAGTTTATCCTAAAAGTTTCTCCCTACTACCCAGTTATGAATTTTATAACCTTACAATTACAAGGATACCGAATTGTTCGAATTGCTATATTTTTGGAAAGTAACGCAATACGATGCGCCTAATGTAGTCTTATTCACCATTTCTTCCATTCATGCCTTAAATAAAACTGTGGAGCAAAATGTGTGGCCTGCACGAAACCAATATTGCACAGGGATTTCGAGGTTGGGTTTAGCCCTTGTAATGCGACGTCCTTCAAATATTTTTTCCTATATCTCACATTTTGTGGATTGAATTGTTCATGTTATTCAATCTAGCTCCTGTCTGTTAATATGAACTTATCGTCGCATTCCGCAGGGGCAAATAAGTAGAAAATGTATGCTTTTATCCAGTTTGGCGAAATTCGACCCATATTAACCTGGGTTTGAAAGCGCTTTATACTGACCCCTGCAAGTTCGACCACACTACTTTGTCATATTGAGTTAGTCCCAGAAGTAATCGTCAAAGCATCGTCAAATCATCAAATTTAAGTTCTTACAAAAGCGCCGAGCTACAAGAATTAGGCACCTTCAGTTTTTATGGGGGACCTAGCCAATTTCCTTCCAATCTTATAATTAGATTAGCATTTTTTGATGAGCAGATTGTCCTCGAACTACTTGAACTGCGTTTGAGTTTGAAATATTTGTTTTTGCTTCATAATCCCATAGATCGGATATTTTGCGTACTCCGTACTTCGCGTACTCCGTACTCCGGCCATCCGCGCATACTCCGTACTCCGGGAGGGCGGTGTATGTACTCCAAGTCCGGGGTTATCCGATCTATGCGTCAAAACTCACAGATGCAAAGCCTAGCAACAAAAAATGACGGAAAAGTCATCGGAAACTTTTGTCACATCGTCTAGGCATGAAATGGTTGGCTCAGATTTTGATCGGACTAATTTTATCTAAATTGTTCACCTTTAAAATTAGTATTAGATTAGTATGTTTCAAAACGATTTAGCTTTTCGAATTTTAACTTGATTTCACAAATCAAGCTACATGCTCATGTAACGAGCATGCTAAAACACATGATGCTGCCTCTAGTTGTTTGACATTGACATTGATTTAGTTAATCCGACTTTTCAAATTTAAAATGAAATTTTCTCACTGGAATGCGGACTCAGTTCCACGTGAGTTTGCCGTTCGGAGACCTTTCTGTAATTTTCGGGATGAGCTAAAAATATCTTGGATAATAATTACTCCAGCTTTGGATAAATGGTTGTACTTATAATGCACCATTGGAACCAAACTATAGAGTTTTATACTTATTTTGTGCACTTATGCGGCACCATTGGTGCAAAATTATATACATCCTAATTTATATTGCAGGGTGAGCTACTTCTAACGTTACTACGGTTTATTTTATCATCATACGGGTTGAAGCTTAATCTTTTTATGAATTTGATTTTTCATAATTTAATATTTTCGGGGTAAGCTGTTCTCTTCTGCCAAAAAGTGTTCTCCCAGCAATGCTGGGTGGTTGGGTAAGAAATTCCAGGCATGTAGCTTCGTGTCAAAATAGGCTTGATACTCTTTCAATTTTGCAAAAAGTTTCTTACACTATCCGAACCTGAGAATTAAACTGCGTTCACATCCCCTGGTCGATTAGCTTTGCTTTGGCATAAGCAACCGTAAGCTTGTAACACCTTCGTGTGCAATAATTGTCTTATGCCAAGATATCCCGACAGCAAGTAGTGTGAGCCTTAGCCCAAAACTCGGGTTGGCGATAATCTATGATCTTACCAAAAGGAGAACTTCAAACGGATTTCTATCTGTTTCAGCGATTTAAATTCGTCATACAGCTTTTGAATAATTTTAATTGAATGAGGCAATTCCATGTCACTGACCTACATGTTGGTGTTATTTCGGGGTTCAAATTTTCTGTTATCTTTATCTATTATCTTTGCAAAAATGAACGTACCATATGTGGTTCAATTTATTAAAATATGGTCTCACTTTTATATCTGCAATTACTTTTTGGACAATGATGGAATATTGTCCGTGTGTATGTGTGTACGTAGCATATAACTGATTTTTTGGCGGATGTGTTCGCGGTGGCAGATAATAGATTATCTGTGGAGATATTTATGCAATCATGCACGGGTTACTGCGACCCACTCTGATCCGTCACGCAGTGTACCGGAGTCAGAGAGGCATGAGAGAGTAGAGAGAGATGTACATACGAGATGAGAGTATTTTATGTACTGGTTTTATTTATTGAAACATTTGCTTTATATACAGGTTTGAATTCCTCCTGTCCGTCCGTCTGTCTGTCTGTCTGTTAACGACCTTTTTGCATCAATTGATGCTAATTAAAATGTCCCTGCTCCATTTTTTCATAAATTTATAGCACCGTTGGTATCTGACAATCGGAAACACCAAATGATGCGAAATAATTGGTGGAAGCGATGTAAAACGCACCAATAGTGCAGAATATCCGGAAAAGATAATCCTACAATTTTGACATAAAGTTTTCAAAGTTAAAAATGACCCTTGGTCTCTCATACTGCGCAAGTGGTGAATACTAAGTCGGCCTTTTCATCAATTTTCCGTTTATATTGCACCCTTGGTGCAAGAATATATAAAAATTATGATCTCTTTTGTCGGCTTATTCCACACCTTTGGCGCAAAGTTATGTCTAAATCATTATGAACCTTATTTTGTCGCCTTATTCTACACTATTGATGCAAAAATCTCAAAATTCTACACTTACATATTCCGATTATAATGCACTATTGGAACCAAACTATAGAGTTTTATACTTATTTTGTGCACTTATGCGGCACCATTGGTGCAAAATTATATACATCCTAATTTATATTGCAGGGTGAGCTACTTCTAACGTTACTACGGTTTATTTTATCATCATACGGGTTGAAGCTTAATCTTTTTATGAATTTGATTTTTCATAATTTAATATTTTCGGGGTAAGCTGTTCTCTTCTGCCAAAAAGTGTTCTCCCAGCAATGCTGGGTGGTTGGGTAAACCAGAAAGCATCTTGAGCGACAGCTTCATAAACTTTGGTCTTGGTAGGAGAACCACCTACAGTACAACCATTTATCCAAAGCTGGAGTAATTATTATCCAAGATATTTTTAGCTCATCCCGAAAATTACAGAAAGGTCTCCGAACGGCAAACTCACGTGGAACTGAGTCCGCATTCCAGTGAGAAAATTTCATTTTAAATTTGAAAAGTCGGATTAACTAAATCAATGTCAATGTCAAACAACTAGAGGCAGCATCATGTGTTTTAGCATGCTCGTTACATGAGCATGTAGCTTGATTTGTGAAATCAAGTTAAAATTCGAAAAGCTAAATCGTTTTGAAACATACTAATCTAATACTAATTTTAAAGGTGAACAATTTAGATAAAATTAGTCCGATCAAAATCTGAGCCAACCATTTCATGCCTAGACGATGTGACAAAAGTTTCCGATGACTTTTCCGTCATTTTTTGTTGCTAGGCTTTGCATCTGTGAGTTTTGACGCATAGATCGGATAACCCCGGACTTGGAGTACATACACCGCCCTCCCGGAGTACGGAGTATGCGCGGATGGCCGGAGTACGGAGTACGCGAAGTACGGAGTACGCAAAATATCCGATCTATGGGATTATGAAGCAAAAACAAATATTTCAAACTCAAACGCAGTTCAAGTAGTTCGAGGACAATCTGCTCATCAAAAAATGCTAATCTAATTATAAGATTGGAAGGAAATTGGCTAGGTCCCCCATAAAAACTGAAGGTGCCTAATTCTTGTAGCTCGGCGCTTTTGTAAGAACTTAAATTTGATGATTTGACGATGCTTTGACGATTACTTCTGGGACTAACTCAATATGACAAAGTAGTGTGGTCGAACTTGCAGGGGTCAGTATAAAGCGCTTTCAAACCCAGGTTAATATGGGTCGAATTTCGCCAAACTGGATAAAAGCATACATTTTCTACTTATTTGCCCCTGCGGAATGCGACGATAAGTTCATATTAACAGACAGGAGCTAGATTGAATAACATGAACAATTCAATCCACAAAATGTGAGATATAGGAAAAAATATTTGAAGGACGTCGCATTACAAGGGCTAAACCCAACCTCGAAATCCCTGTGCAATATTGGTTTCGTGCAGGCCACACATTTTGCTCCACAGTTTTATTTAAGGCATGAATGGAAGAAATGGTGAATAAGACTACATTAGGCGCATCGTATTGCGTTACTTTCCAAAAATATAGCAATTCGAACAATTCGGTATCCTTGTAATTGTAAGGTTATAAAATTCATAACTGGGTAGTAGGGAGAAACTTTTAGGATAAACTCTATGTGACTGTATATACATAGGGACGCACACACATACGCTTAGAAATATTACGCACTTTAAATGTCCAGCAATTTTGATGTATTTTGTAAGAAATTCAAGAAAATAAATTTTCCACAGTCCTAATTTCTACTAAATTTTTGTTATGTGAATTTATTTTCTGACAATACAAAGTGCCAGCGGAACTTTAGCCTCGTTCTGAATTTTATAACTATTATCAACCATGTCATCTCACTCATTCTTATCTTCGGGCGCCCCACCCTCATTTCTAATTGCTGTACTACTAGGCTTCAAGATAGAAATGTGTACGGATTAAAAATTTCAAACAAAGAAATATTAAATTGGCGAGGCAAGATTCAAATGGAATGCAAAAACTTATGGAATTTCAGAACGGGTATTTTTTGAACAGGGAGCAAATTCAGACATATACCTAAGTGTATGGATAGCTATTATTCATAATTGAAAGTAAATGAAAGTAAATGAAAGTAATTGAAAGTAAAAACATGCCCATTTTATATCTATAAAGCAAGATCTGCATATGTATTCTTATCGTGATATCCCGATATGTTGTACATACTGCTTGAAATTTATAGAAGGATACTGCATGCAGGGTATAAACTGGAGTTCATTTTCATAGCTTTCGACAACAAAAAGAATACTGATGTAGATTAATGCATGAAATAATACATTACTACAAATTACAACCACATTTTTCTAAATGCGATAATAATAAAGATGAAATTGTTCGTTTTTTCGTCATAACAACGTGGCGTACCGAAAATCTGTAAAAAATAGGGTTTTTATGTTTTCAGAGAACACTTCAAAAATTTGCTGGGAGAACACTTGGAAATTATCGTAAGAAATTCCAGGCATGTGATTTACTACATAATTAAGTGCACGCTTGATGATTCTTTCGATCTCTCACTCTCTCTGCCCTCACCAAAAATGATTCCAGGTATGCATATATACATGTAGGCGAAATTTTGCACAAAAACTACGCATTGAAATCTTATATTTGGTGCCATTAGTAGATCCCAAATTTAATATTAAATGTTTCCACTGAAATTCAAACTACTCACTGTATAAATCTAGACAGTCCTCAATGACGAATACACGAATAACCGTATTAGCTCAGTAATTTCTTCTGTCTGTTTTTCGTGATTATTTTCACTTGGTTACTTGGCCTGCTCATCTTCAGATTAACTTGACAATTCCTGCGTCTTATCTGTCACTTTTTCATGATTGTTAACAACTTCTGGAATTTAACCTTCAGCGCCACAATGACTCACACTTTCGTTTTCAGAAATATTTTCTCCCTGTTTCCGATTCGGACACCTCCTCGTGCATACATCATTAGGGATGGTAATCCGTATCCTAAATTAACCGATCCGTAGGATAGGATCGGATAAATACAGGATCGGATCGGATTTGCTCACTTTAGGATCGGATCGGTTCGCGGTTCAGCTGGAAATCCGATGCGATCCGATCCTAGCATCATAGGATAACCGCGGGTAATCCAAGATTCACTTAACATGCATATGTTTAACTATGGAAAAACTTTACCAGCTGCTTTTGTTTATTTATATACGTATAAACACATAATTAATTAATAATTAAAATTCTAACAAATTGTCATCACAAACATGATTATTGAAATTAGCAGTTATTTTTATATTAATCCAAAAAATTTAACTAGGTTACACCCCAAATTTTCGAAAATTTAATTTTAACTATGTTACACCCTCAAAGTTCCCAAATTGGAATTTTGACTTGGTTACAACCCCAAATTTTTGAAAATTTAATTTTGACTTGGTTACACCTCCAAAGTTTCCAAAATAAAATTTTGACTTGGTTACAACCCCAAAGTTTCCGCAACGGAATTTTGAATTGGCTACCCAAGAAATGTATTCCAATTGGTGTTCGTAAGTGTTGAAGTGATGAATGGTTTATATTTACATACATCGGATGATCCGAGGATGCGATTTCATCGGATCGGATCGTCTGATCCTCGGAGGAAGGGATAGGATTTTTCCCTATCCCTCCCATGGGCTTGTGGCAACACTACTCGTAAGTTTGTAATTTTACAAAATGCAAAGATTATTAGACAAATTTGAAGAGATTATTATGGGGTGAAGCGAAATCCCTTTATGGAAATGTCTTGTCCATCCGTACGTCCATCAATCTGTATCCACGATAACTTTAGAACGGATTCGAATTTCGACATGTGGTTTTCGCCAACGTGTTTCTAATTTTTTGAGTCGAGTTCGAAGATGAACGTGCTAGGCCATAAGGTCACGCGCCACGGTGAAGAGGCCAACGGTAATAGAAGTCGAATTTTTTATTTCGCCCTTTTTAGACGTAGTTTTGGGCGGGGATTTCAAACATCAACAAAGTTTTGACGTAACCGTGTGACCGTGTCGCTTCACCCCTTTGCTACATTTCGTTTGCAACGGTTTATTAAAACAATTCTGGGAAAACAATCAAAATTATTATTAGCTGATGATCAAAATAGTTAAGTGTATAAATGAATGTATGTAGATCCATATGAAATAAAATTATTTCTGTATGAATTCTTGAAAGACAGAACTATGTAGGTATGAATGTAAGCATTAAATTAAATGTTTAATTAAATTTCGAACACGAATTCTTTCCTTCCAGTTTTGCAAAATGCGGAAGGCCGTATTAAATTTTCACTTTGCATAAATCTTAATTGCACTAGCATTTCTTGAAAACTTCAAGGGGAGTATTTTGCTTTGTTTCAGAGAAGTCTCAATATTCCCTTGACGCAGGCGCTGGGGTTGGAATCAAAGTCTGTCTTCTGATCGCCGTGTTGAATTTAACAAAACAATTAATTTGCACTTTTCTCTTCAAACATCGAGTAAAAATATTAAATTAATTTCCTCATAATTGCGTGAAATGGAGTCACCCACCTCGGGGTTGGGCATCATTCCCGAAAAACAATTGAAAATTTGGAAAATCTTTCGCAACGTGGGACCGGATGGAGAGGAGATTTTGAAAACGGCAAAATTGGCACATTCTGCCGACTACAGGCGTGGATTCGTCGTCACCATGAACGACGAAACTTATTCCTTCTTCCGAAAGGATTCTCTTGGCGGCGGTGTTTGCACGATTTCCAAAATCGACGAGCTTTCCGGTGTCCGGGTTAAAGGTGGGTATTTTGTATTTCATATTTACTCAATTTATTGAAAATAATACTATTTAACAATAATAATCAGCGATCAGAATTGGGAAAAGTTTGAAAACCTCAAATTCGATGACAAATAATAAAGGGCTGTTCTTACGACTCCCATGGATGACGCGTTGGCGCGTAACCTCACTTTGCCCCTATTCAATGTATTCAAATGTAATTTTTAGAATCGAATCAACTCCATGAGTTTTAGGATAAATGCAACCTTTGATATTTTAATCTAAAGCTAATTTTTGGTACTACAAACAAGTCGATTTGAAAAAAATTAGTCAATTCGTTTGCCAATTCTATTTCATACTAAATTTCCTCGAAAATGAATCCGCTATTTTTTTTTGTCGACGGTACAAGTCTTTTAACGGTGTAGAATCCTTCATCTTGTAGATCCATACTGCACCACAGTAATTTTAAATATTTTATTGCAGAGTTTTTTACTGGAACAATCAACTTTGCCATAACGGACGAAGGACGCCTCTTCTCCTGGTTTAACGAGCTCGATACAAATGAGTTCTACCCTCCCCACCATATCCATCAATTAGGCCGAGGCAACTACGTCTCTGGTATAAAAGAGGCGGATCAAAGAGACCTGTTTTGTCGCCCTGCCCTCGTGACGGGAAGTCTGACGGGGGTCAAAGTGCGTCAAATCGCGTTGCAAGGATGGACTGAGACGTACACCGTGGCGGTCAGTGTGGGTGGGGAGGTCCATCACTGGGGTGCAACTTATGGAAGTGGCTCTGAACATCCCTGGATACCAAGTTTGATTCCCAAGGAACACTTTGACTACCAGGAGGTCATCTCTGTCACGTGCAGTGACCGCATGGGCGTCGCCTTAACGTCAAAAGGAGAGGTGCGAAGAAGCAGGTCGGTTCCATCAGAATGACGATTTTAAAATATTTTTTTGTCACAGTTGTTTCAATGGGAAGTGGGTGATAAGGTGCCCAAAAAAGTCTTTGCGTGCTATACATTTAAAAAGGTATTTATCTTATAAAGATCTCTATCTATATTAGTATTATCTATAAAGATAATAATTTGTGAGTTTACATTTCACATTAAAATCTGTAATATACAGGGTGGTTTAAATGTCAGGTTACAGTGGAAAATTTTTCAATAGGAAAAATTCGTAAATTTCCATTAGTTACGGATTTGGGATTGAGATTTTTATTAATTTTTTATCAAAACTTATGGAACACATGATGACAAAATGCTTAAAATATTGAATTTCTGAGACAAAATTCCGCTAACTAATGGAGATTTGTGAATTTTTCCCATTGAAAAATTTTCCATTGTAACCTGACATTTACATAAACCATCCTGTACATAATAATTTTGTGAACTGTTTCCATCTTATCAACTGAGCCTAGTACTCAGCACGGATTTTTCACATGAAACTAAATAACTGGAAAGGGAAAAGGTTCTTCAAATGATTTGCAAAATATTGAAGTTTCGTTTTTTTAACCAAACTTTAACTTCACCAGAAAAATCCGTCCACTTCGGTTTACCAATGCTATTTAATCTAAATTTTCCTACTGGTCTGGTCTGTTACAGATAACGGGAAACAGCGACTTTATTTTTGCACTCACTGTTACCGGAGAGATGCAGTATTTGGAACCATTATTTCCATGGTGGAGAAGGCCTCCCCGCACGGTTGAATGGATGACGATCGAATTCGAGGATCACAAAATTGAAGATATCGCGTCCTGCAATGGGGATCAAAACGTCGTCGTGGTCGAGTTGAAGAATAGCAAACGCTTCGCGTTCCATTACTGTGAAGGAGAAAACCACGAAATTCCGGCCTTGCCCACATTTACATTGCCCAGTGATGCGTCGATGGATGGGCTTTTTGCGAAATATGGGGGCACAAGTTATCGCACTATTTCGGTGCAGATTGAACCACCGCCACGACGCAGGGTGAAGGATGACATTTGCGATTTGTGGGAGAATAAGGTCGGCATAAATTTGGACCATTTTACTTTAAAATTTTGTTTGATTTTATTATTTCTACTGTAGAAACATGCCGACGTTGCATTTTCCGTGGAGGGTAAAGTCATCACGGCACACAAACTCATTCTTTCCGGAAGAAGTGAATATTTCGAAAGAATGTTCAGCAAAGAGTGGAATGAGGCTAATCCTCAGAAGTGAGTTCTTTTACAAAGTTTTGCAACATCTTTGTTTACAGGGAATACTATACTATAATCTGTTGCAAATTTTAAGTACTGCATTTTAATTAATTATTTGTCCAAATTTTGCAGGGGAGCGATTGAGGTTAAGGACACGAAACATGACATCTTTGAAGCGCTGCTCTTCTACATTTACACGGACAAGATCAAATTCGAGGAGGACGAGCATGAAAATATTTTTGGTAAAATCATGTCGCCACTTTATTTTCTGTAAATGCAAATATTGAGACAATTCGTGCATTCATTAGTAAGTCGTAAGTTTGTAATTTTAGAAAATTCAAAGATTAAGTTTACACTTTACGAAAATTTGTCAGCTATTTATGTGTAAAAGTTGGTAACTTTAGAGAATTAACGGATGTTACAATGTTACCAAGAGCTGAAACAATTGACTCAATAAGTACATATTTTTAAATTTAAAAAACTAACTTATCGCCCGAATTATATTTTTTAGAACTGATGAAATTAGCTGACTATTATTGCCTAGTCGATATTCGTCACGAATGTGAGAAAATTTTGATCAATAACATCAACCCGGAAAACGCTTTCTTTTTGGCGAAAAACGCTTCATCCGCGAACGCTTTGGTATGCAATAACATTAAGTAGTTAACTAAATGGTGAGGCATATTTAATTAGTATTTTGTCTTATTATTGCAGACATTGGAAGGGAAGGTAATCAAATTTATTGTGGACAATCAACTCCTCGTGGACATTTCGTCGCCTCAGGAGAAGATCGGCTTGGTGGGGATGAAAGTCTTCCAACAAATCTAATCATACATAAGTGGTCTGAGGAATTTTAAGAGATTAATAAAACAATAGTGGGAAAACAATCAAAATTATTATTTGCTGCATAGCAATGAAAGTTAAGGGCATACATGAATGTATATAAAAAATTGGCATGGAAATTGGCGTGCTGAAAGTTGTGCCAATTTTTAGTATGCCAATTCTAACCTTTTGGCGTGCTAAAAAATTGGCACCCCAAAATAATAATTTAAAATAGCCATGCCAACAACCTAAATTTAAAAAATCCCCTTAGGAATCCCCCTGCCGCCGCCACCCCCATCACGCCGCCCACATTGCCACGTCAACGGAGTCTTCATCCAACATTTTCACCTCATGTTATTCGGACCCACGGCAACCACGCCAAACGACTTCCGAAGACGATTTATTGTCGCTAAGGCAACAGCAGCTGAGATGGGGTTCGTTAATTGGCCATTAATTAGTTCATTAATTCTAAGTAGATATGTAATAAAATTATGTCAGTGTGAATTTCTGAAATCTGAAAGATAAAATTGAACTGTGAATGTAATCAACATTTGTACACTAATAAAAGAATGTGCATTAAATTGTACTTACATATTATTATTTAATAAAATTTAATTGGATTTGTATTACTCATAAAAACATGAATTTTCAAAATGCTTCAACTTTTTAGCCCGAACCAGGGCTTATGTAATTGTCATGTCCGTCTGTCTTTCGATAACTCTCGAACGAGTTGACGAATTTTTACCAAATTTGGTAGAGACACGTATCTAGGCAATGCAACGACCGAGTTCGACGATGGGTTCGATCAGAAAAGTTTTGGACCGGTGGGGTCATCGGAGTGGGTGGTGTTGAATTCACACACTGTCTTCTACCCGAAAACCAGGAAATCCGATGAAAAGGGCCTTGGTTGTGAATTAAGATGAATAGTTTTTAGGCAAATGAGTCCTTGTAGTCGCCGTGAAGTCGAAATAAACTTTAATGTCAAAATATTTCCTTCTGGCAGGACACTACTTTATTTAATTAACTCAAAATGCGATTAAAAACTTTAACAAAAACAATGACAATTTAATTACTAAGAAGAGCCTAAAATCGTAACGTGTTGCTACTTCAAAGTCTTGGTAAAGAGTAAAAAATAAAACGTTGGCTGAGCACGTAGGCAAAAAATCAGACAAAGAAACTGTGCCAGCGCCAACAGCAAAAGAAAGTGGGAATAAAAATCTCACAATGCCCCACTTTTCACATAATTAACATAATTATTAAAATTATCAAAAAACTACTAAATTAATATCTTCCGAAATCCAACAGGTGGGGTATTACGCACCAAAATTTCAAAATTGTCGTAGAAAGCTCACATTTGGCAAAGAGGTTGCTAATGGCTCCTAATGAAAGAATATGAAGTGAAATTGGAAAATTTGTCAACCGGAGGGACCCGAGGGGTCACCCATACCGATTTTTCAAAATCATCCAGTCGAGCTGAAATTTGGCATTGAGGCTGCTAATGGCCCCTAATGGAAGAATAAGAAGTGAAATTGGTAAAATTTTTGTGTATAGGGACCCAAAGGGGTGACCCATACCGAATTTTAGAAATCGTCGTAAGAAGCTGAAATTCGGTAGGGTGATAGTTAATGATTCTCATGAAATTATATGACGTCAAAGATGAACAAAAAGTAACCAGAGGGGCACTAAGGGATACCCATACCGATTTCTAAGGGTTTATATATTCAACTAAAATTTAGTGTCGCGTCGAAAAGTAAGGATTGAAATTTAGTCTTCAATTTCGAAATTTTTAAATAGAAAATTCTGAGAAACATGAGGTTACTATTAAATCCTGGTTCGGGCTAAGCAAAGCTGTACTGATAGGTTTTGAATTTTAGTTTAATGCAATTTAGTTGCATGGAAAGTCAAAATTAAACATCTTAAGTGGCTGCGCATATTGGTACATAAATATTTCGATAATAATTGAAAATACATTGAAACATAATAAAATACATTTTCACTGAATTTATCTGAACGTATGAAAAATTTAATGGTAGCGTTTAGTATTACAAAGATACACTATCAAGTAACTTATGTATAAGCATGTATTACATAATTTTTTAATAGAATTTACATAATGCGAGCTTTTTATTACATCTTAGAAATTTATGTTGAAATAATTTCATTGCTTAAACACATGATTAATTAACTCTTAAGCATGTAAGTATTTAAATTATAATCCGTAATTAAATGATATGATTGTTTCCCCATTTTAATAATCCCTTAAAACTCGAAGCTATTGCTGAAGTAAGGCGACCCAGATTTTTTGGAAGGCGTCTATCCCCACCGAATCAATCATCTCTTGAGACGACGAGGTGTCTAAGATAAGTATATTATCCACAATAAATTTGATCACTTTCCCCTCCAAAGTCTGTAAAGATACAAAATTCTAACTAAATACGACCTTATCAATTGTGTTACATAGGTAATTCATGTAGACAAGGGCTTAATATAGCGTACCAAAGCGTTAGCCGAGGAAGCATTTTTCGCCAAAAAGAAAGCGTTTTCCGCGTTGATGTTGCTCATCAGCATTTTCTCACATTCTTGACGAATATTGACGTCACAATAAAAGTCAGCCAATTTCATGAGTTCTAAAACAATATAATTCAGGCGATCAATTATTTCAATATTAAAAACATGCAAGTGTTAACATATTACCGAAAATATTTTCATACTCGTCCTCCTCAAATTTGATCTGGTCACTGTAAATGAAGAAGAGCAGCGCTTCAAATATGTCGTGTTTCGTGTCTTTGACTTCGATCGCCCTGCAAAATTTAGATTTGGTGTAAACATGTAACATTGCCAAAAATCAAATAAAAAATACTCACGAATATCCTCCCTTAGCCTCGTTCCACTCTTTGCTGAACATGATTTCGAAATATTCACTTCTTCCGGCAAGCAAGAATCTGCATGTGTGCCGTGATGACTTTCCCCCCCACGGAAAATGCAACATCGGCATGTTTCTGTCATAGAAAAAATGCAAAAATTAAACAAGTTTTATACCCAAAATGATCTCGTCATAAATTTATGTCCACCTTATTCTCCCACAAGTCGCAAATGTCATCACTCACTCGGCGTCGAGGCGGTGGTTCAATCTGCGCCGAAATAGTGCGGTTACACGTGTCACCACATTTTGCAAAAAGCTCATCCATTGACGCATCACTGGGCAATGTAAATGACGGAATGAAAGGACGTTCAGGGTAGTCTTCTTGACAGTAGGAAAAGGCAAAGCGTGTACTGTCCTTCAACTCGACCACGACAACGTGTTCAGCCCCACAAGACGCGATATCTTCAATTTTGTAATCCTTGAAGATCGCCCTCCATGCACTCGTCCTAGTGTTGGCTAACAACCGGGAAAAAGCTTTGATCTCCACATAGTGTAGCTCTCCCTTAACAGTGAGTGCAACAATAAAGTCGCTGGTTCCCGTTATCTGGAAGAAAATTCATTAAGTACTGAATTAAGGTTGCTGAACCGTGGGGATATCGGCATTAACAATATTAACAAATGTCCCACAGAAATTTCTACTTGCCTATCCTTGTAACGGTATTAAAATTTCGCAAAATTTCGCAAAATTATTTTGTTGACGTAAAAATTCTTAGAATATTTTTTAATTTTTTTAATTCTGAATTCTTACAAAAGGTTCACCCATTTATTTACGTAACATTCTACTTAAATAACAAATTCTTTTGTGTTGTAATAAATTTTACCTTTTTAAGTGGTACGGACCCATCGATGAAGACTTTTTGTGGCATCATATCGCCGAATTTCCATTGATACAACTGTCAAAATGAGCAGACAATTAATAAAGGAAAAAAATTATGCATAACATATGTCTCATCTGAATAGTACTACCTCTCCCTTTGAAGTTAAAGCGACACACATATGGGCACTGCACGTGATGGAGGTGACGTCCTGGTAGTCAAAATGTTCCCTCGGAATCGAAGTTGGTCTCCAAGGGTGGTTGCTGCTTCCACAAGCTGAACCCCAGTGATGGACTTCCCCGCCCACGCTTAACGCCACGGTGCACCTCTTATACCATCCTGGTAACGCGACTTGACGTACTTTGACCCCCGTCAGACTACCCGTTACTTCATGAATGAATTTTGTATTAATTGTAATTTGGCATTGACGGCGGAAGCAAGACAATTCTGGGTGACAAACAAAGTCCCCCAGAATTAAGCAAAATCGTGTCTTGTCACTCTTGTCCATGTTAATAAATCCTATCCCTCAATTTTGCGTACTAAATAAATATGTACCTTTAACCCGGATACCGGAAAGTTCCCGAATTTTGGAAATCCTGTACCCACCGGCGCCGGCACGGGTGAAACAATAAGTTTCGTCGGTCATGGTGACGACGAATCCATGGTCGTAGTTGGCAACATGTGCCAATTTTGCCGTCTTCAAAATCTTCTCTCCGCCAGCCCCCACGTCTTGAAATGTTCCCCAAATTTTCAAGTTTTTTTCGGGAATGACACCATACGACGAGGTGGACGGCTCCATTCCAACCAGTTATCAGGGAATTAACTAATCCTTTAATCCGATATAAGGTAAAGTTTGTAGTTAAAAAAGTGCAAATTAATTGTGATGCATTATTCAAAATGCCACCGCACCAGCCGGAATTTTGTTCGAGCCACTTCAAGTTCATTTTGTGTAGGGAAAGTTGAGACTGTTTTTCGTAAAGAAAGTAAAATTCTCTCCATATAGTGACCTACTGTAGTTTTTATGAAATTTCGATGCAATTAAGATTCATGACAGGTCAAAATTTAATGCATGCTTACACATTTGACAAGACCGGCATATGAAAAAAAAATCGTTTCCAAGATTCAACTTGACATGTAAAATTTAATGTTACATAATAACCCCGGTAAGATAATATTACTTACATTCATACATACAGAGATCCGTGATTAATTAATCGTGATTGACGGATTAAGGATTGGGATTAAGGATTAATAATCATTAATGCTTAATCCCAACAAAAAAATGTGTGCAATTAATCCTTAATCCTTAATCCCGACGAAAAATTTGCACTCGGTTAATCCTTAATGCTTAATCCCGACGAGGCGTGTCCAAATTGTTAATCCTTAATCATGATTAGGATTAATTCTCTCGAGAGATTAATAACTGTGAATGAGCGAAGTAACAGTTTTTCTCAACCTACGATATTTTTCCATGCTGTCTCCTGAAATTAATATGCATTATATTTTTAACTATATGTATATTGTAGCTTTCATAAAAATACTGATTCAATCGTTAATCATGGCGAACAGGAATCTGACTGAACTGAAAGGTTTGCCATTCGTTTTGACCGGCACATTTTTTGATGTCGAAGAACTTGACAAGTCTTGCGGCTCTGGCGAGGGGCATAGCTTGTGCACCAAAACTTGTCATAATAGGTGGGCATATTATGGCACATAGAATTTTATTATGTACTTAACACAACACTAATATATATATATATATATATTGCACGTTTTGTAAGTATTTGACACATGAATATTGCTGTGTCAATAATTCTATACAGTAAAATAAAAATTATATTACTCCTTAATCAAGAATTAATCAGGATTAATAATAATTAATCCATAATCAAGAATTAATCAGGATTAATTAATCCTTAATCCTTAATCCCGCATCCAAAAGTATTTTGAATTAATCCTTAATCCTTAATCCCAGCAAACTGAATTATTTAATTAGTCCTGGATTAATCTAATCCCAGGATAACATTAATCCTTAATCCTTAATCCCGCAAAAAAAATCATTAATCACGGATCTCTGCATACATAATTAAAAATCCTAGCTTTAAATCATTATATCCTTCAGATTTCAGAAATTCGTATTGAAATATTCACATAATTACGTATACATAGTTTATCACTTAATTGTTATCTACCTATGCACGATGTTATTACAATTTATAATAGATATTAATAATTAAAATACATGATTGTTTTCTCTTTTTAAAAAATCCTCAAAAGCCAAGCTAATGATGAGTTAAGGCGACCGCGATTTCATGGAAGGCCTCCAACCCCACTAAGTCGATCATTTCCTTAGACGACGAGTACTTCACGAGGAGTTTCTTATCCAGTATAAATTTGACCACTTTCCCCCCCAAAGTCTGCAATTAAATTGTAGAAAATATAGGTGTAACCTTATCAATTAAATTATGTGGTTAACCTCTGAACGACAAAGTACACATATTTGTATAGTATATTTTCCGTCCACGGTGAAACACACTAATTACCCTGACACCAAACGTTCTAAAAAAGAGTATTGCTTTAGTATTTTGTGGAAAATTCGAAGGTAAAAGTGGATTGTTTTCGATATTTTTCTTCCTAAACTTTAGAATTTTCTCTATACAGACCAATGTTAAAAAGCTAATTTTTCTTGTTTTTCGTCAAACAACTTCAAACTTGGAAACTGGTTGAATATATTAATTGGTTGCTTATCAAGTGTACATATATATGTGATTATAAAATCTAAATACCGGAGAGAAAGTTTAATAAAAATCACGAACGATCATTAGTACGAAAGGGGTTAAATACTTAATATTGCTTACCAAAGCGTTCGCGGAGGAAGCGTTTCTCGCCAAAAAGAAAGCGTTTTCCTTGTTGATGTTGCGGATCAGAATTTGCTCACATTCCTCGCGAACATGGTTATCGCAATGAGAGTCGGCTAATTTCATGAGGTCTAAAAAAATATATACATAAATCAGTTTTCTTAATTCTCTTAAAATACTGACGGAATTCACGCACTCCTTGTCAAGAGCTCATTGATTAACATTGTAATACCCGTAAATTCTGTAAACTTACATATGTAAATATGTACTTTTACAAAATTTTAGAAATATTTTGGAGGAAAATTAGCCTACAAATTTTTGTAAACTTGTACTCATTATCAGATTAGAGGCATCTTCTCATTTTGTCGAAGTTCGTAAAATTCTTAGAATTGCGAACTTGTAAGGTCCAAAGTTTTGTAAAATTACAAAACTTTGGATTGGATCTTACAAGTTCGCAATTAATGTGTGAATTGCTCATACAATTTGCTTCATAAAATTAAAAAAAGTATCAAAATTTTACCGCAAATATTTTTATACTCGTCCTCCTCAAATTTGATTTTTTCACTGTAAATGTAGAAGAGAAACGCTTCAAAAATTTCATGCTTCACGTCCTCGACCTCAATCGTCCTGCAAAATTGAAACGTTATCGATTAAAATTTGCGAATAAAAAAGAAAGTATTTACACCAAAATACTTACGATCCTTCCTTCGCTTCCTTCCACTCGTGGCTGAACATGGTTTCGAAATATTCACTTCTCTCGGCAAGAATACATTTGTGCGCCGTGATGACTTTCTCGTCAACGGAAAAGGTAACGTCGGCATGTTTCTGTCATGAAAATAAATCAAAAACCAGTTTTCTAAGAACCCTCATGCGTAAAAATATCATAAATTTACGCCAACCTTATGCAAATGGCATCGCTCACTCTGCGTCGTGGCGGTGGTTCAATTTGCGCCGAAATAGTGCGGTAACTTGTGACACCAGATTTAGCAAAAAGTTCATCCATTGTTGACTCACTACCGATTTTGAAATTTAGACATTTTAGGGTCGACATTCGGCGAAATTGGCTGTCGACATTGCCAAAAGTGCTAGAATATTTATTTTGAATGCTGGGGGAGTATTAGTTTTAAATTTCAGCTCTCTAACTCCATGTCGAAATTTCGACAAGTCGACGCCATTCCCTTACGACATGGGTCAATTTCACTTGCGACGCACTTCTTAGCCCTAGCTGAAGCTAGATATCGATTTTTACTACTCTACGTCATGTTGAGTTTCGCCTGTTTTGGACAATTTCGACATGATTTTTTTCAATGTTCCCGGCCATGTTTCATGGAAATGTGCAAATTTCAGAACTCCATTTTTCAGAATATGTACATACCAAGGGGGGCCATCATTTACAACCATTTTCAGAGTTTGAAGTTTGCACTGTTCGGAGAACCACGCCCCTAAAGTAGGGGTGTTTTGCCTTTCGCCAAACTTTGACTTGCAATAACTTTTTTGTTTATGGACCGATTTTGATGAAATTTTTTTAGAAGGTGTAGAATCGCTTAGCACACACGTTTGGACTGGGCGATTGACCCTAAACCCACTAGGAAAAAACCACACCCAAAGGGGGTGTGGCTCGTCAAATTTTTTATGGGCACGTCTTTGACCCCCCAGAGCTCGGAAAATGCAAAAATATTAAGAGAAAAGTGCTCGGGGAATTACTTCCAATAAATTGGCCTCTTTGAACACTGTGCAAATCCACGCCTGTGGTCGACAGCATGTGCCAATTTCGCCCTTTTCAAAATTTCCTCTCCATCCGGCCCCACGTTGCGAAATATTTTCCAAATTTTCAGCTTGTTTTCCGGAATGACGCCAAACGACGACGCGGTGGATGCGGCCATTTCAACCAATTACAAATTATTAATTAATTATTAGCGCAAATAAAAATGCAGCCATCAGTTTAGGAATTAGGACTTCGAACCAACTGCCGCCTCAGGGTGTTTTTGAGTCGGGAATATTGGGACTGTGTCAAAGTATATAAAATGCTTTCCATGAAATTTTCCAAGTTTCATGTTATGGCGATTTTGAAACCTATTTATCTCCGTGGGGTTTTTGTAATATGAAGATTTTAATGAACTCACAACTCGATAATTTGTACGTTTACAAAGTTTCGACTGTAGAATTTTGATTTTTTTTCTTCCACGAGGAAATGAATATACAATAGATGAAAAATAGTACTGTTTCATTTGCTGAGACTCTGAAATCGAGGATAGAGTTTTACAAGGGAACTGGCCAAGGTGTACAGCTGCTCCTCCCCTGCTGCATGGATCCGCAATTACATTACCCGAACAGCCGAATTATCCTATTATTTAACACCAGTTATTTTTATTTTGGCGTTCAAATTATTCAATTTCGTATGATTTCTACTTCTATTATTTTTATTTTGGCGTACAAGTCATACCAAGTTGAATAATTTGAACGCCAAAATAAAAATAAGTGATGTGAAATAATAAAATAATTCGGCTGTTCGGGTAATGTAATCCCGGATTCGTCCATTATGGGAGGAGTAGCTGTACACCTTGGCCAGTTCCCTTGTAAAACTCTATCCTCGATTTCAGAGTCCCAGCAAATGAAACAGTAAGTAAAAACTAAATATTTTCTCATGGAAGAAACAAACGAAAATTTTAGACTCTTATTAAAATTAAATAAAAATAATTTTATTACATAGAGCTAAATAAGTTCATATGTAGTTACAGAAGTCTTATATATATGTAAATATCAATAACTAACTAAATTATAATCAATGACTAATGATTCTGTCCCCATTTTTAATCCCTTAAAATTCCGGAAGTAAGGCGATCGAGATTTTTTGGAAGGCGTCCATCCCCACCAAGTCGATCATCCCCTCAGGCGACAAATTATCCATGAGGAGTTTATTGTCCACAATAAATTTGATCACTTTCCCCTCCAAGGTCTGCAATAATGATACAAAATTAAATTATAACTACATATTCAAATCTGACCTTATAAAATTGATTAACTACTTAATACATATTCATATGTACGTACTGAAGCGTTCGCCGGAGAAGCGTTTCGAACGAGGAAAAATGCGTTTTCCATGTTGATGTTGCTGATTAGAATTTTCTCACATTCGTCACGAATATTGACTTGGCAATAAAAGTCGGCTAATTGCATCAGGTCTACAAATATAATTTAGATAAATAAAACAAGACTTCAATTCAGTAAAAAAAATTAAGCGATACACACTTTACCAAAAACGTTTTGATACTCGTCCTCCTGGAATTTGACCTTGTCACTGTAAATGTAGTAGATCAGTGCTTCAAATATGGCATGCTTCGTGTCCTTGATCTCAATCACACTGCAAAATTTCACCGCAATTAGTTAAAATTTCGAAGAAAGTTTATCAAAATTTATAAGTACTCACGATGATGATCCTTCCTTAGTCTCGTTCCACTCGTGGCTGAACATTCTTTCGAAATATTCACTTCTCTCGGCAAGAATACATTTGTGCGCCGTGATGACTTTCCCCTCCACGGAAAATGCAACGTCCGCATGTTTCTGGGGTTGAGGAAAATAAAATCCGCATCAAAGATGTATATTCATCAAAATAATCTGGTCCTAAATTTATGCCCACCAACCTTGTTCTCCCACAAGTTGCAAATGTCATCACTCACTCTGCGTGGCGCGGGTGGGGGTGGTTCAATTTCAGCCGAAATAGTCCGGAAACTTTTACCAGCACATTTAGCAAAAAGTTCATCCAATGAGGCACCACTTGGTAACGTAATAATTGGAAATGGAGGACTGTTTGGGTTCCATTTTCGACAGTAAGAAAGCGCAAAACGTGTATTATTTGCCAATTCAATGACAGCAACGTTTCCCGAACAGGACGCGATATCTTGGATTTTGTAATCCTCGAAGACCGTCTTCCATTCAGGTGTGTTGCCTTCCAGAAGGATGAAACAGGGCGAAACATCCGACCTCCTCCACTGTGGGAGGTCTGCCTCCAAATAGCGCAGCTCTCCTTTAACAGTGAGTGCAAAAACGAACTCGTAACTTCCCGCTATCTGCGAGACAATTTACGAATTTCTAAGGTAATTTCCGGTGTAAAATTAATGATTATTTCGTATTTTAAAACTTCACCTTATTAATTGGTACGGACCCAACGTCCAAGACTTTTTGTGGCACCGTGTCTGCCACGAAACGAACTCAATTTTTTCTAAAATTGGATGTCGACATGAAAAAAAAATTGTATGCGTTTGTGGAGAGGTAGGGGAGTATTTGTTTTGAATTTGAGCGCTATACAGTCATGTCGAAATTTCGACTTGTCGATGTCGTTCCATGACGACATGGCTCAATTTCACCTGCGACGTACTTTTTAGGACCAGTTGAAGCTAGATATTAAATTTTATCGCTCTACGTCATGTTTGATTTCGCCCGTTTTGGACAACTTCGCCAAGATTTTTTTCAATGTTCCCGGCCTTATATCTTGGAAAGGGGCAGATATGGAAACTCAGTTCTTTTTGGATTGAGAAGATCTACCTGGGGATCACAATTTGCAATGCTTTCTGGAGTTCTTTACTTGCCCCTCTCAGAGAACCGCGCCCCCAAAGTAGGCCTTTTTTGCCTTTCGCCAAAGTTTTACCCTTAATAACTTTTTGGTTTATGGACCGATTTGGTTGAAATTTTTACTGAAAGTGTATAATTGCTTGGGCTACAAATTTCGTTTGGGCGATTGGCCATAAACCCACAAGGAAAGAACCTCACCCAAAGTGGGTGTGGCTCGTCGAATTTTTTATGAACACATCCTAGGCCACCTAGGGCTCAGAATATGCAAAAATATTAGGAGAAAAGTGCTCGTGGACTTTTTTCCTCAAATCTGGCCATTTTGGACAATGACAATGACATTTTGGACAAATACATACACTCTTAAAATTATGTTACCTTTTGAAAAGGGTAACAGAAGGGTGATCCATTTTTCATGAAATGCACCATGTGCTTCCAAAATGATACGTTACGGCGACGGAGGAGCCGGCTCTTTGACCCTTACTTTTTGATTTTAGCCCCCGCAATAAATACAGTATAACAGTATAAATATGTACGAATTATTATTCCGCAAATATTTTCATAAATTAATTACAATCGGTAACTAAATTATTTTGTTCCCATTTTATTATTCTATCAAAATTGCAAATTATTGATAAAGTAAGGCGACCGAGATTTTTTGGAAGGCGTCCATCCCCACCAAGTCTATCGTCTCTTCAGGCGACGAATGGTCCACGAGGAGTTGATTGTCCACTATAAATTTGATCACTTTCTCCTCCAAACTCTGTAATCAAATGATATACAATTCTAGCCTCTCATTATCTCATTAATTAGTAAAATACTTAATATTGCGTACCGAAACATTCGCGGTGGAAGCATTTTTCGCCAAAAAGAAGGCATTTTCCGTGTTGATATTGCTGATCAGAATTTCCTCGCATTCATGACGGATATCCACTTGACAATAAGAGTCAGCCAATTTCATTAGATCTAAAAAATATATGCATAACAGACGAATAATCATTTCCGTTTAAATTTGAAAACATATCTATTCACAAAAATAAGGGTCCACATTGTACCAAAAATATTTTCATACTCGCTCTCCTTGAATTTGATCTTGTCGCTGTAAATGTTGAAGAGCAGTGCTTCAAAGATTTCATACTTCGTGTCCTTGACCTCAATCGCCCTGCAGAATTTATACGTTTTTAAATTACAATTTTTAAATAAAAAGTGTTTGTATCCAAAAATTGTGAACAAAACTTGTCTTCGTTATCTAATTTTAATTCACTAATTCTAATAGAAAGCTTCATAAAGGGTTTTGGGATGACAAAATATTACGAAGCTTGCGTACAACAACCATCAGAAATATTTACGATACGAAGAATATTTACGAAGGAATAATGAATACCCTTAATGTAAAACAAAAAGTAGGTACTCACGATCCTCCCTTAGCCTCCTTCCACTCGTTACTAAACATACATTCGAAATATTCACTTCTTTCGGCAAGAATGCATCTGTGCGCTGTGATGACTTTTCCCTCCACGGAAAATGCAACGTCGGCAAGTTTCTGTGACGGAGATATGTAAATATCTATGTAAATTCCCGGTAAAAAAACGCAAAGCATGTGTCATTTTTTAACTTGATGACGACAAGGTTTTCAGTCCTAGTGAAGGATGCGATATCTTCAATTTTGTGATCATCGAAGACCGTCTTCCATGCAGGCGTCTTATGGAGTCCGGATCTCCACAGGGGAGTATTTTCATCCAAATAGTGCATCTCTCCTTTAACAGTGAGTGCAAAAATAAAATCGAAAGTTCCGGTTATCTGCAAGACAATATGAATTTAGTACGAACCTCGACCACTATTAATATCATTGTTTTAATCAGCGTCTTATGTTTAAGATAATTAAAAAAACGTAAGGAATTTTGTAAATGTAAACTAATTTTGTTAACGACCTCTTGCAAAGCAGTCTTCTTGTTTTTGAATTTTACCTTTTTAAATGGTACGCACCCCGCATCCAAGACTTTTCGTGCGTTACTGTCCCCCAACGTCCATTGAAATAACTGTGAGGAGAAAATTTTTGAAAAATATCTCCTCTTAATTTTAAACCGATGGGGCGATTCTAATTTGATGACTTGATGACCTGATGACCCATGTTGTCCCCATGTTAAATCTAATGTTGTCCCCATACTAAACCAGCTCTTTTTGAATCTGATGACGCAATGTTGTCCCCGTCTAAGTTTGGCAACACCGCATTTTGAGGTGTATGGGGACAACATGGTTAAGGTTAAATACTACACTCACCGATCAGCGCGGAATTTGAAATGAATAATATTTGAAAATGAAGCCATAAAGTTAACTACACACCTAAATCGGAAATATTAGGTTAGGCTAACCTAACCAACCAGTACATCCAAAGTAAAATCTAGAATATCTGTAGTCTTGCTTAATTGTCACGGGTCTAGGACATTACCTGCAATTTATTACTATGTAGCTATTTCTTACTAGCCATTTTTTACTTGAAATTTTTCGTAAGCAGAATTAGTTATGTAACCTGATACGTCTCCCTAAAAGTGGGTGTGCCGAAATATACTCATTAAGTTGTAGGAGAGCAAGTTCAATCGACTGAAAAACTTGATAAATTGTCCAAAATCGTATTTGTATCTTATGTGAAATTTTATGACTTCAAGGGTCTAAGTCTAAATCCTAACTGAACTAAATTTTATCTAAGCTCGAGGATGAAGACAGTTCTCCTCTTCAACCCAAGCTGATTAACCTTGATTCACCCTTATCTCTACCTGAGCTACGTGCTCCTATGTTTGTCAATGTTGAGACGAACTTGTGGTAGCTAGCCAAAAGTTCGTCGCAATTAAATATTCATAAATAATATGTACAAGAACATACCACTCCAATGTCGTTTATCAGACCACCTTGGGGAGGAATATTACAGCTACTAGCGAAATTATTTATGAACCATTACTTACTAGCCAACACCTATTACCAATTTTGCTACCTACAAGATATTTCATTGCTTAACGTAAACTGTTGATTGTGAAATTATACTTCCTTCGAATTTATATTCAAAAATTAATAACCTTGCTCATCCGATATTATTTCTCTCAGGAAGAACAATGACCACACTAATTATAGTAACAGTTTGAGAAGTATAACTTCGGTTATTGTCATTAATGCTAGAGTAAGCAATTCCATATTTAAATCAAAATGCTACAACCATTGCACATCGATCTCAACAAAATTGATTTTGAAGCCGCTTTAACTCTTAACACGTTTCGCATAGGATCGGGTGGTTCCCAATACTTATCTTACCGGGTACTAATACTTATCGGGTACTTCATAATATTTATGAAGTACCCGCTTCCCGTTCGTTTCTTTATAGAGGATAGGTTGAGTTATTTTGTTTTGACTTGATAATTGTAAAAAATTGAATAATTCTCTTAGTGGTAATTCATAATTTTAAATTAATTAAAGATTTCCACATCAATGATAGTAATCTAAACAATACTTTGAAAACATTATAACATCAATTTTCGCTTAAAAATAAATTATAAGACCTTGATACGTCACACTAGTCGCGCCATATGTAAAGATTAGATGAAAAATTGTATTTCAGAAATTACACTGAGGTTCAAAAAATAATTTCGGAGCAGGAAACGGTGCGACCCCTGTACGGAGATTGTGATATATCAAAATTTCGATTATGTACACAACCTCTTAAATCCAAAGACACCCCGAAAAATAACCTACGTTATAATTAGTTTTTAACCATCATTAATTCATTGAGTCCGACCAATTCGTTATCCTTCTCTCTAATTAATTATCCTTATTTGTCTGTGAGAGTGAGTTTAGCTTAGTATTTAACCTTAACCATCTTGTCCCCATGTTTCTAAACTTTCCAATGTTGTCCCCATACACTCCGTAATCCAGTGTTGCCAAGTTTTTTGTATATGGGGACAACATTAGGTCATCAAATTGTAAATGGCCTAATTTAACGTGGGGACAACGGCGGTCATCAGGTCATCAAGTCATCAAATTAGAATCGCCCAACCGATGTTGTTCGTTCATTCTTACCTCGCCTTTTGAAGTTAAAGCGACACCCACGTGGTCACTGCACGCTACAGAGATGACGTCCTGAAATTTAAAGTAGTTCAGCCTTGGTTTCCAAGCGTTTCCATGGGCCTACGCCGCCCTCGGAGGGAACCCCATTGATGAACATACCCACCCACGCTTAACGCCACGGTGAACGTCGCTTTCCATCCTGGCAACGCGACTTGACGTACCTTGACCCCCGTCAAACTACCCGTCACTTCTGCTGGGCGACAAGAGAAGGATATTTGGTCTACCACACGATAAGAAACGTAACGGCCTAATTGATTTAGAATATCCTGCTCGGAGCCGGGATAAGCGTCATGTCGAGGAAGCTCACTCGTCCAGGAGAAGAGGCGCCCGTCTTCGATTAGTGCAAAGTTGATTTCTCCAATGAAAAATTCTGGGAAGAATAAAAATGGAAAGTTAATTATATAGGTAGTTTCATTTTAATTTGGAAAAATGTCCTTTTTTACTGCAACGTAGTAAAATTTAATTCAACACTTGTATCAAATGTTGGTAGGATTTTAGATAAGTAGAATTTGTACTTTACCTTTAACCCGGATACCGGAAAGTTCCGGAATTTTGGAAATTTTGCACCCACTGTCGCCATCTTGTAAGAAGGAATAAGTTTCGTCGGTCATGGTGACGACGAATCCTTCCTTGTCGCTCACAATATGTGCCAACTTTGCCGTCTTCAAAATTTCCTTTACGTTGGAACCCATGTTGCGAAATATTTTCCAAATTTTCAACTTGTCTTCGGGAATGACGCCACACGATGACGAGGTGGTTGCCTCCATTGCAACGAGTTATCAGGGAATTAGTTGAGGTACAACTTGTAGGTAAAAGAGTAAATTAATTGTTATTTTGTATTATTCAACATTTAACACAAAATGTAGGTATTGTGTTGCAGACAGCTGCGTGGCATATGAGCCGGGAATTTTGAGACTGATCTGTACGAACAAAGGTAAAATTCTCTCCATCATGCATCAGAGTGGCATCAGAGTTTTCATGGAATGCAAAATTGTTCTACACATTGATGCATTGCATTGCATTACAACTTAGCATGCAAAATTTAACTATTTAGTTTAACAAATTGATGAAAATTTTCAATCAAGGCATAAATTAATTCACTACTTAATACAATTTAATTCTGCACTTGTGTGCACATTTTGTTGATTACACACATACGAAGTTAAAAATTTTCCCGTCAAATTTCAGAAATTCATATTGCAATAATTTTATTACACGTGACAATTACAATTTACATAAATTATAACCGGTGACTAATGATTGCTTTTGCATTTCAATAATTGCTCAGAATTACAAACTATTTGTAAAGTTGAACTAAGGCAACCGAGATTTTTTGGAAGGCGTCTATCCCCACTAATTCGATCATTTTGAGAATCGATGAATTGTTGACGAGGAGTTGATTATTCACAATAAATTTGATCACTTTCCCCTCCAAAGTCTGTAAAATGATACAAGATTCTAATTAAATATTTACAACATTATCAATTAGTTAAATACGTAATATTTTAAGTACCAAAGCGTTCGCGGAGGAAGCGTTTCTCGCCAAAAAGAAAGCATTTTCCGCGTTGATATTTCTGATCAGAATTTTCTCACATTCGTGACGAATATTGACTTCTCGATAAGAGTCAGCCAATTTCATAAGGTCTAAAAGTACAGGTCGGATAATAAACCAGTTCCTTTTTGCATTATTTCCATTTCGAAAATAATTGTCAACAGTTTACCAAAAATATTTCGATACTCGTTCTCCTTGAATTTGATCTTCTCCGTGTAAATGTAGACGAGCAGGGCTTCAAATATCGCATGCTTCACATCCTTGACCTCAATCGCCCTGCAAAGTTTGGGCATAAAAAATTTAAAGAAAAGAAAAAACAAGTACACTACCAAAAGTACTCACGACGATCCTCCCTTCGCCTTGTTCCACTCATTTCTGAACATTTTTTTAAAATAGTCACTTCTTCCGGCAAGAATGCATTTATGCGCCATGATGACTTTCTCGTCAACGGAAAATGTCACGTCGGCATGTTCCTGTGATGTAAATAAATCAAGCGTTATGTATGAAAACCCTCTCTTAATTTTCTCCTATCTAACCTTATTCTGCCACAAGTTGCAAATATCATCACTCATTCTGCGTGGAGGTGGTTCAATCTGCGCCGAAATAGTTTGGTAGCACGTGCTACCAAATTTAGAGAAAAGTTCATCTATCGACGCACCGCTTGGCAAAGTAAAGGACGGAATGTGAGGAGGATAAAGGTTCTCATTTTGACAGTAAGAAAACGTAAATCGTGTATTATTCTTCAACTCGACAACGACCAGGTTTCCAGCCGGGCCACAGGATGCGAGATCTTCAATAGGCGCATCGTCGTCCACACTGGAATCGTCGTGGTCCGAACCTGCCCCGGACCACGAATCTTCTTCGGAACTATTGTCATCTGACCTCCAATATTCAGTATCTATCACGAAATAGCCCATTTGCCCTTTAACAGTGAGTGCGAAAATATAGCCGGAGCTTCCCGTTATCTGCAATATAATTTACATATGTAATGTACGAATTAATTAAAAATTCGGATAGCGAGGGCCTAAACGAATTTCGGGTTATTCGCTACCTTTTTAAATGGTACGGACCCCCCACCCAAGACTTTTCGTGGCACAAGGAGCACCTCCCATTGATATAACTGTCATAATATTATCATACAATTAGCACATAAGTCAAAAAATATCTTAAGAGTAGAACGTGCTGCCCCGTCCCACCTCTCCTTTGGAAGTTAAAGCCACACCCATCCTGTCACTGCACGTGACAGAGATGATCTCCTGGAAGTCAAAGTGTTTCTTTGAAATCAAATTTGGTTTCCAACTGTTATGAATTGAGAAACCCCACTGATGGACTTCCCCGCCCAAGCTTAACGCCACGGTGTACGTCCCCTTACATCCGGGCAACGCGAGTTGACGTACTTTGACCCCCGGCAGACTTTCGGTAACGGGGGCAGGGCGATAAAACAAGGTTATTTTATCCGTCGCACGACAAGAAACGTGGCGCCCTAGTTGATCGACAAGGTGCCGATTGTAGGCTTCAATTCCATCGAGCTCACTCGACCAGGAGAAGAGGCGTCCGTCCTCCGTGATTGCATAGTTGACTGATCCCGTTAAAAATTCTGGAAAAAATGAAAATTAATTAAGTAGAATGGTTCATTTTTTAGGAGGGGGTTTAGAAAATCGCTAAATGCTTGCGTTACGTATGCAATTTATGGACGGTGAAGTCGTTAGCTCGCAAAACTTGGAATCTTAAATTATCGAGTATTGGTAGAATTTGCAATTGTTGATAAAGTGTGTACGCACCTTTAACCTGGACACCGGAAAGCTCCGGAATTTTGGAAATTTTATACACGCCGGCGCTAGGATTTTCACAGACGAAGGAATATGTTTCGTCCGTCATGGTGACGACGAATCCATGCCTTGAGTCGGCAGCATGTGCCAATTTCGCCGTTTTCAAAATTTCCTCTCCATCCGCCCCCACGTTTCGAAATATTTTCCACATTTTCAACTTGTTTTCGGAAATGACGCCGGACGCCGACGAGGTGGATGGCTCCATTGCAACCAGTTTACCAGGAAATTGACTAAACGGGGGATGTTAACGAGATCAAGTAAAGTTTTTGGGTAATAAAACCGTGCAAATTAACTATTATTGTTAAACAAAAAATGCATCAATCAGCAGGTTTGTGTTCAAGCCAAGTCATTTTGAGTAGGCATTCCGACGCGGGGAGGTTTGAGACTGTTTTCTGAACAAACAAAGCAAAATGCTTTCCATGAAAGTGATCGAGGTTTTCATGAAATGCATTAAATGTGCAAACATAATGGAATTACCAATTCTTCTTCTAAATTTGAAATAGACTAATTATACAAATTATTTTAAAAACCAGGGCCCCTTAATTTATTAATCAAGCCACATTTTTTTCCAGAAACATAAATTTATATACATTCGAAGCGGAAATATTGCAGACTTGTAAAAATATACAAATAAAGAAAGGGGCCGTCCACAAATTATGTAGCGTGAGACGAGGGACAGGGGGCCATGCATATATTACGCCATCAAAACTTATCGATTTTAGCACCCACCCACCCAACGTAAGCATTAAGGGATAGGGAATTTTAGCATGGGAAGGGTAAGAAGACCTAAACCACCCACCTACTAAAATGATGACGTTATATATAGACGTCCACCAGGGGGTCTAACGCTCCAATGATATCGTGCCTATCTGACTCAGGTCAAAGCGGGGTCTGGAAATTCGCGATTTTTTGCGTCACATAATTTAAGGATGTCCCTAAACTCCAATGGATGAACATATTCTGGCATGCATAACACCACAAAAGAATTCATGGTGAACAGAACCCGAGACAAAGACGTAATTAAAGGCTGAACAAACAATGTCACAATAACGCATGTGTTTTTACAACATGTACCGTTTCCGTTTAATTTGTGCCATTAAGAATTTGTTGTAAGTAGTTAATTATTCCTCACGTCCTCTCCAGTCGAAGGGGTGACGTCAATGAAATTAATACTTTTAGTTCAGCTGGTAAAATAAGTAGTAAATTAGCAATATTAAAATGCGGAACAAGATAACCCTTCTCGATTCAGTGGTTATCTTAGCAGTGACGGCGAGTCTTATCGTCGCCGTTACATGTACCTCAGCCACCAGAGAAGAGACGAGTGACAGCAAAGGTATCTTCATACAGTTTTGATAGACTCAATTTCTTTAAACAGGAAATACTCAAAAAAATAATTTTTTAACCGAAATTTTTATAAAATTTGCCAATCTATGTAGGATTTTTAAAAATTCAATCGCTTATTCTCACACATAAGAATTTCATAGGGTAAAATTTTCTTGATTTAAAGTTGGAAAAACTGAATTTCTTTAAACAGGAAATATTTGAATTTTAACAATTTCTTGAATTTTTTACGCGAAATGTTTTGTAGAACTGGACAATCTTATTTTTGAAAAAATAAGAAAAACAATTGTATTGTTTTTTTTCTAAAATGTAAATTCGAAATAGTTGGTTTTCTCGGCTTGAAATTTAAAACTAAATTTCACTAAGAAGGAAATATAGCAAGTTTGATAATCTTATGAATTTATTACGCAAAATTCTTAGTATGTAGAACTTTCCAATCAAGGATTTTTATATATCACTTTTATGTAATCATTTTTATCCTTGAATGCATAAATGATTGCCTCTTCTAAAACGAAAATTAAAAATAGTTTCTTCTCTCAATTCGATATTAAAAAATCTCATTTATTTAAACAAATTACCAATTAATTTTCAATTTTCGTAACACAATTTACATATTCCTAAATAAAATTATTTATGCAGATGACGAGTACGTCCCACTTTCTTCTCTCATCCCTCAATCATCGTCTTACGAAAGTGTAGAAGATTCCGAGGAAAATGACGATTCTCGCGAGAGGAGCATGAGTTTTGAGGATTTCGACTACACCTCACCCCACAACGGGAAGCGGAGAAGGGTCGACGTCAATGTCAAAGTGTCCGTTCCAAAATACTACCACCATTATCGCCGTCGCCATCGTGACGATAGAAGACGAAATCGGAATAACAAGAAATATAGGAAGTCACCAAAATGGAAGAAGAATAAGTTACACGATGGCAAAAATAAGCCGTGTCAAAAGAAAAAATCGTGTCAAAAGAAACATAAAACTTCTGTTGGGAGAGTTATCGAGAAAGGTAAAATATTGATTTATGGGTTTCAAAAAAGATATGGGATTTTTACGTGATCTCCATCGTATAGATTTTTCATAATTGAGATTGACAAGTTTAAACGTTATATTTCGAAAACTACGTAGATTTTTGTTGCTCGGGGGAATTTTGAGTCTAGCGAAAACACTGAACTACACTCTTAAAAAATTAGTGGTACCTTTACAGAAAGTAAATGCAATGTGAATTTTAAATTAATCGAACTATGCCAAACCCGGAGTAAGTTTTGCTTTTTATCAAAATGTATCTTTCCATTGAGTGAATATGGTTTAAGTTTACTAATATATAATTCGGAGTTCATTAACTTTTTATTAAAGGCAACACTTTTTTAAGAGTTTATGTAGGTTCCTGGAAACTAATTATCATTTTTTTAACGGTCTAATCTGGTTTTCAGCCAAGCCAACAACCAAACCGCCAATGACGGAGAGGCCGGTTCCCCACAATGAAGCCGTGGTCCCCATGACGACAGAAATGTTGCATATATTTATTTCCCCAACCACACCCTCCAGCATTTTGACGACTGCTGCTCCCACCGAAAGAATCGTAACTATGCTAACCCCTCGACCAGAAGTTAGTACGATCAGGTGGACACACGCTCCTCCGACAAGTACAATTCCACCTCCCACGGAAAGGCTAACCACACCGACAGTCGTCATGACGCAGCCACCACCCCCACCAACGGAGAAAATAGTTACTACAGCGCCCCCAACTACGACCCAACCTCCCCAACCAACTACAACGCCACCCCCAACTACCACGCCTCCTACACCTCCACCAACTACGCCGCCACCACCTCCACCACCACCACCAACTACGCCGCAACCTATACCAACTACTCATCCAGCTACACGTCCCCCACCTCCTCCAACAACAACTCAAGAAATGATTACCACAAGCACGCCCGCCCCGGAAGAGGAGGAAACCGAAGGTCCCGAAGAATTTGACTATATCGAAGGTCACGCCACCATCCCTGTTGACTACTATGTCGAAGTGGACGTCACCACGACGACCAAGAAGCCCGGACCTAGAGCCAAGAAGCTTAAGAAGATACGCCGTTATGAAAAGCTATCGTGGAAGAAGAAGGTCAGTAAGGGGAAGAAGGGGGGGAAGAAACCGAAGGCCGGTGAAACGAAGGCGGGTAATGCAACTTCCGTTGTACTAATAACGCCGGGAAGCGGGTTGACTACGAATAACACGGGAGGCGTAGGTCGGTCTTTTGTGGCAGGTCCCGTCCAGCTGAGTGGAGTAACGACTTCAGCTCCACTGATTGTATCGATTATATCTACTTCCGGTCCAGCCGCCATTTCCGGTTCATCAGCTTCCGGTTCTGTGGTTTCCGGCTCGAACGACACCGCAACAGCAAACGCTCCGCTATGGACGCATGTCGACGATATGCCGCAGGTGCCAATCGGAAGTAGTGGTCTCAACCCAACGGTATATGAACCGGGTAAGGGTAATGCGAACCCGGGAGTAGTTCTGGATGACGGGCCACCCTCTGCTCCACCCAGCGAAAATGCAAAAGTGGCACCAGCAAAGGTGCGAATTCCGGGAGGTAAAGGAGGTAAGAAGAAACTAGATTTTATTGACCATGCAAAATACTGTTTCGCGCGAAATTTAAATTTATGTAACATGATCACAGATTAGGTAAGATGATCTAAATATGGGGGTAGCCACGGAAGCCTTGGGAATAGGGGAGGGCGGGATTATATAACATGGGGAGATCGTGGGGATACGAAGAGGGACCTTGTTCCTTTGTCCCAAATTTTCCGCGGGCACTTTCTGACATTTATCTTTGGCCACACTAGAGAAAATGTGTCCCAAATTTCCCCCTAAAATTTGTATGCTACTAAAATATTTAATATTAATTCCACATTTTTCAGGTCACACAGCGCGGGGGGCTTACCTGGGATTGATGAAAATGGGAAAAGCTCCAGGCAAAAGGTAGAAATGTACTGAATATGTTACTTAATTAGAATTTCATTGTAAAGATATCAGAATTTCCAAGCACGTCTTTTTACACATATTAAATATGAAAAATACCTTTGAAATTATGAAAAGCTAAATTGGATTTATGCAATATACGACGTATATGGAATAAAAAGATTTTTTCAATTTCAATTATGTCGAATATGTAGAACTTTATTTCGCAAGTGATAATCCCATAATTTCTGGGCCCAAATCATGTGCTCATTTTCATAACACTATATGTAACTCGGTTCAAGTTAACTTTGAAAGTCGCCCAGATTTAAACAAAGTTTTGTTACATACCTATGTAAGTTTATACACTGTACATATTCCAAACGTATATATTCAGTAGCTAAACGCGGTGTGAAAATCGGTGTAGTAGATTCAGTGTATGAATTGTCGCACAACGGTAACTCGACTCGACAGATTTTGTACAAAGTATGCAATTGCAAACCTACACTCGACGGTAATACTTATCATCGAGACGACCAGAACCATTACACACAAGACAAAAACATCTTTAATCACTTTCAGCGAAACCGGATCCGACTCATGAAACGTGACTGGTTCCCTCGCATTTGACACTGCTCTAAGGAAATGTTTCTTAAAATTCGGAATATTCGTCTTAGATAGCAGAGATAAAGGCCCATATAGGTTGTGCATCTTATTCCACTTATCTTTCAACCCAAAGCTTGTCAACAGCGCCATTTGCTTAACAAACATTGGTAGTAGAAAGCTCCTCTGCATCGCCAGAACTTGCATCTCGGTAAATGGTGTCTCTTCATTCCCACGAATAATTAACCGGCTACCATTCCACCTAAAATTTTTTTCCAAAAACGATAAATCCAATCCATTGTCCATCACTGAGAACGTTTTACCCGTATCAATAACTGATTCATTAGCATTGGAAATACGATTTGATAGCTCTACATTTCGGATAAACTTGAAGAACTTATCGTTGTTGTTGTTTACGTCAAGGTAAATAAGTTTCTTAAGCAAACGTTGGAACATTTTAATCACATTTGGCTTTTGGGCATACAAATCAATGCACTGCGGTATATGGTTTGACTTTAGGACCGATGTACGCTCGCCTTCGTAATAAGCTATCGACCCCATTGTAATGATTGGAATTTCAGAGTCAACCAGTTCTCTCAACGTGGCCGGAAATACTGGCGACCTGACAGCACTTAGAAATGAGAAGATTGACCCCGTATATAAATTATCCATGATTATGTAACACCCAGAAAATAACCACACAGTAAGGAGAGGAGCCGCCACCCACTTCTTACTATGAAACGTTTTTAAGGAGTCGCCATTTAGCTGCCCTAACAAGGTAGACACTACGTCGACAAAGTTCAAAAAGCTGACGGCCACAGAGTCGTCATGTGCCAGGGTAACGACGCAAGTAATAACGACGCAGGCCAGAAGCAGTACTAGCCAAACAATTGCCTCAAATGGGGCCAAAAATACATATATTCCATCAAAAGTGGTTGGAAATCGGGTGACAAAAATAACCTGAAAAATATCCCGGTTTATCGACTGAACCGTGTAGGCCCGATCCCTTTCTATAACCTTTAATAAATTAGAGTCCAATACCCAGTCATCTGCAATATTATAGAATGCAATCGTCCGATAATTTTCGGGAACGAAGGTAAAATTAAACGTGTGAGAAAGTGATAAAATTATGCACTGTGAAAATCCCGAATTTTTATTTATATTTCTTGACTCACACTTATTATTCCCTTTGTGCCACTGAATTACTGTGGATCGCTCGGCAGCTACAATTTTTTGGTGTAGATTATTATTTGCGTTTTCAAAAAAAGTCTTAATTTTTGATAAGGGAAATGGCACCCTAGTAATGTCAAGTTTTAAAGGGACAGATTCGGTGAAAACGGATGGAATGAAGACTAGGTTTGGGAGTCTGAAATTAAACAGGATTAAACTCGAAGTTCCAGAATGTACGTAATACAGGAAGTAATTTAGTCTACTTTGTGGGTAATCGGTGTGTTGAAAGATGAATGCAGGATTGATATGTTGTACGACGAAGGACTGCACATGCGCATGAATTGGCGCGTCGAAAATTAATTTCGTAAACGTTTTCGTGTCACAGTGCAGGATTATGACGGATATTGTTTTTGCGATGTAACTGCGAAGTAATAATGCTGTGTTCGGGGTAAGCATTTTTATGCCGGCTTCACGAACCACAAAATGATTCAAAATAAGAGGAGAGTATGGATAAGCATGCCTTATTGTGCTGAAATATTGTAGCTCTTTTCTGGGATCTGTTTTAATTTCATTATATTGATATGTGGTGAAAGTAATGTGACAATTTTCAAACAGGTTGACCGTGTTCCATAAACCATTGGAAAGAAGTGGGAGTAAAGTAAGCTTGGCTAGTATCGTGAAAAGTGACTTTGACATGGCAATACCGGAACGCTTAACCGGTATTAATGTAAATTCAAAACTTCCGAGTTTTACAAAAATTATGGCAACAGTTTATGTCCGGCCTCTTTGAAGGAAATATGTACATGCTGGTTTAATGCATAAACTATTTATGTAAATGGCAATATTCAGTCCCAGATCAAAATTAGGATAATTTCTATGTACAAGTGGTTTAGATGCTTTAACCTCTGGTCTGAAAAATTCTCGGAATGTGGTCGCAACTACGGTATACAATTCCTTGAAATGTGTATACACATGTTCGGTGTTTTCGTAATTTGTGGGTCATTTTTTCCTGGTATAATCAAGGAAAATTACACTATAAAATCCTACAAAAGTTAGTTAGTATCTTTTCAACGTTTGAGTCCATGAATAATGAATATACGACGATGCCGTCACTATCCGTATTTCTTAGAGTGTACATAAACAATCATGTGACTAAAGCAATTTCCTCTCGCATGCCTGAAAGTTCATCAAAATCTTGATTAGTTGCGACACACAATTTCAATTTATTATCCTATCCAAAAGTTCGGTAACCGAAATAGGTACACATGTACACAATTACCTATATATAATTATAAGCTGAAGAAATACCTACATTTGTTTGTTTAAAATGAGAATTTTCTGCTACATACATAAATATGTACTTATTACTAAAGGGGGATTCCTCGTCCTCGTCTGATTTGAATTTTAGCGATTGGTGGAATCTAATAATTTCAAAAGTCTCAGCATATATCTTGTCCGTAAATTGTCCAAATTAATATTAATTTATTTATATTTTCAAATGCCAAGTTAATAAGTATATTTTGCGCAATACTTTGAATACCATGACTTTGTTCCATTTGTCTTTCTGCATAACTTTTGGTTATGGTCGCGGCAGGTTTTCTTATGAAGAAGATAGTCCTTAATATGTACATATGTGTACACAGCTTAAATGTCTGTATCAAGATGCTATTTTTCTAGGCTATGAGTTAAGAGCAAGTTAGTTAAGAACATTTTTATAGAATGATTTATTTCCTTGACATCTGTGAAAGTAAACGTGGTTTGTGCTGTTTGCAGTCATTATTTCTGTGGACGTCTTGAACTTAACTTACTAGTACTTCGTAATTTAAATAAGTAAACAACTCCAAAGTATTTTTTAGTACTAACCATCCTAACATCTACCGGGTGTCCAAAAACTTTCTCTCGCTAACTTTCAAGCATCGATTTTCGTTGCTAGCTTTTACAACTGTACGTTCTGTTCTGTATTTTTTTTGCAAGCACAGGGAAATGTTTATAATAACCGTATCCAATGCAGGGGATGGTATGTAATAAGTGAAAATCTGAAAGACGCTAGGATTGTGGAGTGATAAACAATATTTTAAACACAAGCGCAGTTCAGGTAGTCAGAGGACAGTCTCCGCATCACCAAAATGCCTATTTAAATAATGGATTGGAAGCCAATAGGGTGGTTTTGCGATGAAAGCTGAAGGAGCCTAAATCTCGCATCACTGTACTTTCGAAATAATTGTAAAACTTTTATGATTACTCTTGGTACTAGCCGAATATCAGAAAGGAGGGTAGCCAGCCATACAAGGGTCAGTATAAAATAAAGGTCAGTATCTATAAGGAACAATAAATTGTTTTAAAAGTCAACCTACGATATCCGTCTCAACTAATTTAAATTAGTATAAGAAGCTTATAAAACCAAGTGATATAGGTTGAATTTTTTCAAAACTGATTAATTCGTAACGTAGATTTTTGACCACTTTGGCCCCTGCTAAAGGCGACGATAAGCCGGTATTCAACGATAAGAGCTGGATTAAATAACATGGACATTAGGTCTACAAAATTTCTGATATAAGAAAAAAAATTAAAAGAATGTCGCGTCCGCTTCAAGGCCGCAAGACTACGTCGAAATGATGGTCGGTTCCAGTTGGTTTCGTACGAGAGAAATATTTTGCTCCGCAGTTTTAAGAAATGAATGCCAGAAATGTTAAGGAATATCGGTTTATGCACATTATGTTACGGTACTTTCAATGAAAATGTATAAATTCGAACATTTCCACCTCCATATTCTTATAGGCTCATGAAATGCATTACTATATGACAGGGAGAAACTTAGTGGACACACTCTAAGTAGATTCTCAAGTAATTCCTAGTCTCGGATGCAAGGTATCTACCCAAAATAACCATCCTTTCTCACAAATACTTGTGGCGAAAGCAATTACTAAACCTATACCCCACAGAGCAAAATGTACGGATAGTTGTAGAAAAGAGAATGGTTTATTTTCCTCAGAAGCAATTTTTGTGAGCCCCAGGGCACTATTGTACTCTTTTATTCCCTTCCGTAACCTATACGATAGGACTCCGTCCGTGAATTTTTGTCCTCTTTTCTTCCAATATGAATAAATTCCTGCTTCATAAATACATTTAAGAAAATTTCCAAACACATAACCAGCCCTGTATTTTGAGGAAATCCATCCAGACGTAAAATCTATGAGACGAGAGTCATCATTCATGACTTCTATAAACCTTTTAGTTTTTCCAAGTAACGCTCTGAACATCATAAAATTCTGGAAATTCTGCACAACTATAAATTTTGGGGAATTTTTTTTCGAATTTGTAACCCCTTCATATGCCAGTGAAAGAATTGTTTCATGGAACTTAACCCCATCACATTTAACAATCTCCACTTCCCGTCCTCCCGACCTCTTAAACTGTGTCACTTTATGAAATAAATCTTCCACAGGGATCCAAATATAAGGAGTGAGGACATCCTGAAAAGTGTACATATTGATGTCACCAATTTTAGAAGACTTTGCAAATTTCCTGGCAAATCCGGTTTAACTTCAGACATTAAAATTGAATAGATCAAATTTGTGTAAGAATACGTTAAGACTACCATCATTGCTGACCAGGTTGCGATAACAACAGAACCCAATGTAATCTTACGTCTCAGTTTATTTTCGAAAATTGTGTTCGTTTGTCCTAAAGATATGGAAAAAATGAAAAATACAATTGAAGCCAGATACGTCCAATCTTCATTAAGTAGGATGCATAGCACCGCTGATAAAACTACTCCCGATATAAGAAAAGTTATCCAGACAGGCTTGCTAAATGGTTTTCCAAGAATCAAATCTAGCACTAGGTCAGATTTGTTGACGAATGTTGAGTAGAAAAGTCCATCATGCTTTTGAGCGTAGGGATGTATTTCGAATTTGTGCAACTCCTTTTCGGAAATATCGTCAATTTTTATGTTCAGAATGTAACCGCAATTTCCCTCTTTGCCGGGAACAGGTTGGCAAAGTGTTACATTGGTTTTCAAAGCAAAGTGAAGTATTATGCAAAAATCCATTGTCAAAGATAGAAATACGTTATGTTCTGTGTCATATGCGGAAGTTGAATCACTGCAGTGATGGTAAAGGTACTGACTAATTAGTCTCCTGGCACGTGTCCCGCCAAAATTTCCCTTATGTCCCCCGCTATTCTGAATATAAACGTTCTCACCGCTTAAATCTTGACTCAGTTCCGAAGTTATTAGAGAACCGTGTAGTGCAACGGCGTTGCATGTAAACGTGTTACACAATTCGATGAGGTTTGATGCTGTCAAACTATTTACAGAAATAACGATAAGTTTTGGGCTATTTCGAATTTGAACAAGAATATTCTGTGGACTCGATATCGTATTCATGGTTTGCGCTATGGCTCGATTTAGAGTCTCATCTCTAGTTGAATGGGAATAAACAAATATGCGAAATTTTGGGGAATATTTCATTTTCGTAAAAGTGCTGAGACTAGGATCAAAGTTAGGATTGATGGGGAGAATAAGGTCCAAATTTAAAATTTGGGCGGAACATGCACTACAAATTCTACTCTTTGAAATACTGGTACTACGAAAAATTAGCTGGTTGCTGCTATCGTTGATAATATTTGTTCTCAAAATGGGAGTTCGAAAATTCGCGTGCGGGATTTCATAAAAATTTACGAGTTCCACACAGCAGTCGGTAAAAATATGGAGAAAAGCCAGAAACTCTAACATTTTCGGGTAGAAGTACATATGTACATATGTACTTTAAGTATTAATAATTGAATTTATTCTAAGAGTACTAGGTCACCTGACATCCGGCTAAGCGCTGTCCACTAATCAATACACTGGAAAAAGAAGGACATGAAATTACTGAAGCCATAAACTTTACGCTAGGCTGTACTTATTTTGTTGTTCTTAATTTACCGCGCCGGATGACTACAATTTCGAATATCGGTTGTTAAATTGGCGAATTGAAGTTTACTTAATTTTAGGACAAGATAATAAATATGTAAGTGCCAAATTTCACGGATAGATCCATCGTTAGTATTCTCACGTGTACATACATGCACAAATTTAGGGTATATTCATAAGTTTTTAATGCTACTCTTTTGAAACAGGATATGAAATTACTTTCGCATCCCCATTTTATGGACATACGAAAAACAAGGGAAAACAAACAAACGAAAGTTTGTAATTTTAAACGAGCCTTATCAAATTTGACATTTGAATCTTGCATGTTGTCATTTTACGTGTCTGGGGTACTGCCATTGTTTCCGGAAACAGGGGGACAGGGAGGGGTCATTATCGCCCGAGAAAAATCGTATCTTGCCAAAACATGAAGTTACGAAAATGAATAAATGAATTTTATTAATTTTGATAAACACGTAATTACACACAAGTACATGCTATGTGGATAATTAATTTGATAATTTCTTCAAAATCGCGAATAACGCATCCTCCCAATTCTTCAGGGTCGGATTAACCTCTTCCACCCTGATTTTGGATCCACCCCCCACAATTCCATTCTTCTTTTTCCAGTCCTCCACCCCAGTTTGGTACGCAAGCTGACAGACTTTGCCAATTTTCTCCTCAATGTCACTCTTGGTCCGGATCAAGGTCACCGTTTTGTTGGCCATGATGTGTAAAATCTCGTCCCCCGGTTTTCGAACCCATGCAGAGACCCATCCCTCCAAAACTTTCTTTCTCTCCGGAAGTGAAAGTAGCTTCGGGACGTGAAGAACGTTTGGAAATCCGGCATTTTTGTTATATCCCTCCTGCAAGTGGGGCGTACTAGCGATGAAAATGACGCCCTGGTTTCTCAACTTTTCCATTTGTTGGGGAAGATTTTCTGGAATTTTGTCTGTAAAATGGGGAAGAATTTTTTTTATTCGGGGTTTTATAGCTTGAGGTCATTATGTGAAATGGAGTTATGTAAAAAAAAGAGACATTTATGCAGTAAATCTTATGCAATAAGTGTATTATGCAAAAGTGTTTTATTCAATTTCACATAGAACCTGGCGGAGGTAGTTACGCGCTCTATTTTTGATCATATACCGCGTAGATGTGACGTCGATATAAAATAGCATTTTTTGGTACCCGATGAAGTGAAATGAAATAAAATAAATTGGAAATAAAATGACTGAATGTGGTTGACAATCTTGATTGAAAGTCATAAATCGGGACAACTGATTTTTTGAATGAAAACCAAGTTTTTGAACAGGTACAGAGTATATTAAAACGTATTTAAACACTCTTATAAAACTGGTATTAAATCGCTACCGACCGGAGTACATATGTGACTCTACCGGCACTGGTATTAACGGGAATTACCTTTCGGTAATGTTGTGGTAACGAAAAATTTACTACTCCGGAACAATTTACTACCAATCCGGTTAGAAATTATTACCAAATCAATACCAGCACGAAGTATCTATGTGACTCTACCAGATTTCTAACAGTGTGAAAAATAATATTTTTTGGAGAAACTAATTTCTGCAAGCTTACCCTCATAGCCAGACAATGTTTTGACCTCATGCAAATAAATGAGTGCCGGTTGCTTTTCCACCCCCGCGGTGAAAAACCAGTCGAAATACCGTGTCGTAACTGGTGTCAAGATACAGAGCTCCGTTTTTCGAAAAATCGCAACCTCATGACCACCGTCTCCTTGAAGGCGCATCTCGTTCCAAATTGCGGTTGCGAAAAATTGTGCGTTTTTCATATCTCCATATAACAAAAGTCCAGGGGCGCCACTATTCCCTGTGATGGCGTGAATATCCCGATTTATGAAGGGCTCGATCACCTCGTCCTGTAGAAAGGTGACCTGTTCAAAAAATATGCATTCGTTTTAAAATTTCATATAGTTTAGAAATTTGAAAAAAAATATTTATGGATTTAAAATAAAATTCATTCATATTTAAAATAAACTCATTTCAAAAAAATTAAAAATTATACACTCATTATTCATAAATTTATTGAGGAATGAATGAGTGATCTGCTCAATTTCTATTAAGTAAATGAATGTGAACATTTTGAACATGTGAACAATTTGAAAACTTTAACAAAGTTATTCATTCATTATTCATTTAGCCAAAATTATAAAATAAATAATTCATTATTCGGATCTAATAAATTTTGACCCAAATTCGCTTTCTTAATTTACCTCCTCTGTTAACCGTAGAGTGAAGAATGAGTAATCCATAAAACTACTACTGCATGATTATTCCTTCTTCATGAATAGCAAATGAATAAATATGAATTCAATATTCAATCACTCAAAAAATTTAAAAAAATATTCACTAATTATTCATTCATTGATTAAATAATGCACTAATAATTTATTCGTTCTCTGTTAAATGAAGTAATGTGAACAGGTACACAAATCAGAACCAAGAATTGTGCAGTGGTGTGTGTTACCAGTTGAACTTGGCGCTTGATTACACACGTGTCTCACATTGTCCAAGCTAATGTCACCTAGCGGCAGGTGGGGCACTATGTTACATTTTTCGTTTCTAGAGGGCGTTTTTCGCTAAAGTGTCAAAACGTGTCCAAAACGTTGACGAACACGATAACAACGAAACACACCCTTTAGATCTGCCGAGACTTGATCAAATGAACGGGCACACCCCCTAAACTTGACATTTGACCTGTGACCTGGGCACACCCACCAGACTTCACATTTGACCTGTGACCTTGGCACACCCACTAGATTTGACATTTGACCTGTGACCTTGGCACACCCACTAGATTTGACATTTGACCTGTGACCTTGGCACACCCACTAGATTTGACATTTGACCTGTGACCTTGGCACACACCCCTGGACTTGACATTTGACCTGCGACCTGCGTACAACCCATAAAGTTGACACTTTACAGAGTTGACACTTGACCTGTGACCTGGGCACACCCACTACACTTGACCTGTGACGTCGGCACACCCGCTACACTTGACCTGTGACCTGGGCACACCCGCTACACTTGACCTGTGACCTCGGCACACCCGCTACACTTGACCTGTGACCTGGGCACACCCACTAGATTTGACATTTCACCTGTGACCTGGGCACACCCACTAGATTTGACATTTCACCTGTGACCTGGGCACATCCACTATACTTGACCTGTGACCTCTGTGCCCCACGGTAAAGTTGACACTTGACCTGTGCCTTACTAATTTTAATTACCTACCAGCGCCACCTATCGGATGTTGGCTGTTTTTCAGGGCTGGAGGGCGGGCTTTTGGTTTAAGTGCCTAAACGTACTTAAAACGTTAGAACAATGCCATACTTCAGAGTTGTGACCTAACGTTTTTCGTGGTAACCCCCTTTAGAGTCGTGACCTAACGTTTTTCGAGGTCACCCCCTTTAGAGTCGTGACCTAACATTTTTCGTGGACACCCCCTTTAGAATCGTAACTGAACGTTTTTCGTGGTCACCCCCTTTAGAGTCGTGACCTAACGTTTTTCGTGGTCACCCCTTTTAGAGTCGTGACCTAACGTTTTTCGTGGTCACCCCCTTTAGAGTCGTGACCTAACATTTTTCGAGGTCATCCTCCTTTAGAGTCGTGAAGAACGTTTTTCGTGGCCACCCCCTTTAGAGTCGTGACCTAATGTTTTTCGTGGTCAACCCATAGAGTCGTGACCGGACGTTTTTCGTGGTTACCCCGTTTAGAGTCGTCACTGAACGTTTTTCGTGGTGAACTCATAGAGTCGTGACCGGACGTTTTTCGTGGTCACCCCCTTTAGAGTCGTAACTAAACGAATTTCGTGGTCACACCGGTAGAGTCGTGACTGAACGTTTTTCGTGGCCACCCCCTTTAGAGTCGTGACTGAACGTTTTTCGTGGCCACCCCCTTTAGAGTCGTGACTGAACGTTTTTCGTGGCCACCCTCTTTAGAGTCGTAACTGAACGTTTTTCGTGGCCACCCCCTTTAGAGTCGTGACTGAACGTTTTTCGTGGCCACCCCCTTTAGAGTCGTGACTGAACGTTTTTCGTGGCCACCCCCTTTAGAGTCGTGAAGAACGTTTTTCGTGGCCACCCCCTTTAGAGTCGTGACTGAACGTTTTTCGTGGCCACCCCCTTTGGAGTTGTGACTGAACGTTTTTCGTGGCCACCCCCATTTAGAGTCGTGACTGAACGTTTTTCGTGGCCACCCCCTTTAGAGTCGTGACTAAACGTTTTTCGTGGTCACACTCAATTACAGTCGTGACAACGTTTTTCGTGGACACACCCAATTAGAGTCGTGACGGCACGTTTTTCCGTGGTCACACCCTTTAGAGTCGTGACAACGTTTTTCGTGGTCACGCCCATGGGGTCGTGAGTGAACGTTTTTCGTAATAAAATAATAAAATCGTTTTGCTTAGAGCCCGCACTGCGGGCTTAAGAGACTAGTATGATAGAAAGGTTCTAACCTCCTCGCCAAACCCCGCCTCCCGCAAGGTGTCAAGCGTCACATTTCGGTTCCACTGGTCCTCCTCCTCCCATTCGAATCTGTCCACTAAATTGTTCACGGAGTGAAAGGCCTTCCCACATATGACCCAAAAGTTAACAACGAATATAAAGAAGGATGCCAAAGCAATCCAGGCACAGACAAGGAATAATTGCGAAAACTGCCTACAAGTTGGGACGATTTTGAACACCATTGTTTAAGTATTCACAAGAGGGGGCAATTTTGGGGAAATTTTATGCAGCAAAAAATTACGGAGCTAAATTCTTTACGAATTTATGTCAATTGATTAGTCCCAGAGCTACTTTTGTAAGCAGATGGATGATAAGAAGCCTTTCTGCTCTTTTTGACGGTAAGATGATGAAATTTACTCCGTTAGGATTCCGCCATTCTGTACGAATGTAGTATGTAGCCAGGCAGGTCATGATTCCTTGGTAGTAAAATTGGTACTGCTGGGTAAAAGTGTACCGGTCAGTAAAAATTTGATGCCGATATGGTAGTATTTTATTTTTATTCCTACAGAGTAGGGTATGTATATGTATACATACCGTAATATATAAGGCCACCTTGATACATATAGAGTCGTGTATGAATATCGCTTCATATTATTTTTACACTGGATTTCTAAAGGTGCACCTTGGACACCAAGGGCAAGCGAAATATGTACGAGTTCACCCGGAACAAAGGTCATATCAGAATGAATTTCAGGCCAACAAAGGACCCTAAATATGTACAAAGTGCCATGTATGGATTTCAGCACGGTTAAGGGTGAAGCGTCGTATCCACGATGGGTCTATTTTACCTTGGGTTACAGGATTAGAACCCTTGAAAGGTAACACATTCTTCGTAAGGGGACGTCCATAAATTATGTCACGGCTGAGGAGGTTAAGATGGTAAACGTTTTGCGTGACGGGCGGATTTATGCATGCCACATGTTAAATGAGATTAGTGACAAGGGGAAGGGTGAGTGTGAAAATCGGTATGTTTGCGTGACATAATTTTTGGACGTTCCATAAATTCAGCAACTGGAGGTTTAGTGGACCAGGTGCACAGTATGCATGTTCAGGTGATACATACTTATATAGATACATATACATAAATACATGATTTGTATTAATTTTTGTAATAACAATGCAGCAAAGAAATATCTACATATGTACAGCTTGTCCTATATTTCGGTGTGGTTTAAGGTTGATGGGATATCCTATCCGTGACAGGATGATTATGTACATACATATACATGCATTATACAATGTGAAAATCCAAAATTTCTGAAGTCACATTTGTTATTCTCCGTGTGCCACTGAATAAATGTGGATCACTCAGTAGCTTCAATTAAGCGATATACAAATAATTTTCGACAATGACACAACCTTAGACACGAAATAATGAATAATCATCGCTTTACAGACGTGTTAAAGTTTGAGTTAGGGAACAGTCTGGGCATCCTAGTGAGCGAGTTGACTTTTTCTCCTCGCCACTTACCAGTAATGCAAATGATTTTTGTCACTAAGACTTCTAATTTGCAGCTAATACAAAATGGATTGATTTCGTTTTGGTGGCAATAAATTCCCAAGTTTGTGCTTTACAATTGCCATGTTGCATAAATTCCATAATAAATCTCGGTGAAAAGTATTGGACTGAAACATGATATGAGTCCATGTTTCAGTTCAATACTTTTCTCTGAGATTTATTATGGAATTTATGCAACATGGCAATTGTAAAGCACAAACTTGGGAATTTATTGCCACCAAAACGAAATCAATCCATTTTGTATTAGCTGCAAATTAGAAGTTTTAGTCGAAATTTTTCTCCTTTTCTGGTTCGCGATGCCCCGTTTGGAGAGTGGGAACGGTCACTCTCAAAACCCAAAGCAACTTTTTACATGCAACTGCCTGCATTGTTTACATGAAAATCAGCTGCTCTCTTCGCCCCGCCCCCCCTCATTAGCAAAAAATCTCTCGGCACACAAGGAGACGCAACCGTCGTCTCTGTCTTTTAGTTATGAGATTTTTTCAACGTATATGCATTCTTAAACACCCAAACACCACATACCTATATTGAGTGACATGTTTGGACAAACGCCATCAAAATAATTATGCCAATTTTATACTATAAGATTTGAAACATGCGTGTTTTACTTTACCAATTTATGGTAATTCATAGCTTATCCACTTGTGTGCGAAATATGTGCGCATATGTTCCGAACCATACGCAAGTAATACATACATGTATTTAATTTTTGTTGTTCATACATATGTACATATCTCGAAATGAAAATTTGGATGATTTTACATTGGCTTGTGTGCATACAAAAACGCAAAAAATATTCTTCAATAAGGATCTAAAATAATTGGAGTTTCTAGCGTGGCTTTCAGTGTTAAATCTTAATATTAGAGTAGCCAAATATGTACTACCAGGCGGTATACGTATGTGCATATGAAGTAAAAAATGAAAAATTGAAAAATACAATGTTCGGAGTTTTCACGACTGTAAATAATTCTTGAAATACACGCATACTACATGACTAAAATTTGTTAAATAAATTCTTACAAGTAAATAAAATTATCTTCGAAAATTGCCTAAGTTAAAGCGAATTTCTTACCTGTGTTACCATTGCATAGTAATCCTTTACCCGCTGGTAGCTAATTAAATTTATGTTTATTTATCAGACTATAAGTTGTGTTCAAAGAGTTTGTATGAGTTATTGAGTAAGAAGTGATGCGGAAAAAATGTATCACAAAAAGTATCGCAAAAAGCTTACTACGCGGGAGTCGTGCACAAGTGTCCGTAAACCTGAAAAATCGCAGAAAATTCGGAAAAAATAGCTAATTTGTTTTTACCATGGTCATATTTTGCTCGTACATATGTTTTACTCACTACTACGTACGTGTTTATTTATTATGTGCCATAATCGTAAAAATTCATGATTTTGAGTACAACAGGATAACTTTGAGACATAACGAAAAATTCTTATAAATTATGAAAACATTTCATTAAGAAAATGAACGGAAAATACGAAGCGCAATTACACATACTTTATTTCCCTGACTGTCATGAGTGTAACATAAAAAACCTCTAAAGCTTATTAGCAAATGACCTATGATCAATTTTCATCAACAAAATGAACCAGGAACACGAAAAGCTAGCACACATGCACGCATACATATCGTACACGTAATTGGATTTATATATACTTACGTACGTATTTATATACCCACATAAGTCACCAAAGAAGGTTCAATTGTATTACTCTTGTCACCTAGATAGCAACTAAAAAACAGTCACTTTGTCAAAATACATCAAAATCAAACCAAAAATGTGTATTTTAAGGCGCAAAACTTTAAACATCATCACTATTTTCCTTTGGCCTCAACTATATACAATCATCCGGGGTACACCTGCCCCACATATTAGCATACCTGAGCTTCTGGCTAGATCGGAATATTGCCAGGTAGAGATTATTTACGACAAAATCAGCGACGATATGCTTCAACCCGTGAGTTCTTCTCATGTTCATCCGCTCACACTAGTATCTTTGCATATCTTTAGTAGAGCTAGAAAAATAGTAATGGATTTGCGTAAAATCCGACACTCAGAATGCAAAATCAGTTTTATTGTTTTCACGTATTACTTACCTGGAAATTTGGATCGACTCCAGCCATATCATGTATCTTGGATGGAAGCATCAGACTATACATTCAAGACCACGAAACGTAGGCACCATTGGCACACCAACGTCTACAAAATTCTGATATCTGCAATAGAAAAATCAATACTGCAAAAAATCTTGGAGTATCCAAATCGATCCTTTGTGCCAGGTAAACCCATATTGGACAACTTTGGGATATTATTCATTGCTCGAAATCAAGCCTCTACTCTCTGCGTCCAACCAATTGGCAGCGCGTCAAAGCAGATTTCTACGATGAAGTGTAAAAAAGCAGATTCTGAAAGTATTGTCCAACTGTTTAGAGATTTGCATTCCGTTCCCATCCTCTGGAGAGTGGTTTCGCCTGAACATATGCATATCGAAATCAGTAACTACAAACATATAGATTTTAGTAAACTAGTCTACTATTCCAATCCGTTCGAACGATTGGACAAATTATCTGTATATCAGCATCTATTTCAGTCAGTGTTTCGCCAAGCAAACGCAAGTCTACATTATCATTCCAACGCTATCAACTATGGGGCAACCCTGGAGCTTTTTTTCATAGAACACACTTTACTACATTGGGACACAATCACGCGACATGTAATATTTAAGTTTCACGGATACCAGTTTATGAGTTGTCATTCGGAGACATATATATCGTTTGAATTCTATGTAGCTCCCTTCCAGCCCTTAGTCTGGGGAATGTTTATTAGTTCAGTTGTAATTGTTGCCCTTGTCCTCAGCTTGTACAAAAAGTTAAAAAATATTAACTCCTATGAAGCCTTTTCTCCTTGGTCATTTGTCTTGGCTAATATTTTCGAAGAAGCCGTTTATGTCCCTATGCACCTAGAAAAGCAACAATTTTTCCGGATGGTGGTTGGGGGTTGGATTCTGATGTCAGTGGTACTAACGAATTGCTACAACGGGTTAATGATCTCGAGTCTAAATTCTCCGCTTCCAAGGACAAATATACCTGAAACATTTCAAGACCTAATATGCCAAGACAAAAGTATTCTTAAATCATATAAGCTTGGAGTTAACCTAACCAATTGGATTTTGCAAAGGATAGATGAATCTCCTGTTAAGCCTTTTGATTCCATGTGCTACAAAATATTATCGACCCAAGTCATACTCTTATTTTCACAATACATTTTTGAATTTTTGAAGTTATTTCATCATACGCTTTCCAGAATAATGTATCTTCGAATCGATATATTGGTAGCATTGAGTCAGTCGTTAACACCACCGCAATTGATGGACGATATTTCTATGCAAGATATTGTCATCCTTCTCCTGAGCAAAGGATATAATTCAGTGGTCCCAGAAAACTTTAATTCCTCACCACCGGCAGAGATAACACTGACGAATATGGCACAAATAATAACATCAGTTACAGACGAGGTTGCAATGTGTGGAAGATCTGTACTTATCGTTGACGCTTTTGAAATGGGATTTATGTTCGCTGATATGACGAAGCGATATTTTTGGAGAAAATTTTATAAGGGAAAGGATATCTTAAATTTTGCACTAGGCGGATGGAAATTTGAAGGCGAGGGTAATTCGAAAGTGCCGCAATATTTTGAATCTCTGTTCGAATCTGGGATACAAGGCCGTCTAGAGTTGGAAATGATGATGAGAAAGTATTCACGTAACTCGAACTATGCAATACCAAAACGTGAAGACGATTCTGTTCGATTACGTGGAGCGATTTTAACTCTGTTTATTTTATGGGGGGCTTTGATCAGTTTATCTGTATTGATTGTTATCTTTGAATTGCGTAAAATTATCTGCTTGATGGTTTTAGCGGTATCTTTAAAAATTA